ATGGAGTGGTGTCAGTGGCTCCAAGCATCAAAAACAAAAGGTTGCATTTCTTAATGAGTTATTTCTTCTTCGGGAAGTGGGGAATCTATGATTCATATATTGATTCAGTGTTTATAACATGGAAAAAACTCCAGAAATAGAACCAGTGAAACCAGAAAGACAAGTTTTCAGATTTAGATCTCTACATAGAGATTCGGACTACTAGAGGGTTGATTCATCTTACCCATTGTCAACTTTCCTTTTTTCGAAAAAATATCCTGGCATTGATCCATACCTGACACGGGAGATTTGTGGCTGTTGGAGCACTGATCAACACAGAAAAGGTAGATCAGTTGCTCTCACTAACAGGCACTGATCTACCTTCTCCTGCTGTGGAACAATGGTCTTACAGCCACTGATCTACCTTGTTTGGTGTGGAACAATGGTCTCACTAACATCCACTGATCTACCTGTCTGGTGTGGATCAATGGTCTCACTAACAGCCATTGATCTACCTTGCATGATGTGCATGTGACTTCTCATGTGAATTTGTGAACGTTTGAATGACCAAAGACCAAGCTTTCGATAGTGACAGCAATTTCTGAGTTTCACATGTTGTGTACAGCTGCACAGACGTTTGATTGTCTCAAATATTTGCTATGTTCACACCTGTATTTAATGTATAAAGACGCTGTGTGCCTATATTTATATTTTCTGTGTGCACAGTTTCTTTATGTGGCCAGTATAGTTCGCCCTCGGGATACATTAGGTAGTGATGGTCTAACCATGAATGTCCTGACGAACCAGTGACACAAAACCATCCTTAAACAAGGCCAGGCCATGATATAGATCTGTTTGTATAGAATACTCTTGGCCTAAAGGTCGTCATACGTTCAAACAGCACACAATGCACTTCCAAGGCATGCCATTTGATTAGGGTTGTGATATGGAGTGGTGTCAGTGGCTCCAAGCATCAAAACAAAAGGTTGCATTTCTTAATGAGTTATTTCTTCTTCGGGAAGTGGGAATCTATGATTCATATATTGATTCAGTGTTTATAACATGGAAAAACTCCAGAAATAGAACCAGTGAAACCAGAAAGACAAGTTTTCAGATTTAGATCTCTACATAGAGATTCGGACTACAAGAGGGTTGATTCATCTTACCCATTGTCAACTTTCCTTTTTTTCGAAAAATATCCTGGCATTGATCCATACCTGACACGGGAGATTTGTGGCTGTTGGAGCACTGATCAACACAGAAAAGGTAGATCAGTTGCTCTCACTAACAGGCACTGATCTACCTTCTCCTGCTGTGGAACAATGGTCTTACAGCCACTGATCTACCTTGTTTGGTGTGGAACAATGGTCTCACTAACATCCACTGATCTACCTGTCTGGTGTGGAACAATGGTCTCACTAACAGCCACTGATGTACCTTGTCTGGTGTGGATCAATGGTCCCACTAACAGCCACTGATGTACCTTGTCTGGTGTGGAACAATGGTCTCACTAACAGCCACTGATCTACCTTGTGTGGTGTGGAACAATGGTCTCACTAACAGCCATTGATCTACCTTGCCTGGTGTGGAACAATGGTCTCACTAACAGCCATTGATGTACCTTGTCTGGTGTGGATCAATGGTCTCACAAACAGCCACTGATCTACCTTGTCTTGTGTGGATCAATGGTCTCACTAACAATGGTCTCACTAACATTGATCTACCATGTGTGGTGTGGAACCAGGGTGTCACTAACAGCCACTGATCTACCTTGTGTGCTGTGGAACAATGGTCTCACTAACAGCCACTGATCTACCTTGTGTGCTGTGGAACAATGGTCTAACTAACAGCCACTGATCTACCTTGTCTGGTGTGGATCAATGGTCTAACAGCCATCTATCTACCTTGTCTGCTGTGGATCAATGGTCTAACAGTCACTGATGTACCTTGTCTGGTGTGGAACAATGGTCTCACTAACATCCACTGATCTACCTGTCTGGTGTGGATCAATGGTCTCACTAACAGCCATTGATCTACCTTGCATGATGTGCATGTGACTTCTCATGTGAATTTGTGAACATTTGAATGACCAAAGACCAAGCTTTCGATAGTGACAGCAATTTCTGAGTTTCACATGTTGTGTACAGCTGCACAGACGTTTGATTGTCTCAAATATTTGCTATGTTCACACCTGTATTTAATGTATAAAAAGCGCTGTGTGCCTATATTTATATTTTCTGTGTGCACAGTTTCTTTTATGTGGCCAGTATAGTTCGCCCTCGGGATACATTAGGTAGTGATGGTCTAACCATGAATGTCCTGACGAACCAGTGACACAAACCATCCTTAAACAAGGCCAGGCCATGATATAGATCTGTTTGTATAGAATACTCTTTGGCCTAAAGGTCGTCATACGTTCAAACAGCACACAATGCACTTCCAAGGCATGCCATTTGATTAGGGTTGTGATATGGAGTGGTGTCAGTGGCTCCAAGCATCAAAACAAAAGGTTGCATTTCTTAATGAGTTATTTCTTCTTCGGGAAGTGGGAATCTATGATTCATATATTGATTCAGTGTTTATAACATGGAAAAACTCCAGAAATAGAACCAGTGAAACCAGAAAGACAAGTTTTCAGATTTAGATCTCTACATAGAGATTCGGACAACAAGAGGATTGATTCATCTTACCCATTGTCAACTTTCCTTTTTTTCGAAAAATATCCTGGCATTGATCCATACCTGACACGGGAGATTTGTGGCTGTTGGAGCACTGATCAACACAGAAAAGGTAGATCAGTTGCTCTCACTAACAGGCACTGATCTACCTTCTCCTGCTGTGGAACAATGGTCTTACAGCCACTGATCTACCTTGTTTGGTGTGGAACAATGGTCTCACTAACATCCACTGATCTACCTTGTCTGGTGTGGATCAATGGTCTCACTAACAGCCACTGATCTACCTTGTCTGGTGTGGAACAATGGTCTCACTAACAGCCACTGATCTACCTTGTCTGGTGTGGAACAATGGTCTCACTAACAGCCACTGATCTACCTTGTCTGGTGTGGAACAATGGTCTCACTAACAGCCATTGATCTACCTTGTCTGGTGTGGAACAATGGTCTCACTAACAGCCACTGATCTACCTTGTCTGGTGTGGAACAATGGTCTCACTAACAGCCATTGATCTACCTTGTCTGGTGTGGAACAATGGTCACTCACTAACAGCCACTGATCAACCTTGTCTGGTGTGGAACAATGGTCTCACTAACAGCCACTGATCTACCTTGTCTGGTGTGGAACAATGGTCTCACTAACAGCCATTGATCTACCTTGTGTGGTGTGGAACAATGGTCTCACTAACAGCCACTGATCTACCTTGTCTGGTGTGGAACAATGGTCTCACTAACAGCCATTGATCTACCTTGTCTGGTGTGGAACAATGCTAACAGCCATCTACCTTGATCTACCTTGATCTACCTTTGTGGTGTGGAGGGTCTCACTAACAGCCATTGATCTACCTTGTGTGGTGTGGAACAATGGTCTCACTAACAGCCACTGATCTACCTTGTCTGGTGTGGAACAATGGTCTCACTAACAGCCACTGATCTACCTTGTCTGGTGTGGAACAATGGTCTCACTAACAGCCATTGATCTACCTTGTCTGGTGTGGAACAATAGTCTCACTAACAGCCACTGATCACCTTGTCTGGTGTGGAACAATGGTCTCACTAACAGCCATTGATCTACCTTGTCTGGTGTGGAACAATGGTCTCACTAACAGCCACTGATCTACCTTGTGGTGTGGAACAATGGTCTCACTAACAGCCACTGATCTACCTTGTGTGGTGTGGATCAATGGTCTCACTAACAGCCACTGATCTACCTTGTCTGTGTGTGGATCAATGGTCTCACTAACAGCCATTGATCTACCTTGTCTGGTGTGGAACAATGGTCTCACTAACAGCCACTGATCTACCATGTCTGGTGTGGAACAATGGTCTCACTAACAGCCATTGATCTACCTTGTCAGGTGTGGAACAATGGTCTCACTTACAGCCACTGATCTACCTTGTCTGGTGTGGAACAATGGTCTCACTAACAACCATTGATCTACCTTGTCAGGTGTGGAACAATGGTCTCATTTACAGTCACTGATCTACCTTGTGTGGTGTTGAACAATGGTCTCACTAACAGCCACTGATCTACCTTGTCTGGTGTGGAACAATGGTCTCACTAACATCCATTGATCTACCTTGTCTGGTGTGGAACAATGCTTTCCCTTTCACTCACTTACCTAACACATTTGATCTTCACAATGAAAACAAAATATCAGTATCATTAAAATGTCTATAATAATCCAATATCTTAAAATTATATGCAAGACTGTACAAAATGTATCTGATGTATATAATTGACAACTAAAAATCTTAACACTCCAAACACTAACACACTCCAAATTCATAATCACAGAAACCTATTCGGGCTGATCAATAATCAGATGATGTGAATTATGGTGATTCAAGATGAAAACTGTGTCATCGATAATATCATACATCGATAATCTATGGTGATGAAATAGTTTTAATTTTTATTTATTCACAAAATGCACAAAGTTAGGTCTTTATTCATGGGCTGCTGTATGGTTAGTAATCCATGCATAATTATGTCACCTCTCATCAGTGATGTGAAATATACTACTTACACTTTGCTAAGGATCACAAACATTCACTACTTTACTTAAACATAGATTCATAATTTGAAACTGTATCCATTTAAAACTGGATAAATAATAATATGGTAACCCTTCTTTAGGCAAACAGTCACTTTAATCTAACCTTATGCACTTGATACATGAGTAACCATAAAAATGGTTTTCATGGCACCAATCAACCATTTTGCAAATCATGGAACAAGTCACTGACAAGTACACAACACCTGTCAATAGCAGGTATTGGATCCACAAGATGAAATGACACACTGAAACCTAGGATCCATGCTTACAATAAGCTTCGATATTTAAATCCAATTTGACCCCACATCATAGTTTTCTGTTGAATCCATGATTTGATCCTTAGCAAAGTGTGAATAGTATATGTTGATTCCTTTCAGATGCTTTGGGCATGTTTGCTTTGAGTTACTTCTCTGATATGTAACTCCAAGCCAGCCAGCCAGCCACTACTGATAGCATCTTATTGGTATACATATACTTAATATCAGTTCCACACTGAGATTCTCTATACAGTTACTTTTAGCATCACTGGGATAAGTATTTATGTTAATCCATCGGCACCACATTGAAGAAACTATCCCAGCAACATACGTTGATGATGGATGCTGCAAGGATGTCTGGGGATGTGGCAGAGAGTAGTAGCAGTTGTCTCCCTTCAGCAGAGGTCACATTACCCACATTCAGGCACAAGAGGCAGTCAGGGACAAGAGGCAGTCAGGGACAAGTTTATCAACTTGTGATGAGATTCAAATTCTCTGAAATAACAACATGATTCTGGATATCAACAAACTGCAAGAGCATGTAATGTGGTGTTGATGAGGTTTACTACACCACATAAGAAGATTGGTCTGTCACATGTTTGTCATTGTCATTGATTAGTACCCAAAGTTGAATTTACATCTTTGGAGCAATCAGAAAGAGAAGTGAAACATGATAATACAACAAAATGTCCATCTTACTGACCCATGACCTGCCTGTAGACCTTGGATAGGTAGTCACGGGAGTTGTTGTCTCTCCTGTTGCCAGCAGAAACGCTCAGATCATAGTCAGGGCCATATTTCATGAAGAACTGCAAATACACAGTCAAATGCTTGATAAGGGTTAGGGATCACTGCACAAAACAGGGTCTTGAAGCCCCACTTGGCCCTCCAGACCATTCTCAGTAGACTTTAACGTTATTTTAGGGGGATCTTGGTAAGATTTGAACATTGAACACAATTTTATAAGAGTCTTATGGCTAGAGTCAAGGACAGGTACAGTATGTACCAATGACAAGTCCTCAACCTGACAGACAATAAAAATATATAAGGGAGGCTACTCATGTTACAAAGATCACATGGCAAGGATCCACATAAACTAATTAACTTCAAAACATGGCATACCATTTCCAGAAAATAACAAGAACTTATAATTGAAGGGCAAATAAAATACCTTGTGATCAGGGACGTCTTGAGGTAGTTTCTTCCCAATTGCCAGGGAGGTGAGGAATGCCCAGCACTTGGCGGTGTTCACATGGTTGTAGCCCCCTGGTGGCAGTCAGTGGGAGGCAATGAATGAGGTGATTCATAAACAACATGGATTCATCAAAGACTTCAGGGTCACTGCTCTTGGCAGGCAATTTTGTAAATTATTGCTGTGTTCAAAATTTGGTTTCTGTTAAGGTTTATATTTCTCCAACATCATCAGTATTTTAAGATTGAGTTCTAGTATTAGACTCAATGCAAACACGGTTCACTATGTAATAAAGCCTTTTCTACACCTTGGTGTTTGGTTATCTGTGAATACAAGTCACATCTACAGAACCATAGCATTAGTTAGAACAAAAAGCAAGAATGGGCGAATGTTGAATTGCAGTTTGGGCAATTTTTCCAGAAACTGCCAACTGGGTCCAAGTATTGGCCTCTGAGTAGACCTAGTAAAGGTCCCTGTAAACAGTCCGTAGGTGTCATTAGATGTCCGTAGGTGTCAGTAGATGTCCATAGGTGTTGGTAGATGTCAGTAGGTGTCCATAGGTGTCAGTAGATGTCCATAGGTGCCGGTAGATGTCAGTAGGTGTCCATAGATGTCAGTAAATATCAGGTGTCGGTAAATGTCAGTAGGTGTTGGTAGATGTCATAGGTGTCAGTAGATATCAGTAGGTGTCCATAGATGTCAGTAGATATCAGTAGGTGTCCGTAGGTATCATTAGGTGTCCGTAGATATCAGCAGATGTCCGTAAATGTCAGTCATCAAAAGAGGTGTGCAGCTTGGACATAAATGAGAGAGCAGGGTTTTATGTTGCACTTGGTAATATTCCAGCAATATTATATCTCCACTACTGGAAATCCGAATCAAAGGCCCTTTTCAAGGTAACCCACATCGGAGCACTTACCTCCCCCTAGTAGCAGTAATGGAATCTTCCAGCTTTGCAAGATATAAACACATCTCCCAAGTCCAAGGGGTGTGAGGTTGAAGGACTCCATTGGGTCTCCAGCAATCCCATCTGCCCCACACTGACACACAACAGCCTCAGGCCGGAACTTCTCCTTCACTTTGGTCATTACTCTGAATGAATATCAAATTCTTCTCAGAATATTTACTAATCCTTACATTGTATTATTAAACTACTGACAAGTCTGTAACCAATAGGGGGCGGTGGGGCAGCATAGTGGTTAATGTGTTTGTTTGTCATGCCGAAGAACCGGGTTAAATTCCCCACATGGGTACAATGTGTTAAGCCCATTTCTTTTATCCTCCGACATGATTTGCTTGAATATTGCTAAAAGCGGCATAAAACTAAACTCACTTACTCAATGTAACCAATGGTAACAGGTAATCAGACGTGTAACAGGCTGACCATGCAATATTAAATAGCTGGGAACAAAAAAATAGGGTCATACTGTCACACATTGTTCCCATATAGGGCAAACAGAACTGTTCTCTAGCGCAACAAGCAATGCCTTAACCAATAGGCTACCCTACTGCCCATGTTTGCAGCTTCACACATCAACAAGTTACCTGTTAAAGAGTGCCGAGAATTCTGTGTCCTTGATCCCGTCCAACAGGGGAACATTGACAGAGTAGTACTTGCCTTTACCGATGCCCACGTCGCTGAGAGAACCCGTACCTGGCAGGACATCATCGAGAGTTCATGCATCAGAAGTAACCTTACTTTGTGACGGCTTCAGACATGTCAGAATCTTAGGCATTAATTATGTCAAACCTGATTACTGGTAATTTATGTCCCTCATCTGTGTTATCATTTGTAAATAATGTGCTCACATATCAATATGCTTGAGATATCAGCAGTGTTACTTTGTAAAAAAGATATTTGACCCAAAACAATTTTGTTAATGAAACATTGCATATGACAAAGTCTTGAGCAACTGGCATTGACAGTTTCATGTTTATCAGTGAAACAATAATCACATTTTCCGTGAACTATAATCACATTCATGGTGTGGACATACCAAGGATCCTAGTAAGAGTGATTATTGAGATTCAAACCCTTGAACACAAGACTGAACTCAGTGACCACTGGGCCATCTGTGCCTCCAAGTTTGCCTTGTACTGTCATATTTATCACTGTGTATTTCAACTTCTGCATCACTTGGCCAAACAAAGTTACCATGCATGTCCTAGAAACACTCACCTGGGAAGAATCCAGACAGGTACTTATGGAAGGACACTGTGAGGACCTTGGAGGTTGTACAGAAGGCATCCTCCACACCTAGTGGCAAAGAGTGTCATGTCAAACAGTGTCATAGTTACGGGACACTGCCATATCACAGACAGTGCCACATGTCAAACTCTGTCAAAGGTCAAACATAGGTATGAGTCACAAACTTTGCCATATGTTAGAGGCACAAGTCACACAGAGTCACATATCAAACTTTGATATATGTTAGACAGAAGTAACAGTGTCATAAGTCCCTTGAAGATCTGAATTAGAATTGATCGTTAGTAAGCCACGCTTGTCATAAGATCCCTAATGGGATCAGGTGGTCTGGCTTGCTGACTTGGTTAACTCATGTCATCGTATCCCAATTGTGTAGATTGATGCTCATGCTGTTGATCACAGGATCGTCTGGTCCAGACTCGACTATTTACAGACCGCAGCCATATAGCTGTAATATTGCTGAGTACAGCGTAAAACTAAACTCAGTCAATCAGTCAATCACAGTATCACAAGTCTTCTTTGAGAGGCATTTAGAAGTTGGAGCAGTAAGGAAGGATAACAATATATGGATGAACAACTTCTTTATTGCTGTGAGAGCGACGTTTCGGTGTAGGTTCTAACACTGTTATCAAGTAAGACATCACTTGCTTGATAACGGTGTTAGAACCTACACCGAAATGTCGCTCTCACAGCAATAAAGAAGTTGTTCCTCCATATATTGTTATCCTTCCTCAAACAGTGGTACATGCTGAAAAGTATTTTACCTTTTTCTTAGCAAGTCAGCTAAATCAAGTAAATATGGGAGGAATACCCAGATCGTGCATCTTGAGCATGGGTATACTGCAGGCATACCATTATTACCAAGGACCACAACTGGGCAGACATTTGTATCACTGGCCAGCATCTAGAAATCCTGGAAAGGCTAATTAAAGTAAAAAAAACAAATCGACCCTAAGAACTGGAGTCTGTCAGATGACATAGCTATCCTGCCCTGCAACCCTCTCACGGTACAGAGGCCTAGCCCCCAAGCTTCAGCTAGTAAACGTGTGAATGTGGGAATGTTTGCATGTGTTATCTAGAAAGTGATGTGCAAAGTATTTGCATTTCACTTGGCTTATCTCCCCCATCTTTACCCTGTAGACAAATATGACAATGTCATGCACCCACACCTACCATCGCCATGGTGAAGGTCAATGTCAACATATAGGACACGGTCAAAGCGCTGTCTCAGTTTTAGGATGCCGAGGACGATATCATTGATGTAGCAGAAACCTGAGGCACTGTCTCTGTAACAGAAGACATCTTACACAAAGATATTCATACGATATCTGTATGGTAACACACTGCAATTTGTACCTCCTCAGGCCCTCCTTCTACATACAGGTCTTGTACATAGACATTATCATTTAGCAGGGGTCAAAAAAAATTTAAAAATCCACTTGCCACAGGGCAAGTGACTTTAAGAAAGTAACCTGTCCTGACTAATTTTCCACTTGACCTGATTTTATGACATAATCATGATGATGTAATTATGAAAGAATACATCAACATGGTATTTGATGTTAATGTTTACTGGACTATTTATTGAAAAGTCATAAATAGCAAAGAAAGATAACTCTACTTCATTATCATTGCGAAATTTTATAGCTACATTTTGAGCAGATATGAAATTAAATCCAAGTTTATTTGCAGTTTGAAACCATAAGTAGAAATTATCTAGTAGCCCACGGACAAGTAATATACCATTTTTTGATTGCCCGAAATGAAAACTGACTTGTCCCGGGCATTGGGCGATGGGAATTTTGAACCCCTGTTTAGTTATCATGTATCATTTAGTTTATACTAAATTACATGTATACAGATTTGTACACTGTATAATTTTATCAAATGAATAAACAAACATGCCAAAGTTTGGCTTCAAAGTTCAGTCAGGTAAAGTCATTTTCAGTGCAAGGAAATACAATTGGAGAGGATTTTTCGACAAATCAAAACAAGGTAAAACTTTTAAATAATCGAAACTTTGTAAATACTGGTATACCGATGAAGATCTGTGTTAGAATTGGTCTTCAGTAACCCATGCTTGTTGTAAGAGGCCACTAACAGGACCGGGTGGTCAGGATTGCTGGCTTGGTTTGTACATGTCATCGTGATCTCAGTTGCGTAGATTGATATCGATACTCATGCTGTTGATCACTGGATAGTGCCTGTTCATCAGTACTCACCTCTTGGCATGATGCCATCCCCCACACCAATTCATGGCAATATCACAAGAACCATCAACCAATAACTCTGCAGCACAGACAGTTGCCCCGGCAACCAGCACAGCATACTCATACACTCCCACATGGACAGGGCAATCATATGCTGAAACAAACAATCATATCCTGAAACTATGCCCAGATATAATAACACTGTAACACACACTAGTGTTGGGAATTGGTTGAAATATCACAATCGATGATTGCTTCATTACCAACGAACAATCATTGAAAAAATTGGTTAGCGTCATTTTTCAGATTTTCCTATCCAGGTTGTTATTGCAGATATGTATAACATGATGCAACTTGCTACTTTAAAGTGATGACTTATAAACTTCCTGGAGTCTACAAGAAATATTCAGTCATGGCTTTTCAGTTAGTGAAGTGACTTTTCTATGAATTAAACACGTTTTCAGGCCCTGACACTTCAACGATATGTTCCATTGTCAAGTATTTCAAAGACTAAAAAAGTAGTTAAAAAATCGTTTATGTTCGATTATTAGAAAATGTGATCGATTGCTTGGTCGTTTGGTCACTGCGACCAATCTTCGATTATTTCAATTAATCGGAACACCACTAACACACACACATAGTGTTGTATACATTACATCACACTGAACTTAAATTAAATGTCCACATCAATACACTCTAACTTAAATAATCTGAGACCAAGCAATCTATGACTATCAATTGTCTACAGTCTTAGTTATACAATGTATAGTAAATCTCATTATATAGCCATATCTAACAGAGCAATCTCCATTCTAACCTGATCCACCTTCATTATGTTTCAAGGTTTGTGAGTACAACACCCATGATCATATATTTTTACCAAAGAAACCTGCATAGGCATAAATTAAAAATATAGCTAACACACCATGATACAACTGACATACTGTCAACTGTTGCATTTCATCAAAGTCACTTCTCAATTTATATTTAGTAGAGCAAAACCAATTAATGTACTAATTGATTTATAGCTGATCCTTTGCATAGGCTTCTCTTATCAAAATCTTCCATAATGAACATTCATATTTTAAATCTACACATTTTAGTTGGAATTATGAGGAATATTTTAATTGTCTTCAAACCTTTTTCAAACACAAACAGTAAACATGCATTAAAAGAACAACAAGATCATGATTATATGTATAATGCATAGAATGTAGAAACCACTGACTGAGCCCAAACTGTTCTGCTTCTTGGTCATATTTTTCTTCATCCTCTTGGTCACTGATCTTTTCCAGAAACTGGACATATTCTGGTGAGTGGAACTGAAGCAATTCAGATGCAGTTGCCTCCCTTGGTGGTATCACTCTGAAAAAAATGCACTTGGTGTATGTAAAGGAATGGTCTATTGCTCACTGTTCAGTTGTTTGACTTTGTAAGGATTCTATGGTTAAACAACTCACTTCATGTACTTGACAAGGCCATAAGCTTCTATCAGCCTGTGAACCATACTTGCCTGAAAAAAGAAAAGAAAATTGGCTCAGAAAATAATAAATTATTTCGGTATATGTGAGATGGTGCTACTGAGTTCCCTTCTTAGTGTCTTAGTGTCGACTTTCGATCATTAGTCCATTTCAAAGGAGTGGCTAGTTACATAAATTTATAATGCACCATATATACTGAGCAAAACAAATAAAGGAACACATAAAAGTTCAAATGTTCCTTTATCATTTCCAGGTTTCTTCCAAGCTTTGTAATGTAATGTGGGTGAAAATCTGAGAACATATAAAGAAACACTGCAATGTGTTCCCTTATGTGTTTCCATCAGTAAATATTAAACTGAGCAGTGAGTCTAAGTAAAGTGTGACCTACCCTCTGTTCAACCCTAGGCATCTTGTCACAGATGTTAAGGAAGGTCTCACTGTAAACATAGCCTATTCTTGACTGCCCACTTGACCTGGGCGCTGGTACAGAGCCAACTGTTACAGAATCCATGCTGTCATCACAGACAGAATCTTTCATTTTGGAGGGGCTGTTTGGTTTTCGAACATCCTCATTCCTAGCTTGCAGTACCCTCTTCCTCTTGTGCAGGGGAGTCGGTGACTGGCTGTGTTCATCAAAGTCTGTGATCTCATAAACATCAACATTGTTTGAAATGTCCTGTGTTTCTGAATTGTCCTTGTTGGCATACATTTTATCACAGTTATTTACGTCTAGTACTTTGGATGTCTGATTTGTTAGGCCACCACCTTCACATCCATCTATGTTACTGACATCTACTTGAAGTCTTATATTACTTTGTGAGTTACCGAGGTGGCCTTGATGTTCTTGGTCCTTGCAATGCACAAAGTCAGCTCCAGCATGTCTCTCTGTTGGAGGTTCTGGCTTGTTCTCATCATTATCTCTATCACACACATCAGGCAAGGATTTCAAGGGATGCAATATTTCTGATTTTACATCATTTCCCCTGTCTTCAGAGGTAGTAATAAGACTAGCACAGTCTTGTCCCTGGCTCAATTCACCTTCTGAAAAAACACTACACTTCTCTTTCACATCAGTCAGAGACAGTGGACTTGTTTGACTAGACACATCAATCACTATATCACAGAGTCTGCGCTTCTTTGAAGGATGTTCTGTTGAATCTGGATTTTCATTTAGTGAATCATTTTGTTTTACTGAGACAATATCATAACAATAGTTCCGGCGCAAATCAACAGAATTCTGCGAGTCATCATTATCGATGTCGTAAATGTCTATACTGTTACTTCCTTTGTGTTGGATTAGCAGATGCAGCCTCTTCTGCAATAGACACTGTCTTAGCCATGTTTGAGCAATGATCACTTTGAGTTGTACATCCTTTCCTTTTCGCCTCATCCTCTTGTGGAATTCCATTCATCTTTTTATGCTACAACAAATGCATCAATTTCACAACTTGAACCTTGCCTTTGTAACTTTCAAGTTTCATGCTCTGGTTGTATCTGCTTAACTGATTGTTTCTGTTGAGTGGTTGAGAAACAACTGCCACCATTCTCCCCTGATGGAATGGTTGACATTTTCAACACTGAATCTGAAACATCTGTAATTCTGTACCAAAGACTGTTTGTCTGGGCATTCTAAACTTGATACACGATAGTGGAGTAAGAATAACTGTCCATGCAACACATACATAGAAAGACAGACTTTGTTTATTGTTGGTGTGCAGATATTTGTTAACACATAAGTTTGGGGCTGTCAAAATTTAAACATTAAATATTATAAATAAAAGCTGCTGCAAGAATATGGCTATCGTCGGATTATGTTTTCATTTTTCAGAAGTTTTCACTCTACCTATAACACATTCATAATAAGTACTAGAGATGATAGGTTGTGTTAAATATAAAGTTGTCCTTAATAAGTTTTCGACATGTTTTAATTTTGCACAACCGATAATCTAAATCTAAGCTTTCAAAACCAGTTAACCGAAATACATGCTGGAACTCTTACCTACATGCTTTGGAAATTCGCACTTTGGTAACATTAAAATTATCACAACTGTTGTTCGAGATACCAAGTGTCACCATAATTCGAGGGATGATGGATAAGATTGTCTGTCAATTGACCCCCATAACAACCTCAGCGAAATTTGTATTTCCCGCCAGACAAAATCACATTCTGGATGTTGTTTACCTTCAATGAGAATATTTCAATGGCTGATTTAACCTCCTCACTACATAGTGGCGACTCTGCACGCGACAAAGCATCTAGATTACTTTATGCTAATTCTATGCATACAACTCCGACTATTTCTGATGTTGGGCTGGTTTTCATCTCAGATTTTGGTATTAAACAAAAGATTGAGAAACTCCGAAATATGAATATTTCACTTACAACAGAATCTGTTTCTGATTATTATCACGCATAACAGTATTTAATTAAAAGGTTTCATATTATTTTTTTCATTTATTTTCAATTCATTATTGGAGATTATGCGAAAACGAAAAATAATATTCATTACGTTCGTTAAAACTTCCTCTCTCCTTTTAATACTTTTCATATTTTTCCTCCGATTCTAAAGAGTTACTTAGAGTACATTCTACTTCCGGTAAGGAAGAAATATATTGACGATTAATTTGATATTTGTAAGATGAATAACCTCTGTTGTAAACATTGCATGTAGTGTGCAGAACGATAAGGGATTCAACTTTCGAGTTTCTTTACAATTTGCACCAAACAGGGCTAATATTTCCGTCAAATGTGATGTCCCGATTTGTCATTATTGAAAATAGAACCTCTACGTATTCAGCTGGTCCTTATTTCGATCACAATCATCTCCATCTCAGGTAGAATATTTGAAGAAGGGAGCGGAACAGTGCTATCTATGTCAAAAGTAACAAGTATATAATGCTTAATAACTGTAAACTGTGAAAATAATAACAGTTTTATTGACTTTTGCAATTTTCATCATTCACAAGTCTACAATTTGTACAACTACAGTGTTCCTGTGAATCACCGTTTGCACATATCATTTGTACCACCTGGTAAAGCTGTGAATATGTCAGCTATTTTGAGCTGATAACTGCCCAACAGACTGGGAAGTAATTGTGGTTGACGTGAGCTTGAGCTCATTTTGTAATCACTGGATACAGGTCTGATACTAGTGATAGCCTGCATCAATTTGGGTTTTCCCCAGGTGCATGGTACAACTGAACTGTATTCTTTTTGTGTATTTTCAGGTAAGAATTCTGCCCATAACCCCGCTTTTTTTCCTTATCCTGACTCATGCTCTTTTTGCTTGTCTTCTTCTTCTTGCGAACATAGTGGAACACTTGTATCTCCCTAATTGAAGCTCCCTTCAATTTAAAATCACTAATTAGTATTCACCACGAGTTACCTCCTTTCCACAAGCGCGGGAACGAGGGCGCCACCTCTACCCATGTGCCTCACTCTCTCCTTCTTCGCCCAGTGAGCTGGACGTGAGAGCGCCTGTGTCTCCCGACACACTATATCCTTTGATTTATATTTAGTTAGTTACCTCGTATAGACATCTATAGAGGTTTAGCTAGTATCCTTCAACGATTATATATTGATATTTAGTCGTTTTTCTACAGTTTATTCACGGGACGCCGTGTTTGTTTCAGTGGATTACGTTGATGAAAATTCTGTACTATTGCAGATTACGTTTTTTATGCTGCTGCTGATCCGCCTTTAATATGATGTACGGCGCCATGTTTATTATATTCACACTGCAGTTGCGGTACTAATTTATCCAATTCTACCTTTTTATTAATATTTACTTTGCGTTTGGCACGCACAGCAGATAGGTCGCGTATGCAGAGTCTAGTATGACTGATACACGGAACCCCTCGCCAGTCTACTGCTGTTGGCCGACTCCCCTCCCGTGTGGTGTTCCGCTAGAGTGGTGGAGAGGTGTGGGACGTAGTCCGCCATCTCCAAGAAGCATCCTGCTTCCCCAGACATCCCATCGTCGCAGCAGAAGACTAGAGGGTTTTTCTACTACATCTCAACAACCGAGACCGTTCCCATCGAAGTTTTGGGCCTGTATGATGATCAGCCGGTCATCATACCGGATGTACATCAAAGATTGACCGATGTCGGCACAGATCAGCATGCAGCCTGATGTACCAACGCAGATATGCGATGATCGTCCTGAGGGTCCCATCATTACCAACACTCAACGCAGACGTCGCACACCCAGGGCAGCGTCGACCTCTGAGGGAAAATCAACGAAGTCTACTAGGACTTTCTCAACCGAGATTGTTCCAACCGATGACCTGGACCTCTACGATGATCAGCTGATCATCATCCCCGACGTACGCCACAAGAAACGACCGGTGACAGCTACAACGACATCAGCAGAGATCACCATGCAGCCTGATGCCTCTACACTGATGTCGGACGATTTTCCGGTGGACCCCTCCATTAACACCGCAGATAAAGCACCGACGACCTCGTCGCAGACCATCCCAGAAGACATGATGCGACAAATTATGAACATCATGGAGGACCAATATCTGCGGTAGCAGGGTCCGAGCCTTCGCGAAGGCTCCAACGTAGACAGCACCCCAGAGGCACCCCCCGTCAACGTAGCAGCCAGGACGATGTCACCTTCGCGAAGGAAGTCACGGACCACCTTGACGAAGGACCTAGATGTACAGCCTTCGCGAAGGCCTTCGCGAAGGCGGAAAGGAACCTAGATGTACAGCCTTCGCGAAGGACTTCGCGAAGGCAGGATAGATCATCACCTTATGCGGTTTCATCCCTAGATGTGGACTCGGACCATCAGACATCACGGAAGCCTTCGCGAAGGTCATATCGTCGTTCCCCCGGACCGGACGCAGAGGAAGCTTCGCGAAGGCATGCGCGAAGGACACCTGAATCCAGATCATCATCATCTAGAAGGACATCGAGGGACTATACAAGAGCTTCGCGAAACTATCAACGTTCCCCTCACAAGTCTCCGAGAAGATCAACCCATAGACAAGTTGATCATCGATATCAAGTATAAGAACTACAATCGTATATTGGTTCTGTTGAATCCATGACGAGACGTATGTTCGCTGGCCTAAATAGATCTAGAACGATCAATTAGACACTTATCACCAGACTTCGTAACACGACTTCTGAATATGATAAGATGATCCATGCGGCCCTACTTAGGCAAGCGCTTCGCCGATCCCACATCCTGTTAAACACAGAGGCTGTTCACGAAGCAAGCGCTCATATATATATTTATATATATATATATATATACTAATCGGGCTTTGACTCAACACCTTCGCGATGGTCGCGAAGGCTAAGTGGCTCCAAGTCTACTTCACCCAGAAGATCTAGAAGGGATACTTCGAGAACTTCGCGAAGTCTCCGGCGTTCACCGAGGAAGTCTCCTCCAAGGTTTCCATATACTAGCCACTCGTCATATATAGCTACTCGTCAGTCCGTTCAAGACGTCGCATAAGTTGATTATCAACTGTATGCCAGATGCCGTCTATAAGCCTACGCGAAGATAATTGCTTAGGCTATTTACAACACAGAACGTCGCTGTATTATTAGTCAACGACATTTCATAGATCTTCACAGAAATCAACTATTCCGTATAAATTGCTAATATACAATCCCGGACGACGATACGATTATCTACATGCGTGACCATTACGCATATCTGCAGACAATTCAATATCGAAATTGAACAGCAGCCTTGTTACAGCGAGTATAACTCTTAATCGTCAAAGTTTCTGAGAAGAAATATGTACAACAAGTTCAACGTTAATTCTACAATTATGACGATACATTCATGTATACAGTCTACAAGCTCACAACTTGCAAGTTGTTTATACCCTTATATATAAGGAAGTCGGAATTATATTCAAAACTGAAATTATTTTCACGACAACCAGGAAAATAACCTACCCAGCATAAAATTACAGAGCGAGATATTTCGCGCCGGAGGTTTCGCGCGGTTACCATTAACCCTCGAAACACGTGGTCACTCGGATAACTTCGGGAAGCTACGGTGAAGACCGACGTTTATGCTAATATCAACGACGACAAGAATTTATTCAAGGTGGGTTTTTTCCCGCTACACCGGTGACATCACAGCGCGGGTATTTATACAGAATCAAAATGCCTTGTTCTGATTGGACCGCGAGGGACAACGACCTACACAGAGGTCGATCTCTGTTCACAGTTCAAGACTTACGTCACAAGTGACAACTATATATCAGTGAACGAGCAAGCCTCATTACAGTCCAGTTAACCTGAACATTCATGATTAGACTGCCTTTCTTCAAGTTAGAGACCTCCCCTGTCAAGTTAAGACGAGGGATCGGCAGTCAGGCGATTTTACATAAAGTTCAACGAGGACAGACACACCTGGTTGTGCACCTACATCGTCAAGGACTTCGCAGCGAATTACCTAGACGAAAGATACAAGTGGATCTAAATCCACAGCGTTTCAGACTACAGCTGAATTTCATCAAGCGACTAACACAACTAGATGGTTAGTAAACCTACTAAACTTCTGTTTGGAGAATAAAACGGAAATTTCACGCCCAACCTGGGGGATATGAATATAGTGCTCCAACACCTCACAAGTGAGGTTTATGAACACGCCTGGATGACATACTTGGACCCCATGATACGATGATTCTATCAAGATGGCCAGCAAGAGCACTGTAAATTTATCTCCACCAAACCAAACAGGAGGAAAAAATGCAACAGATTATTTCCTCTATCATCAACTTACGCAGAGTGAAGTCTCATGTACTATATCTCCATTTGGATCAGAACTGTCATACTACGTGCATATGCGGATGGACCTATTCCGACCCTCCATGAGCTTAATACTCATGATATTATAGCGCTAACTTCTAGAATTGTTCTACACAAATGTGATTGAAATAATGGAGGGTTTATTTCTGGAAATCCGATATGGTGGTTGCAAACCATTATCTGAGAGATATCACCACCGAGGACGTCTCAGGTATACACCAATTCGATCCCATGGTCCTCGCACAACAGCTGACAGTTCCTCGGAGAAGATAAGTCAATCTAACAGATTTTTACTTATCTTATAACAATACTAAATAGCTTCATGCTATATATAATTTACTTAAGTTCCTTTTATCATCACAGTACTATGATTATTACATCATACAATATATAAGTTAACAACTCTACAGAGTTTGTTATTATATATATTTACCTTAAGTTATTCATATCTTAAGAGTAATACTATGGTTACATGATAAATGCATTAGCTAACAAACTCTACAGAGTTTTTGGCTATTTTATACATAGCTTAAGTTAATTAAGCTAACAAACTCTACGGAGTTTTACTATTATATAGGTAACTTAAGCTAATTATACCTTAAGCATAGTACTATACTCATATTATTAAAATATATTGGCTAACAAACTCTAAGGAGTTTTGCTATTATATAGGTAGCTTAAGCTTATTCATATCTTAAGCTTAGTACTATGTTTATATCATATAAGTAGATTAGCTAACAAACTCTAAAGAGTTTTTTGCTATTTGGCTTAAGTATCATCATATTTCTAAGCAATATGGTTATATTATAACATGTATTAGCTAACAAACTCTACAGAGTTTTAGCTATTATATATGTAACTTAAGCTTATTCATATCTTAAGCGCAGTACTATGTTTATATCATATAGGTATATTAGCTATCAAAACTCTAAAAGAGGGTTTTGCTATTATATATTTCGCTTAAGTTTCATCACTCTACGGTTTACATTATAACATGTATTAGAGTTCTTGCTATTATATATGTAGCTTAAGTTTTCCTTCATAAGCTCAATACTAGGTTTATATCATAGCTAACAAACTCTAAAGGGTTGTTTTCGCTATTATACAATTAGCTTAAGTTTTCATCATATCTTAAGCAGTATGTTTACATTATAAAGGTATTAGCTAACAAAACTCGACGGAGTTTTGTTATTATATATATATAGCTTAAGTTTCATCATAACTTAAGCTCAGTACTATGTTTTTAACATAAAAGTATATTAGTTAATAAACTCTAAGGAGTTTATTTTGCTATATACATTTAGCTTAAGTCTAATCTTATCTTAAGCTTAGTACTATGGTTACACTATAAACATATTAGCTAATAAACTCTACAGAGTTTTTTGGCTATTATATATGTAGCTTAAGTTAATAATATCTTAAGCACAATACTATACTCATATTGTAAAATATGTTAGCTAACAAACTCTAATGGAGTTCTGCTATTATATATGTAGCTTAAGTTCATTATATCTTAAGCACACTACTATACTCATATTGTAAAATATATTAGCTAACAAACTCTACACGGAGTTTTGCTATTATATATGTAGCTTAAGTTCATTATATCTTAAGCACACTACTATACTCATATTGTAAAAATATATTAGCTAACAAAACCCTACAGAGTTTTGCTATATATATGTAGCTTAAGTTAATTATATCTTAAGCTCAGTACTATACTAATATTATAATATATATTAGCTAACAAACTCTACAGAGTTTGGCTATTATATATGTAGCTTAAGTTAATTATAGCTTAAGCACAGTACTATACTCATATTATAAAAATATATTAGCTAACAAACTCTACAGAGTTTGGCTATTATATATGTAGCTTAAGTTAATTATAGCTTAAGCACAGTACTATACTCATATTATAAAAATATATTAGCTAACAAACTCTACAGAGTTTTGCTATTATATATATAGCTAAAGCTTATTCATATCTTAAGCTCAGCATTATATCTATATCATATAAGTATATTAACTAACAAACTCTAAAGAGTTTGCTAATATATAATTAGCTTAAGTTTAATCATATCTTAAGCTTAGTACTATGTTATATCTTAAAGTATTTTAGCTAACAAACTCTAAGGAGTTTATACTAGATATTAACAAGCTTAAGTCTATTAGTCTTAAGCATTGTATTAATGTTATATATACTTTATCATAATAAGTACATGGTAATAACCTTTTATATGGCAGCTGATAAGTTAGCAGCAGGAATTCATCAGTTCAGTGCCTTTATGAAGTTCCCATAGGGTTATTACAATCATCACAGTTCAAATCACTAATTATTAAAAATCCAAAGTATTAGTATTCCCACCTCCGTTCCGTAGGATGCTACAAGCAAGAGAGATGAGTCAGGATAAGGAAAAATATGTAATTTTTGGAGTAAAATTGATATTTTATACTTATCCTGACTCATGAGGTCAGCCCTCCCATCCTCCCCAAATAACACTTTGGATTTCCTGTAAATTCAAATGTTGGGCTCAGTATATGAGGAGAGAGTGAGGCACATGGGTAGAGGTGGCGCCCTCGTTCCCGCGCTTGTGGAAAGGAGGTAACTCGTGGTGAATACTAATTAGTGATTTTAAATTGAAGGGAGCTTCAATTAGGGAGATACAAGTGTTCCACTATGTTCGCAAGAAGAAGAAGACAAGCAAAAAGAGCATGAGTCAGGATAAGTATAAAATATCAATTTTACTCCAAAAATTACATTTTTATTAAAGCCTAATCAAGCATAGTGACTTTGTCGTGTTTTGCTTTATAAACCAAGCATTAACTCGATTAATAGTAGTTTTTTGTTTAAAAAAACTTCTTGCAATATATTGCAATACATATCACAATATAATATATGCTTTCGCATCGCAATATATCGCAATAAATTCTCTGCAATACCCACCCCTAGTGTACACTAACATGGATAAATACATAAAAACAAATAAATAAAGGCCCCATCTGGTTCACAATAATATACTTCACTTCATGTTGCATTTTACCTATTTTGTATTCTTTCAGATGTAAATTGAGGGCAAGTGACCTAAGGAGGTGAAAGCAGTCGCTACATCACACAGTATCTAAGATGATATTGAGGTTTACTGTGATGTGATAATCAAGGTTATTCAGAGGTTGCAAAATAACCATGTCTTCACCAACCTCTCCAAAGTCCTCAAGAAAGAGGGGTAAAAAACGACCTCCTGTAAAATTAACTGTAAAAATTCCTAGCCCTCAGAAAAAGAAGAAGGTGAAAAGTGAAAGTTTGGATTGTGATGATCATGATTACACTTGTACAGTGTGTGACTTTTGTTCAAAGTCATTTGGAGATGGAGCCAAATTGTTAAGTCACATGAGGAAGAGTCACCGCCAGGGATCACATATCTGTATGTGTCACGGCAAGCTTTTCAAGACTCGCAGAAGCATGCAAAGCCATGAAGAGAAGATGCAGGTGAAATATTAATATAACAAATTAACATTCCTTAAAAACATTCATGTAACATTATCCTTTAGTATGTAAATAGGTTAATGAAGTCCATATCATACCCTAAGTTTAGAAGTTTTGGTGGGGGTCCCTTGATTCAAACACAGTTAGAAAACAAATTGGGATGCCATGATTCCCCTTAACACAATTTGTCTATGCACTCTATAGTACAAGTATAAGACCTGCCATCATGAGTCTAAGTCAATCTTGAGGGATCTTTCTTACTAAATATTACACAAGATTAAGAGAATTAGACAAAAGTAGAAGTCTTGGTTGCTGTAGCTCATACCATGTGTTTTCAGGACGGCACAATGGGTCAGAGAAAGAACTATCGGAAGTACACTCAAGAGGCCTTGCTCAATGCCTACAATGCTGTAAAAGAAGGGAAAATGTCGACAAGAAAAGCAGCTAAGAAATTCAGTATCCCTTTCACCACGCTCCTTGACAGAGTTGCTGGTCGGTTTGAAGTCAACTCATATATGGCTACTTCAGGACCAAGGCCTCTCATAAGCCGAGATGATGAACAAAAACTCTGCCTTCATGTGCAGTTCATGGCTGCCATCGGCTACACATACCTCCGGACCACCGTCACACAGCTGGCAACAGAACTCGCTACTTTTAAATGTGTCCTTGATGAAGGCAAGTCTTTATCGGACAACTGGTACAGAAAGTTTGTGAATCGTTGGCCTGAGCTATCAAAGAAACCCAAAGGAGCCAATGCTGTGTCTTCTGCAAGTACAGAAGTTGTGAAGAAGTATTATCAAGAGTATGTTCAAACATTGACCACACATGGTATAAAAGATAAACCTGAGAACATCTATTGTTTGACTGTGTATGAACTGAACATCCAGAAGTATGACCAGAGTCTAGGAAAGAAGAAATCATCTGGCAATAAAGTTTCTGATATGGTGTCCATCATCTTTTGTAGTAATGCTGCTGGGTCATCTATTGCTCCTTTCTTTGTGTTTAGTGGTGGTGCTTACAGTGACAAGCTCATGGAGGGAGCTCTGCCAAACTCACAAGCTCGTGTGTCACCTTCAGGGGTGATGGATAGCTCAATGTTCAAGGACTACTTCAAGAACCATCTTCTGAAGCTTCTGAAGGCAGATGCGGATGTGAAGGATGGGCCTGTGTTGGTAACATACAATGGCCACCTGATACACTTTGAGATAGAACGTATTGAATGGGCAAGAAAGCATGGAGTCTTACTGTTTGCACTGCCACCAGTAACCGACCATCTCAAGACATCACTGGACTCAGAAATGAAGGATATGTTCCACCAGTTGTTCAAACAAGAGGCCAAGAAGTACCAGAAGAAACATTTTGGAGATCCACTCACAAAGTATAATGTCTGGAGTCGTTGTCAGGAAGGTGTTTCCTCAAGTCTTCACAAAAAGAATCCTCATCCGTTTCTTCAAGAATGCTGGAATTTATCCTGTTGTACCTGAGCTTGTGGACCCGGAAGTCACCTTTGCAGATGTAGAAGATGTGGACGAGTCTGTGTATGATGATCTAGAAAGCACTGAAGCTTTCCTTCAAGTTCGGCTTCCATTTCCAAATGTAGCAAACAGAGTCCTTTTGAGGAGAAATGGGTTGCCACTTCAAACCTCCAACAAGATGCTCGAGAGGTTTGGTCAACCTTCAAAGAAGGATGAGAAGGCACCTTTGAAGTTGGCCACCACTGAACATTCTTATGTACATGGAGTAGTGTTGAACCAGGCTAAGAGTGAGACTGATGATACTGTGTCAGTGGAACCAATCATTGATGTGCCTCATTCGAGTGTGTCTCCCTGTGCACCTGATCCAGCCACAAAAGGGGTTCAGGTAGATGACACAGGCACTGTAGACAATGTGATCAGCGAGGTTACTGCCGTCGGTGAAGTGGATGTTGAGGACACTCTTTATGTCATCGAGACACAAGTCGTATCATCAGTGGTGGAGGTGGGAACCACTGAGCTCGTCCCAGTAGGTGTTGATGCTGGTGAAAGTGAGGAACAAGAGATCACATTGAGGACCTCGAGTCAGGAAACTGGATCAGAATTAGATCCTGATCAGCCAGTCAGCTTACCTCACTATGCTTATGTTGTAGATCCAGCCACAAAGATCAAATACAAGATAATGTTTGCCGAATAACTCAACAGCATCACAAACTGACATGAGTCTCAGCAAAATCCTGTTTCTCCTGACAGCTAAGTTTGTGACAAGTGTGATGGATATCCATATATTTTTGGTACTGACTGGATTGACCTGTTGTTACAAAATAACTGACCGTTTATCAAAAGGAAACATACAATAGCCCGTGGAGGGTCACAAAATGAGAGTTGTTTGATTCTGTGCAGGACATTCTGCTAGTTCCTAAAGGCTATGTGTGTGTGTAAACTGGGATGTACAGTCAGCCCATTGTGTCCCTTGTGCTTCCCAGCTGCAAATCATCAACAGCTTGCATATGGTTCACTTGTAATAAAACGATAACAAAACATTTTCTTGGGTTACTAGTTGCCTTTTCTCTTGTTTTAGTGCAGGCACTGCACTTTTTATAGTCCTTTCTTTGTGTATTCAAAGATGTATTTAGGAATGGAACATTATTACACTTTCTTCCAGAGGACACAATTGCTCAAGTATTAGTGTGTGGTTTTACGCTGCTTTTAGCAATATTCCAGCAATATCACTGTAGGGGGACCCCAGAAATGTACCCATGTGGGGAATCGAACACGGGCCTTCGGCATAACGAGCAAACACTTAACCACTGGGCTACCCCGTCCCGCTCAAGGATTTATTCCAACTCAAGTCATATTGTAGAGATTGGTTGTCAATGCTATTAACACTTAATCTAAGTTCTTATCAGATGGGGATGGGGGAGTCATGTTAGATGTCTCAGGTGATGCGATTTGACTTACAGAGTTGTGTCCCTTTGATGAACCAGAATCTGATGTTTTGGGTATGCATCCAGATTGCCATTGTGATTAGCAATGATTATGAACCTTAGTTTGTCAGCATCATAGACATGAGAAAAAATTCATACCTACTACCTCTGGAGTCAAACCTGTGTGACAAACCAATGCTTTGTCTGGTTTTCAAACATGTTGTACCTCTTCAGTTAACTGGAGGTGAGGTGAGGTGAGGTGAAATTGGGTTTATCGTCGTGCTTGAGAATATTTCGCTCATATGACGACGTGCATGCGTGTGTATGTGTATGTGCGGCTGCTTGTACTAGCCCAGACTTAAGCTGGTTTTATAGTGCTAGCCCACTGAGATACCATGCCGCAGTGAAGCATGAATACCCCACTCAGACACAGTATACTGACTCCAAGCCGACCAGTCCTTGTACCCATTAATGCCGAACGCCAGGCAGGGACCAACAAGTACCATATTTTAACGTGTTTTGGTATGACGCGGTCGGGGATCGAACCCGCGACCTTCCGCTCTCCAGGCGGACGCTCTAACCACTACACCATGGAGGCGGTCCAGTTAACTGGAGAGAGCATCTGACAACAGCCTGTAAATATGAGTCAGGACAATCCAGAGAATGATATTAACAGCAGACCATTCCATCACATTACCATCACCTGCTTCAAGGTGTCTCTGAGCCTGACCACCCAATCCATTTGGTCACCATTTGACAAACAGATTGTTGGGGAATTGTTGTAACCCAGAATAAGTGTGACACTCCACACAAGGGAGTGACATAAAACGGACCAGAATAGTGGATGATATGTATCCTGACAATATGGGTGCAATACGATTTGTATACAGATACAGTACATTCTATTTCATATGTTCAGTCTCTCCCTCTCTGTAGGTGTATCTCAACCCTCAATACTTTGTTATCCCCCACCGCGTGTTTAGCGCGACGCGGGTGATATAGTATTAGGCTCCGTAATCTCCGTCGTACGTACGCGAATTGGAATATCTTAAGAACCGTTCACTAGATTCTTTTCATATTTGGTACCTGTGTTCATCACACTATAAGAAAGGTTCAAGTCAGGTTTGGTGACCTTGACCTTCATTTCAAGGTCACAAGGGGACTTTCACGTTTTACCTGCATGTTAAGCTATCTCAAGAACCGTTCACTGGATTTTCTTCATATTCAATACCAAGCTTTATCCAGGGAAGGTGACCTTCACATAATTTGTAGGGTCACGATGACACTATGAAGATTTCATAATGTTAACCTGAATTGTCAGCAAGATATTTTAAGAACGGTTCACTGGATTTTCTTCATAGACTTTCAAGACCTCCCTTGAATGTTTTTCAATAAGCAATTTCTTTAGTACTAGTTTTGCATATTTCATACACTATGACATTCATGTCAAGGTCAAAGTCAGCCTTGAAAATATGTGTGTTTGACCAACTAAAGAGCAAGATTATGTTTTTGTTGACATTTAACTTCATCTTAAACTTTCATTACTTTATAAGTTTGATTTGATAATTTGCGGCGGGGGATTATGTCACCTTAGTGACGATGCTTGTTTTATAAATGTCAGACAGCAAAGTTTGGATATTGTAGGGGAGAAACATATAAGCTCAGGGCACTGTAAAGATTCTGGTTATTGCCAACCAGAAAATACTAGAGAAATGCCTTAAATTAGTTCTTGGACATTTTCTTTCCGTTATTATTCGCATTTTTACACCAACATAACTTGCAGTATTACGATCAGAAGTACTACCATACAGGGGTTGAGATACATTGAAGTAGTGTTAGCCTTGAACATTTCCCGTTATTATTCATGTTTTTTTATACCAATATAACTTGCAGTGTTATGTATCAGAAGTACTGCCATGTGAATATAATGACACAGGTGTGATCTACTGCTCTTGTCCTGCATAAAATCAATATACTTTAAGTGAGAAAGTGTAATCCCAAGATTTGACCACTTTCTAAGACACTGTGTATGCATTGCTTTCAGCCATTGGAGCCATACCAATTTCCATTTAAACAACTGACAATTCTTAACTTCAGCCTGATGAATATCTTGGGCCTAGATTTTCGAAGCTCTCTTAACGCTAAGATAGTTGTAAGTTAATGTTAATGTATGGCACTTACGACTATCTTAGCGCTAAGAGAGCTTCGAAAATCTAGGCCCTGGAACTGTATGTTTCTTGTTTAATGTGGCACTCAGTACTTAGCTATATGAAGGCAGCCAGTAAATAATCAAGGCTGGACCTGACAAAGCAGAGACTGATATCAGTCCAGGCAATCAGTAAATTATGACACAAGAGCAAACAGTAGCTGAGCTTTGTTTGTTTCTCGTTTAACGCTGCTCTCGGCAATATTCCAGCTATATGACGGCAATCTGCATATAATCAAGTCTGGACCAGACAATCCAGTGACTGACATCATGAGCATCAATGTACGCAATTAGGATATGATGACATGTTATCCGGTTAGTTGCCTCTTGCGACAATCATCAGTTGCTGAGGACCAGTTGTACACCTGATATAACTGGAAGAACTGATCTTCACGGGTCAGTTGTAGAGCATCTTCTTGACATCAATTGTAATCCAGTATCCCCATCTGGCTACTGTATGCAGAACGTTCATAACACAAAAGAGGACACAAGTTTCTAGCATGTTTTTGTTTTATTCATAGGACTGAGCAAAATAATGACCCACATAAAGTGAACATATTTTATGTAGGTTTAACAATTTCCTTCAGTTGGACTTTCTTTTGGTTATCTTCCCCCTGCAAAGAACATGTTTTCAATAGGCAAATCTACAAATATCTTCAAAAACTAAAAATAATTCTCATTATGCTCACAGTCAAGCCACCCTACCACCCCCCTTTCACTCTATCACACTCAACACAAGGCATACATTCTTTAAAATTATTCAATATTTACATCAAAATTGTAAACACATTCTAAAAAACACTGAATGTACAAATCAAGGTTATTAAATATAGTGCACAGATACCTGAAGCTCTGAATTATCTGTTAAAATTGACAATGTATTGAAACACCCATTTCATTACATTAATAAAAATTTGCCTGGCAGATGCAATTCAAAGACTTCACAAAATGAAACACCAATCTGGTATCTCTTGTGACAATAAAATTGTATTCTATATCTTTCTTATAAGACATATCGCATGCTTGGACACAAGCTATAATAAATATTAGTTTGAAATAAACGCCTCATATTAGTGACTCCTCCAACCAAGAATGTAGACATACGTTTTCTAAAAACCTTTCTTCCCCTGCTATTTCCAAAATATAGCTACCAAAGAATTCACATTGATCATTGTGTACAAGGTATTTGCATTTTAGGTTGGCATCTTCCTAAGCGCTCTATCCTATTCACTGATGGTGATATCCCGTATATAACTTGTAATCTCAGACAAGCACACATTGATTGCTAGATTGCTATGTGTACGGAAACTGTCTCCAAAAAGCATGATGTACCAGGTGTGTTTAGTAACAGCCATGATCATCACTTGCTCAAAATCAGAACTTCCAATTAATCTCAGTATCCAAGGTCAAATACCTTGGCTTTAAAAATACACATCACAGAGCCCAATAATCACTCATGCCAAGAGCAGCAGTTGAACTTTGATTGAAACAAAGTCCAACATTTTCCTGCCATGTTCACATAATATTGACTGAAAAATACAAGTAATATGACTCCCTTTATCCAACACTTGCTTTTGGACCTGTGTAATGCACTCTCAATCTGTCACAAACCTGTACACTCTCAAGCACTCTACTGACAGCATTGTCACTGTGGAAGGATCATGCCTTCGCAACAAGCAGTTTGTTTAGAGATCATTTTCACACTCCAACACACTTCCGAGGGCACTGTCGCACTCTCAGTACACTTCCAATCTATTTCTCAACAAACCACTTTATTGAGAGTAATTCCTTTCACCCATCAAAAACCATTGGAGAATCAGCTGGCATAATGCATTTATTAAGCACACATTGAATGCCTGAGCAATGGCTCCAAATTGCTTGTGTGATGGTTCCAGCCCACAAAATAGATTCCAAGAGGAACCAGAACCAGTCGTTGACCATTGTGAATAATATCCACCATGCTTGTCAAAAGCAAAAACATAATCCAGTTCTGAAATGATTCCTTCAATACATACTGACACATACAACTGGGAAAGAAATTGTCTGTCACATCAGCATTTACAATCCCATCAACTACACCCTGGCCTTCTACATCCCAAACCACGAAGAACACTGTCAAAGCATCAACAACAATATTATTTTCAAGTTACAGATTACACCTTCACCTTTCAGGCTAAATCGTTATTAAACACCACATTCCAATATGTACACACTGGTGACCTATGAGTTGATTTACAGCCATCCTTTGAGACATAAAATGTTTAGAGGAAGTATGGTTTTGTTACAGTGGAACACAAGAATTGGTGGCAAATTGTGCCTAATACTTTCAAACTGAACCATGGTATTCTGTATATTTCACATACCACTAGGGTATCCATCACCTGAAAGACCTCTTGCCCAGCTAATGTAAAGGCAGCAAATATCACGCCACCACATAAGTGAGTGAGTTTAGTTTAACGCTGGACTCGGCAATATTCCAGCGATATGGCGGTGGTCTGTAAGTAATCAAGTCTGGACCAGACAATCCAGTGATCAATAGTGTGAACATCAATCTACGCAACTGGGATACAATGACCTGTGTCAACCAAGTCAGCAAGCCTGACCACCCGATCTCGTTAGTCGCCTCTTATGACAATCATGGGTTACTGAAGGCCAATAATAACCCGGATCTTCACAGGTATGCCACCACATAAAGTAACTTCAGTTGTATTGTACTTGAACATACACATCAAGTAACTGCTAGGTTTGGTGGTGAACCAGGTTACAACATGTCCTTATCAAGTGACCACACAAGTCTCCATTGTAAAATGTAGGCAAACGGGGCAATGAGGTCAACAGGTAGGTCATACAAGGTTCGTACATTTAGGTGACAATAGCCAAAGCTATACCTGATTAACAATGCAATATGTACTGCTACACAACATGGACTTGGTGTAATACAATATGCTGCAGCAGCTATTCTGTAGACTTCAGGATTTCCTGCAGTGTAATACAGATCTCAAGGGCTTTGTTTATAATCTTAACCTTAATATTTACTTACTTGAATATTATTTATTAACTATATAGAAGAATTTGCAACAAGTGCTGTAGCAACAGAAGCCTGAAGTACATGGGTTCAGCAAACAAGGACAACACGCTTGACAAAAGATAAATATTACTTTCTGCTGACGATAAAGAAATTCAACAGAAGAATTACATAGTACTGTTTTCATCACGAGTGCCAAGAGAGTTTAGAAAAGTAATAAAGCTATTCATTAAAACCATACACTACAATTTGTTCTCAGGATTGAGCAAAAAGTGAATAAAAAAAACCTTCATCAAATATTGATGAAATTTTAACATTTTCAGTAATATCCCTCCTGTGCTTCTGTTGTAAGTAAAAATATCTATAATCTACACACAAAAAAAAAATTACTGTAATTTACACCAGTTCTCTTTGTGGTACTTACAAAGGTTAATTGCAGCTAGGTGTAGACTGACTGACTGACTGAGTTTGGTTTTACGCCGCTTTTAGCAATATTCCAGCAACATCACGGCGGGGGACACCAGAAATGGGCTTCACACATTGTACCCATGTGGGGATTCGAACCTGGGTCTTCGGCGTGACGAGCCAACGCTTTAACCATTAGGCTACCCTACTGCCCCTAGCTAGGTGTAGAAGTTGTTCTAGGGTTTGTTTACTGGTGCTCAATACAGCAAAAGTAGCATGTCACATTTCATCCCAAGTGGCAGTGAAGTAAAGCATGATAACAAACACCTTGTATTAGTTCTACCTGACTACAGAATCACATGCACAACACCCTGTACCAGTGATCTTGATTTCTCTTATACACAACATGCAATGAATATTGTGTGTTGATGGCTCATGCAGCACAGGTCTTCAAAGGCTGGCTTTCCAAATAATAGAGATCAGTTGCATTTAAAACACAGGAAGAGTTCATGATAGCACACAGGAAGGTACATGCAGTATGTGCAACGTGGTACTGACTAACACATTATCCAGTACTTCACTTTCCATACTTCTGTATGTTTCAGCAAACCGAGATGTATTCCTGTCACAAATGTTACTTTCAACTTTATTCAAAATAAAGCACTTTCAAGATTCACAACACAGATAATTTAATGTTCTTTTAATCAATGAACCGTCAACAATGCAGTTAGTTCATTGATATGCAGGAGAGATATGAACTCTCCCTGACCAGTGTGTCTCTTGAAGTCAGTATCCCTCATTATGATATACTGAACAAGTACACAGAGGACAGACACCCATACACATTTACAGAGTAATACCAAGTAAATGCAGGCTGGTAATTCAAGAAGAATGACAATATCAAGTAAGCTCTGAAAAGGAAACCAAGGCAAAATGAATACATTTGAGACAAAGTATATAATCATATGCAAAAGCATAAAAAATTCTCAATGTCAGAGCTGTTGCATCTTATCATTAGTTTGGGCTTACCTGCTGCCACTGAGATGACGGATGACAAAAATTATCATATATTTGCATGGTACCACCATCGACAATATGAAAACCTGACATCTCATCACAAAGAATGGAAGTATATCTGTATATTGATAGAGGCTTACAAAGAACCAGTCTCTGTTTTGTTTAGTGAACTTAGGACTACAGCAGTCCTTACTCAGAGCTTAAGATTGAGAGTTCTGATTATCATAACTTACAATCACTCAAGAACATTGCATGAAGGGCAAACTGGCAAGTGTCTGGATAGGAGAAACAAATAAATGATCAACACTGAATTATTGCAAGTAGTTTGTAAAAGTAAAGTCTGCAATATTATAAGTATGCAAAACCAATGTTGTATAAAAAAGAACTGAAATTGTGAACTTGAACCTCTATACCATGTTTACACTAGAGTAAAACTAAGTTCTTTCTTTACCCTGGTTAACCAAACAAGTTATACAATCAAAAGTATACAATCATGCTTCATATGAGGTGAAAGGAAGACAATATTGATCAAAGATAAAAACAGGCATTCACTGTGTGAACTAGTGTTTTAACTTGGTTTTACAAAGACATGATAAAAATGAGAGTAATTTCTACACACAGTTCATGTTTTTGGGAGTCAATTTTTAAATTTGTGAGTAATGAAAACATTTTGTTACAAACATAAATCCATTATTAATTCAAAATAAATAAAGAGCTGTGAAATCATATCTGATCCAGTGCATGGTTATTGTATTTGGTGAAGTTACTTGGATTCAAGAAACACTTATTTGAATTTTTTTGGTGTCACCTGTGACTCATATGAAAATATTTAGGGAGTATTTAACAAAACTGTTGAGTCAAATAAAACAGGAATTATGCATCAGGTAAAACCTTGGTTTTGAGTGTTCAGTACTAGGTGGGAAAACAAAGAGTCCTTCTCATAACCATAACATTAACAGTTGTGATTCGGTTCCAATACTACAGTAGCGAATCTAAGGCACTCCTGAGTTTGGAACACTGGTGTTGTAGTTTGAGTGAGTGAGTGAGTATGGTTTGATGTCACGTTTAGCAATATTGCAGCAATGTCCGGGCAGGGGACACCAGAAATGGGCTTCACACATTGTACCCATGTGGGGCAACGAACCCAGGTCTTCAGCATGACGAGCCAACACTTTAACCACTAGGCTGCCCCACCACCTCCTTGTAGATTGACTTTGGCTGTTGTATCATCTGATAAACGACCCCTGGGTACTGCAATTCTATATTTAGTTACATTAACCAGATTTACCTTGTACATGGTTGGACAAATCCAGTTGACTATATTTCAAGGGTGCTACTATTAAATTCAGATTTGGCAAATGTAGATGCATAGTGCAGCATAGCATGAACCTGTCATGCAAAGGTATCTGCAAATTACATACAGTCTCCAAGAAACCAGTACATCACCACAATGACTAGGAGTATTTTTGCCCTATTTCAGTGTGAATATACAAGTATTCATTTTCAATTTTTTATAACACCAATCATATTTTCGTGCAGTCTCACCCCGACAAAGGAATAACCATTAGAATGTCATGTACATATGAACACATGTGAAAAGAAAGCTTTAATTGTTTTTCATGGTGGCATTAAAATCACATTATATGAATATTCTCTCCTCTCTGAGATATGGTTTTATACACAGATCCCATGGACATTTCTTTGCTACAACAAAGACACATCTTTGACACACCGAGAAAATATCTTTGACACACCATATATCTTTGATACACCATGAATATTTGTCTGATACATCAACATATTTGATACACCAAAGACAAATCTTTGATACACCAAAGACAAATCTTTGACACACCAAGAAAATATCTTTGACACACCAGATATATCTTTGATACACCATGGATATTTGTCTGATACATCAATATATTTGATACACCAAAGACAAATCTTTGACACACCAAGAAAATATCTTTGACAGACCAGATATATCTTTGATACACCATGGACATTTCTCTGATACACCATGGATATTTCTCTGATACATCAATATATTTGATACACCAAAGACATATCTTTGACACACCATATACACCTTTGATACATCATAGATATATCTCTAATACATCAACATATTTGACATAGCATGCCTTTGATGTACACGAACTATATTTTGATACTTCATGTACATATCCTAGACAGGTCATGAGCATATCTTTGATAACCACATATCTTTGATACACCATGAACAAATCTTTACTGTACCACAGAGATATCTTTGATTCATCAATGTCATACTGTAAATGGGTATGATAAAGAAAATGTGGTAACTACAAAATAATTGCTACAAAAATATTATTCATTTTCATCTTCTGATGGTTCACTGTTTCCATCAGTCTGTGTGCCGGCAGTGCGGCGTATCCCACGGGTAAGAGTCTGTGTGGCAATGCTGCTGGTGCGAGACTGTGGAAGACCCAACATAGACATGAGATTCATTCTTATTGATGAACCTTCCCGACCTGCACTACTGTTGGTATTATCCGAGTTTTCAGGAAACTCCTCATGCCGCTTCGGATCTGGGACTGTGACACATACACCGGCAGTTGATGGTTTTGGCTGGTGGCAAAATAGACTCATCTATGCGACTTAAAAGAGTGAAGGCCTCCCAGGTAGCATTCAATTGCGGAGCAACTCTGTCGTCTCGAGAGCTGTCGCCAGTATATTGCGCACCGAATATGCACTCTCAACAGAATGTGGAGATCGTCAATTCAGTTGAAAGAGCCTAAATGTCCGAGGAGAAACTTATGTTCATCTCTGCCTTCTCGGGTATGTACCCATACTCTAATCGAAGTTATTCAGCCACTAGAAGACAAGTTCCCGTAGCTCCATGTGCCCAATGATGAATAGCGAGGGATCACGGGCCTAACCTGTGACTGTTTATATGCCAGTTGATGTTGACCTCACCACAGGCCGGAGGCTGTCTGGTCGGTAAGGAGTTTCCAACCCTTGCAGGAAAAGGCCCACGTAACAGTATCCTAAGACGCTCAATGGGCGAAGTCCACCAGAAGCTCTAAGAGTTGCCTTCTTCACTCTGAAAAGAAAATATTCAATCATCCACTGATAAAATCTTGCTGGCACAGAAAGGTTATGAGAGGGTCATTTGATCAGCCTGCCCTCACTCAGAGAGCCAATGGGTTATGGTCATTTGATCAGCCTGCCCTCTCACAGAGAGCCAATGGGTTATGGTCATTTGATCAGCCTGCCCTCTCACTGAGAGCCAATGGGTTATGGTCATTTGATCAGCCTGCCCTCTCACAGAGAGCCAATGGGTTATGGTCATTTGATCAGCCTGCCCTCACTCAGAGAGCCAATGGGTCATGGCTAGCATTTCCTTCTATAGTTATATAGTTAGCAGTTGGTTATGTGAGGGTCATTTGATCAGCCTGCCCTCACCCAGGGAGCCAATGGGTCATGGCTAGCATTTCCTTCTATAGTTATATAGTTAGCAGTGGTTATGTGAGGGTCATTTGATCAGCCTGCCTTCACCCAGGGAGCCAATGGGTCATGGCTAGCATTTCCTTCTATAGTTTTATAGTAGCAGTGGTTATGTGAGGGTCATTTGATCAGCCTGCCCTCACATCCTTCTAGAGAGCCAATGGGTCATGGCTAGCATTTCCTTCTATAGTTATATAGTTAGCAGTGGTTATGTGAGGGTCATTTGATCAGCCTGCCCTCACCCAGGGAGCCAATGGGTCATGGCTAGCATTTCCTTCTATAGTTATATAGTTAGCAGTGGTTATGTGAGAGTCATTTGATCAGCCTGCCCTCACCCAGGGAGCCAATGGGTCATGGCTAGCATTTCCTTCTAGAGTTAGCCTGCATCACGGTTTGAACAAAACACAGTATCTAAACAGACTAACTTTCCATAACAAATTGTTTCAAACACAATTCAGTTAATATTGTTGTAGCCAACCGCATGCCTAAAAGCCGCCACTTACCCATGTCTACAGATGTGCAGGTCTCCCCTGTTGGTGCCATACACCAAACCTTCCCCAACTCCACGTAGCCATCGGGCCGAGTTGACACTCACATGTGTACGGATGTCCATATCACACGGGTGAAATACATCACTGACATGCTGAAATACATTGTAAAAAATGTCAGACATGCTAATATATGTAGTGAAAGATATCACCAACATACTCTATACAAATTGTCCCTGAAATGCTTGTATATGTAGTGAAATATACCCATAAATACTCTATACAAATTGTCACTGACATGCTTATATATGTAGTGAAATATACCACAGACGTACTGAAATATTCAGTAGATATAAAACACCAAAACAAGAATCTAACCAATTTTTGATTATCCAATGAACAAGATTCCACTGGATGTAAAAGTCAAAATATCAAAGAATATTATATTAAAGGATCCCTGAAAATCATTGAAGATGACAGGTGTCATGTCAGTGACATACACAGCAAGTTATGTCTGACATTATGACTGACTGACTGACTGACTGACTGAGTTTAGTTTTACGCCGCTTTTAGCAATATTCCAGCAACATCACGGCGGGGGACACCTGAAATGGGCTTCACACATTGTACCCATGTGGGGATTCGAACCCGGGTCTTCAGCGTGACGAGCGGACGCTTTACCCACTAGGCTACCCCACCGCCCCTCTGACATTATGAAACGTGGAGCAGTATCAACCATAGGTAATGGATAATTGGTGCAATTTGTTCTAGCAATTCTAACTAAACATTATGCTGAATGGCCAACTCATTCCTAATGTTTGAAAAGCAGTCTTGTAACAACCTGAAGTCATAGAGAATTGTTGCAACAAACTAAAGATGATGTAATTAATTTTTCTTGACTTCAGCTGCTTTTAAGTTTATTTGTTTTAACAATAGACTGACTGAGCGGTGTCGTGACGGAAAAGCTAAAATTTATTTTTCAGATGTCCCGGGAAGGCTAAAATGTATATTTCGGATTCCCCGATATGGTGCTCATATCCGAATCACCTGGAGGTTTACAGCTATCACTTAATACACTTTCCAATTATTGCACAGACTGGAGCCTTAACATTAATGTAGACAAAAGTAAAATTATGGTTTTTCGTAAAGGAGAGAAGATTCGACCGGAGGAAATATAGTGCTTCGACCGGAGGAAATATAGTGGTTTCTTACACAGGCTCCTTTACACGAGCTTATAGAACTCTAGCAAGCAAAGGTCTCAAAGCTATGAATGCTTTATTTAAAAATGTCAGTTGTTACAACTTTTCATTGAAAACCTTGTGTGAACTATTCGACACTTTTGTTACCTCTACTGTGATGTATGGTGAAGTGTGGGGGTATTGTGAAATGTTCTGATGTTCAATGCCAGATCATCTACAGTTGCTGTATACAGCGAACTTGGGAGGTAATAGGAAATAATGGTTATAAATCATGGATACGTAATGTTAAAATGTTTTTGTATGAACTTGGTTTTGGTCCTCCGAATGAGGCGCGCCATGTTCATTCAGCCATAACATTGCATTGGAAGTACCGTGAAGGCTACACTCATTGAACCGAGAAGCATCATGGTTTTAGCCTTCCCCGGTCATGAACCGACTGAGCTGATGTCTCCACTGATCAGGAGACTAGTTTTACTTCATTATTAAGAAAGGTAGAGTATGTATGACATAAGGAATAACCTACTCAACTCAGAATTATGGCCTATCTGTCCCTTGTGAAATAACAATAAAAGTCATACTCAAACTAAAATATACACAATAACATGTCTGTGAGTAACCCTAGCAACAGTCTTACCCTCATTGAGTTCTCCCCGGCACTCTTCTTATCCAGTTTATACACCTGGGCAACCAGCTGTAACAGACCAGAACAGTGCACAAAGTCAGGAAGTATCTTTAATATTACTGTTGATGTTAGTGTATTTATTGTTTCATGCATTACATTTAACCTATCAGATTCAGAACAAATGGTCGGATTCCTTGCAAAGGTCATTTCAACACAATGGAAACATAGTCTGGATTATTCCAAGTGAGTTGCTGTCCCATACCTGGTTAGATGTGAACACCCATGAAAGTCTCTTGGCAGCAAGTCCTACCATCACACACTGGTTACGTGGAGACATGCTCACAGATATAGCATTGGGCCCTGTAAAAGTTCAAAACATATCACAAACTTCATCATTTCTGATTACACAATGCCATTTAGAAAGTGGTCAGATGTAACATATGTTATATTTGGGATTACACTTTCAAAGTAAAGTACCCGTGAAGGTCCGGGTTAGAATATTGATCTTCAGTAACCCATGGTTGTCGTAAGAGGTGACTAACAGGATCGGGTGGTCTGGCTCGCTGACTTGGTTGACACATGTCATCATATCCCAACCGTCTTGTCCAGACTCAATTATTCACAGACCGCCGCGCCATATAGCTGTAATATTGCTGAGTGGGGTGTAAAACTAAACCCACTCACTCACTCACTTCTTAGTAAAGTACAGATTCTAGTACTTTTTTGGTTGAGTCCCATCCGGGATTCGAACCCACACCCTCAGAGTCAGGCACCTAATCGCCAGCACCTAATAGCCAGCTAGGCAGCTGACTTTGTGTGCTTGCGAAAGTACTAGTATCTGTACTTTACTAAGAAAGTGTAATCCCAAATATTAGTTACTTCCTGCACTTATTGCTTACGACTCGAAAAGTGGCTGTGCCAGAAGATTGATGTTGAAAAGCGTAGACTGTGATCGCTTCCTGGTTTCGTGTAAACATCCGTCTGTGCACGCATCATCGGAAGGTGACGTCAGCCACCTCTGATTATTGCCGTAAATCTCACAGATGAATACGAAGAGGGGAGGTAGCTGAAAGCGCAGGGTGGGCCCTTATCATAAGTAGTGCAGGATAAGTATACAAATATTTAAAATATTTAGATTTTACTAAATTCTTAACTAATCCTGCACCACTTACTTCCTGCACATTTATCTGACAGGCAGGATGGAGGGTGTGTCATCTGCGGGGATCGCCTCGCAAGGTAAACAAAGACAGCTCGGTCAATGTCATCAAACGTGCCGCAGTGGTGGAAAAACAGGCGTGGCACCTAAAGCGGACAGCGAGTGACGATCAGGCAGTGGTAATACGCATATATAAGACACGTAGTCTTAAATGGTATATACCACACGATTTTTAAAGCGTTATAAGCTTTAGGGAAATGCAGTAAAAAGCAGTGACTTGAGTTAACCCGAATGTTACTCCTTAACTGACAGACCCAGTTGTTCCAGAACAACTCTCTTCCCACACGGCGTCGGCGTGCTTCATGGGAAGAAAAAGCATGGTGGAAGTTATCTTCGTTGCACCTGGAAGAATAGTCAACAAAAACAGTGACTATCTCTCAGTGGTAATTCGCATATAAGACAGGCAGGCTTAAATGGAAAGACCATGCGATTTTTAAAGCAAGATTAGCTTAAGGGAAATGCAGTAAAAAGTATTTTTCCAAGTGTTACTCCTTAACTGACATCCTGTTGTTTCCCTCGGAACAACTCTTTTCACACACGGCGTCATTGTGCTTCGTGGGAAGAAATATCATGAAGGAAGGCACCTTCGTGGAATCTGGAAGAAAGGTCGGCAGAGAGGGATTATATCTCAGTGGCAATTCGCATATAAGCCATGTACGCTTAAATGGAAAAAGACCACACGGTTTTAAAGCGTTATTAGCTTTAGGGAATGCAGTAAAAAGCATGGACTTGAATCTATTCAAGTGTGACTCCTTAACTGACATACCCAGTTGTTTTTCTCAAAACAACTCATTCCCCACACGACATCGTCGTGCTTCGTGGCGAACAACAATGAGGTGATATCCGTAGGGGCTTGGTGAGGTGCTGGTCTGGCACCAATGGTCCGAAGCATTGGACACATGTGGTGTGGATACTGATTGGCGAAGACTGTGTCCGACGTCTAGAAACACTCATGCATTATCAATGCCACTGTACTGTTACTGTGAAGTGCCATAGTCCAGGCAAGTGTACGAAGTACATGAGGATGGCGTAGATGTAGGGGAAACCAGACCAGCCACATTATACACATGAATAATGGTATTCCGTATCCACAAAACACTTGTGGTTTTGCTTACATGTCTCTGATGGCTTGGGTTCGCTTAATGTACAAACTGAGTACATAAGCTGAACACAAAAGTAACACAGGAACGTCGTCAATGCCGACAACAGACGATAAAGGCGAAAGAGAGAACTATCAATCATTTCGCGCTGGCAACTATAGTTATAGTGATGAAATCCCAATCAAATACCCAGAGGCACAGAACCATGACGGTGTTGTTCAAACTTGACCCAATTAACACCAAGCGCATGACCCTTGTCGCTATTGCTGTGCAAGTCTGCAAGGGAAGTGTTCGTGAGTGGCTTGTAAGACAAAACGCGTAGGCGATCCAAGACCGTGTTGAGATTCCTGGTTGGTGGTCAAAACTGCAGCCTGGGTACTCAAGTGCTAAACAAGCGAAGCATTGACGGTAGCTCCTGTCAATGGGGACTGCCAAAACAAAGGGAATTGCCACTAACAGAAGTGGCAACCATGCCCCTCTTGAAATGCCTTCCCTGTAAAAATACAGCAGGGAGACTGCTAACAGGGGGGAATACATTCAGCGGATCCTGCTTCGCGGCAACACAACTGCTCAAACAACTGCCCCTTGTTATACATGTGCCTAATGGAAGTCCAATGTTCGTTAGCAAAGCAGTAACAATGCTCTGGCTGAAAAGCAATTGGCGCACAATGCTGCCTGAAGATGCAGTGTGTTAATTGAACCGTTCTGGCATGGGATGAGGATGCACTAGGATGTTTCCACATCTGGCTAGTTGAAGAAGAGCTCTCGACGCTTGAAACCAACCTCTGGTTCAGATCTAGTAAGTGCATGGGTGCCTCAATTCTGCACGGAGGCGCCAATGCATGGGGGCGCCGACATAAAACGTATGTAGTTCAGAACTCGCTCAGTCAAGGTGACTCCCCCTATGACATCTAAGGGTGAGTCCACTAAAAGGACAAAAAAACTGAGGTAAGTGAGGCAGGAGGCCGACACGTTGACGAACGTCCACCTGTCATTCCCGGGTGGACACATGCAAATTACGCAATATGGCGGAGAGCCCACGTGAAATCACCAAATTATCACTGTTGCTGCACTAAGCAGGTACTCCCGGTCGAAGGTAAACCTTGGAACCAGGCACACCGTAGAGGCAGAACTATGAGGTGCCGGAACCCATGTGTCCATATGTTGTGACGTATGGACACCCAAGAAATAACCAATTACGTCAGAACGCAATCGTCACCATTGTACGGGTGTTTGAATAATACAAGCGCCTAGTAGATGAGGGAGTGTCCAGTCATGTGGATCTTGAATTTGTTATTTTATTTTTTTCTTTCCCGCCTGCTTCCGTCACCCTTGAAGGGGTCGCAGCTACGTTCATATCCTCTCTTGTTGATGTGAGACTTGTCACCACGTCTCCTACCACGCACCGGCGCCTGATTCCAAGCCCACCTAACAGTGTGGCCTCGAGGCTATAGTAGGTACTGGATTCATGTGATGAGGGATGTTTGACTTGCTGGAAGGCCGTCAACGCTATCTCCCTGTGAGTAAAGTCACACACTGTTCGCGAACTCGTTATTAAAGATGGAAATCAAGGACTAGGATTGGTGAAATAGATTCCTCGGAAACTTTGAATCCTAACTGGAAAATCCTTGACCTCAAATAACACCTGTGTTGGCGAGAACTGCCTGTAAGTGTTCGCCAAAGACAGTGAGGACCATCCACTACCAAGCCATCATGCAAATAGAAGGGAGGTGATGATCCTGTACGGATTCATCTCTGTCAGGTCTTGAGAGACAGTGTTAATAGCCGAAGCTAAGTTGAGATAGGAAGTAGCATCCGTGTGGATTCCAAATCAAGGGCCGTCATCCCTTGAGTCTCGTGCCTTGTAAGAAGAAACACTGTCACGCGCTTAATTTCCTCATCCACCTGGGCTGCCCTATTGATGAATTCAAGACAAGGGAGTGCGTAAACGCCACCCCCGGTATAGGTACCATATTAGTTGAAGTCTTCGAGGGCAAGATGTGTCCGTCTGCCGACGTAGAGGTCAGCGGAGACAGTGGTGCAACCAACAGCTGCCGAACTCTTGAAGATGTGGGGGCGCTGACACAGTATGTTACTTCATATAGATGCTCAATCTGGCGCTGGAGTGAGGGAGTGAGGGAGTGAGTGAGTATGATTTTATAGGCCACTCACTATGATGTTATAGGTGCTAGATCCAGTAGAGCCGCCGTACAGGTGCTGGATCTGGTAGAAACGCTGGACAGACGCTGGAGTGAGTGAGGATGGTTTTATAGGTGCCGTACAGGCGCTGGATCTGGTAGGAACGCCGGACAGACGCTTGAGTGAGTGAGGATGGTTTTATAGGTGCCGCATACAGGCTGGATCTGGTAGGAACGCCGGACAGGCGCTTGAGTGAGTGAGTGAGTGAGGATGGGCTGGATCTGGTAGGCCCGGACAGGCGCTGGAGGAGCTGGGAGGAGTGAGGATGGTAGGAACCGCACCGGATCAGGTAGGAACGCCAGACAGACGCTTTGAGTGAGTGAGGATTGTTTTTATAGGCGCCGTACAGGCGCTGGATCTGGTAGAAACGCCATACAGGCGCTGGAGGGAGTATGGTTTATAGGCGTCATACAAGCGCTGGATCTGGTAGAAACGCCATACAGGCGCTGGAGGGAGTATGGTTTATAGGTGTCATACAAGCGCTGGATCTGGTAGAAACCCCATACAGGCGCTCGAGGGAGTAAGTATGGCTTTACAAGCTCCGTATAGGGGCTGGATCAGGTAGATGCATCATACATTCCCTGTAGACAGGAACGACGCTATAACAGGTTGGTGTTCCAAGGGAGGCGCTAACACCGACTGGAGAATGCCGAGGTCGTAGTCGATGTGGTAGAAGCGCAGTCTAGGCGCTGCAGTGATGAACAGCAGAGGCGCTGTTGTACCAGACTGCCCTGCTAACTAGGTCAAGTCAAATGGGAGTCGAAACATCCAGTGACTTCTGAGCGCGCGGCGCAAGCATCTGAAGCATCAGGAATAAGACGTCTGCCAAGGACACGCTGGAAACAGCAACCTGGAGAAAGGAGACGGAGCGCCAGACGCCCTAGAGCTAGAGGACATCAGTGTTGTGGCAAGTATCTGGATGCTTATCACAGGCGACGTCGGTGTTGGACCTGACCTATTAATTAAGTAAGCACAACTAGCACATTACTTGTGTGAAAAAACAAGGGAAAGCGCAATTCACACAGTGTGAATGAGGGCACTTATGAGATACCCCGCCTTACAAACTATACAGCGTGTGCCGTATAGAAACTGCAACATAGCAGAAAACCCCAGCAAACACACGGTCAAAAACATTACAATAGTAATGGGGAACACACGATGAAACAATATAATAGTAACGGGGTAGAACAGCATAAATGATAACAACGTCTCACAAAATACTGACATAAACTGGAGACCAGAATTAAGGCTTAATAATAATATACGATGATAGTATAACATATAAGCATGAGCCAAGAACAAGCCAGTACGAATACATCAAAGCCACGGCTGTGAATGGCGAAGTGACCGATACCGTGTTTATCACAAACACCATCACTACAACAGTACTACGAAAAACGAAACAGAAAGGTAATACCTACACTCTCTGAAGAACAAGCGGAAAGTACCCAAAAGATAGTTTATTATCAATAAACACAAATTCATAGGATACAAAACAGTCGAGCTGGCAAACCACACGTCTTGCGAGGCGTGCGAAAAGCAATAATCTGAGGTGGCTGACGTCACCTTCCGGTGATGCATGCGCGTGCAGATGGATGTTTACCAGAGACCAGGAAGTGATCACAGTCTACGCTTTTCAACATCAATCGTCTGGCACAGCCATGTTTCGAGTCGTAAGCAATAAGTGCAGGAAGTAAGTAGTGCAGGATTAGTTAAAAATTAACATATTTCTGGTTTCAGGGAATAGCTGGATTCTGCATATAGTTCAAGTTTATTCAAAACACTTTGCAACTGACATTCTTACTCACCAAAACTTTTAGTAAAAAGACATTGAGCAAAGGAGTCAGGATGCAATGAGAAGACAGCCAGGATGTTGTCATCAGGAAACCACGGTGACTGGGGACGAAGGTTGCAAGGAAGGTAGCATCCTGAGATATATCACAACTGGCATCATTATGAAGCTTGCAGTGAGGCACCACTATGTTGGCTTTCGCTGGAATTACAAGAAAATACAGGCATCAGTGAAAATGTCAAAATGTTCACATTTCAGGTGAGTCACATATTTACTCAATTGTGTTCATGGATGGCTTCAGGAGCAGTTCATTTAAATGATAGATGCTCATATTTGATTCTTCAAATATCATTAACGACATCAGATTTCACTGTCTAAACAATATACATCAATGAAGAGAGTCAGCATAATGTGTACTGTATAAAATGAAGACTCATGAAATTTTGAATTCTTCCAGTTATATCAGCAAAATCAAAATGTTCACATTTCTGGTTAGTCACATATCTACTATCAATTGTATTTATGGATGACTGTTACGTTCCAACAGCAGTTCATTCAAATGATAGATGCTCATACTTGAAACTTCTAATAACATTAATGACATCAGGATGTTCACTGTCTAAACAGTATATATGAAGGAAGAGAGTCAACATAATGTGTACAGTATGAAGGACACCATGTCTGTGGAGGAGGTGTGATGTACTCACACTGACTAATGTCAGGGATCTCACACTTGGTGAAGTCCCACCGCTGTATGCGATGTGTCTGTGGGATGATGTTACTTGCCACTGCAGGCTCCCCTGTTCCCATGAAAGCTCCTGAAATGTTCATTCCATGTCCTATGAATTATGAAATATAAAAGCAGTTATATACACTGAATGCCTCAATATAATCTGCAGATGGTCACAACACCATAAAGATTCTATCAAAACCATCTATCATCAGCCAAAAAACTATATCAGGGCTACAGATAAGGGGCGTACAGGCGTAATGTACACCTCAAAATCAATATAAGATTTCAAGCGTATCGTGTACGCACATAAATACCTTCGTACGTCTAACATTTAATTTCCGTGCGTATCGTGCAAATGGAAATCTGTTTCGGATAAATACTTGTTGTCAAAAGTTTCTTTGCAAAACACGATTTGACACATAAGGAAACCCAGACAGTAGGAATCCCTTGCGTTGCCATGCAACGATATGCGTCACTATTTTTCGATTGGCTAAAAACTACACTGTTCCTATTTATATCCAGTCGGACCTGACATTTCACGCATCACACAGTCGCTCAGTTATTTCTCACACGTCTCCTCAAATACAAATACATGGTTGGAAATAGTGATCGATAAAACGTCCAGACAAACCACAACAACTCGCTCACACAAAAACATGTCAGTACTCCTTCAAAATTCTCAGTACACCTCCACTTGCAATATGATGTGTAAGTACACTCACAACCCCAAAAGTTATCTGGAGCCCTGTATATAATAATCTGAACCTAATTGATTTCACCTTAACACAGTTTAACTGCTGTTGTTGCTTTACAAAATGTCAAAAGTCACAACATTTACAATGAGAGTAAAGTTGGAATCTCATAAACTATAAGAGAATTAATCCACAGAACCACATTTAATGGTATAAATCATCAACAGAAAGTTATCGTATTAAAAGTTAGTGAGTTAAAAGTGCAGAAACAGCATCCCAATCATATAAAATCAAAGCATACCAGTTTAATTTCAGATTAAAGCACAATATATGGACAAATGTTCAGGACATTTATCACTTTAGTGAACCCATGACTGATTGAAAAGTATCAGACTCTTTGACTTCTTCCGATTACCCCTTGCACTATTTGAATCAAAGAACCCCATAAACCTTCATGTCTTACCATTAGGGTTATAACAAGGAGCATTTGACGGTCATGTTATTTTCGACACGGATCACTGACGGATCAGGAGGAACAGGGTATTCAACCCACAACCAGCTGATCTTCAGATGGGGTAAAAATATATGACATTCACGATTGTTGCACCTCTATAGTGATATCACATTCACGATTGTTGCACCTCTATAGTGATATCACATCTCTATAGTGTTGCACCTCTGTAGCGATGTGCATGGACATGATGGTGTGAAAGGCTGCTTCTACTAGCCAGGCATATGCTGGCTTAGGGTGTTAGCCCACTGAAATACCATACCACAGTTTAAATGAATACCCCACTCAGGTACAGTATAAAGTTGCTTGATTCTTTTTTGGTATAAAATACGCAATATTACAGCTATATGGTGGCAGTCTGTAAATGATAATCAAGCCTGGACTAGACAATCCAGTGATCAACAGCATGACCTTTGATCTACGCAACTGGGATACGATGACATGTGTCAACCAAGTCAGCGAGCCTGACCACCCAATCCCAGTGACTGTGGAGATTTACTGGCCCGACTGGATATTTACTAGTTTCTATTCACACACTGCCATGAGATTGGGATGGCATGACCTTCCACGCTCTAGGCAGACACTCTATTCACAAGAACATTGAGACAGTCCTGGCAACTAGGAATACCAGTAGCAGCAGCATCTATGGCCACTGAAGATCACATTTTTAACAGCTTTAGGAAAATGCAACCAGTGTATTGTATCACACACCTGCTATGGCTCTGTTGATGGCAGCATGAAGGGCATCATTTGGTCTGTTGAGGGTGTCATCCAAGATGCTGACCGAGTAGTGAGGGTGTAGGTGGCGTTGTTGCAGGGCATGCCAGCTCCGGTCTTCCTGGTAAGCATCCTCTCGTGATGGAGTCACACGAACACTGCAGGGATAATAATAACGTTAGTTCAAACAAGCAACAGCTTTCAGCAATATGCTCATAAGAATATATTACAGGGAACCCAATAGAGAAAAAAAGATGGTATAATTGGGAATTGCTTTTGTGGAAAAGTTACCTTGAAACACTTGGAGGTGGTAGTGGGGGTTGAGTGACAGTAGATTGCTGGCTGTCTCCTCTCAGGAACATCTCAAGAAGGTGTGTGTTTTGGCCACTTCCTCGAGCTACACAAACACAAATCACTCTAACATTTACAATCATCTATTTCAAGGAAATTAGCAGCATTACCAACAGACATGACAAAATAATCACATGATGTTATTATGCTCATTATAATATAAATAAAATGGTATAATACTTGTCCTCAAAGTGTTTTAATATGGGGTTATAGAACACCACCAACCCAACCTTGTGGTTTGATGCACTTTTTATTTAGCAGATTTCTAACCAAGGGCAGGTAACTCTATCCCTCCAACCTGTATTCCAATGAAAGTACAAACTGCGTTTTGACATGTCATCACAATATTGCAGGTGAAACCAAAAGGCATTTTTCTGGCACTAGCATCTGGCGATGTTTTTAGCATTAATAGCATAAAGATATAAGTAAGTAGATGTTTTAACAGTTGAACTTAATAAAATGGACACGTTTCTCAGGTATACTGACCTGGTGTAGAGTTGTTATAGGCAGATGGTGTGTGAGAAAAATCTCCCTGGTCTCGTGGCCTGGTGATGGTGATGAGAGGAACATGCTGTGACGCCTGCCCTGATGTCACTGTTGGTGTTGACTCTGTACCTTCAGGAGAAGACTGGTTGGAGATTCTACCTCGAAGGTTGAGAATTCTGTCCCGATCTTGATGCAAAGCTCGCAGTCTTTCCGTGAACCTCTCCCTCAAGGCAGTGATCCTACGATCCAGTTCCGTCACTTGTCTTTCTAATCTTATTGTGAGGGAGGTTAAATCTTCTCGCCGAGAACCATCTGCAGGAAGGTCGCGAGTGATTCTAGAAAGAACACTTGAAGTGGTTTGAGACGGGTTGTTGTTATGATCACTATCTTCCAATACATTTCCTATGTCATCATGTCCTGCAGCTCCACCAGGTGACTCTGCACCAGCAGCCTGGTCAGACTCATCCTCCACTAAACCTTCTACACTTTCCATCACAGAGTCCTGCTCAGTCATAGCTTCATCCTCTTCATGTGGCGAGTCCTCTATTCCTGTAGAATCAACTGATCTCCGAGCATCTTCACTGAGACCAATGACATCTGTGCCCTGGTCAGAACACTCAGGAAGCTCCATGGTTCCGCTGGTCTGACTAGTGCCATCTGTCGTGGGAGTCCTCTCCTGGCTGCGAGAATTTGAGTTACGAGAAGACTGAGAAGTTTGATCGGCAGTGGATTCAGATGAGTTGCGATTGTGTTGAAACATCATCATATTAAGCAGCCTACTAGTGGAGGCCACACTGGGCCTACTTCTGGGAATGGCAAGTCCTGCTGAGGTCGGCACTACAGTAGGCAAGGACCAGGTTGTCTGATGACCTGTTGTAGAAGAACTAGTAGTTGTTACTGGTTGGCTGTTGCTGTTCGCTATGCTGGGGTTCAGAGTTCTACATATTGCACAAGGGGGATGGGAAGAAGAGTATGAGGAAGGGGTAGTGTTTGTCTCAGTCATTCGGCTTGTGCGAGGGACTTCACGGAACGCACTGCCAGAAGGTCTTGAGCGAAGTCTGTTTAAAGAAGACACATAAGGGGAAGACACAATACTATTAGGTCCTGAGACTGGTCTTAAGGAGCTTGAAGATAAGTGTTCAAATCTTAGACCAGATCTCAGATTAGCACCAAAACTCATTGTTCGAGAGCCAGCTCCAGACGTAGGAGGGTAGAATCTGAAGAACCAATCCTTCTCAGATTCATCCAGTTACTACCACCAGAGTTTCTTATAGAGTTCACAGACATGGCACTGCTATCTTGGGAGTAATCATGTGGGAATAACGGAGGACGAACAGCACTAGCACTAGTAGTAGGTCGCACTAACAAGGGCCGTTGAGCACCAACTTCAGCCATCTCAGACAGCTGTGGAGGAGTTGTTGACCCTGCTGTTCCCATATCCTCCTCTTCAACTGAAGGCCATACCCTGGGTGGAGGACTCCATGTCCCAGGCTGCAGACTATGCATTGTTGTGAACCTACGCAGCTCATGAAGGGGATAGGGGTTATTCCGTCGTCGACTGGAAATGCTGGATACAATGTCCCGAGCATGCCTGGTGGTTTCTGTGATGGAGGAGGCATAGTTTCCTGCTCGCCGGAGTCTCTGCTCAACCTGTGAGGAATAGTGTCTCCCTAGTAAGGAGCTGCTCTCTGTGGAAGAAGAAGAATTGGAGCTCCCATTGGAGCTGTCAACATCCATGCTGCTTTCTGGAATGACATAAAGAAAATCATTGCTTCTTCATACAGATATATCACTATTACTGAGTACACAACAGCCAAACTCCATAATTTCTATTTACCATATGGGTGAGGTGAGGTGAAATTGGGTTTATCGTCGTGCTTGAGAATATTTCGCTCATATGACGACGTGCATGCGTGTGTATGTGGGCCTGCTTGTACTAGCCCAGACTTAAGCTGGTTTCATAGTGCTAGCCAACTGAGATACCATGCCGCAGTGAAGCATGAATAACCCACTCAGACACAGTATACTGACTCCAAGCTGACCAATCCTTGTTGTACCCATTAATGCCAAGCGCCAGGCAGGGACCAACAAGTACCATATTTTAACGTGTTTTGGTATGACGCGGTCGGGGATCGAACACGCGACCTTCCGCTCTCCGGGCGAACGCTCTAACCACTACATACGGAGGCGGTTTTACCATATGGGAACTCAGAGATGTGTCACCGTAGTTCATAACTTTAGCCACTAGAAGCCTGAGTCGAGCTCAGCTAATTCTTGTCCACAAAGTAACATGAAAATCACCCGAAAATTATGCTAAGACCCAAGCTATGGAAGGCTCAGAAGTTTTTAGGGCACAGACTGTGTTCTAATATCTGTGCCAGTGTGTATTCATATCAATCATCACTCTATTTTATTTTGTTAAAACTGATGAATAAGAGAAATGTTCTTTTCTTTGTTGTCTGGACCAGACAATCTAGTGATAAACAGCTAAAGCATCAATCTTTGGGTAGGATGACATGTGTCAATCAAGTCAGCAAGCCTGACCACCTGATCCGTTAGTTGCCTCTCAGACATGCATGGGTTGTTGAAGACCCATTCTAACCCATTTCAAGGACGAAAAAGAGAAATGACTAGGTGCATAACCACTACTGATAAAACAAGAAGACAAAGTCATCAATATCCCCCGCAATGGCAAAATACTCTTCATGAATATGTCTACTAGTTATGATTATGTCAAATGTTTTGGAGTGTATATAGCAAAGTGGAAGGAGAGTATTGAAAGGTTTTTAAGATCTGCTCCAGAAAGGAGCACTACCACCAAATTCAGTTGAAGCCTAACTTGTTGCCATGGAAATGCAACATAATGACATCCTCATAGTCACAGCCTAAGTCATGTTTCCATGGAAACATCAAAAAATAAACTTCATATCTGGCTCTAACCCCCATAAGGCACATCTAGGGATCATGCTTGATATGTGTACCAAGTTTGATAAAGCTAGCATGTATAGTTTAGGAGATCTCCTCCGGACAAGATGACATCCTCATAGCCACAGCCTAAGTCACGTTTCCATGGAAACCGCAAAAGATAAAGTTCATATCTGGGTCTAACCCCCAAAAGGCACATCTAGGGATCATGGTTGACATGTGTACCAAGTTGGGTTAAGCTATCATGAATAGTTTAGGAGATATGCTTCGGACAAAGCGTGACGGACACACGGAAGGGGCGGACGGAACTCGTTTCTATATCCCCTCAACTTCGTTGTTGCGCGGGATAACAACCATATCGATAAGTGAAAGTATGAGTAAGATTAAAAGTGTATTACAGTGTATGAATTTAACTGATCAGTCTCTCTCCAAGGTATTTCTCCTTCAGACAGTAGCTCCACTTCAACTAACATTGCCTTGTACACAATTATGCATTCTCAAAATTGGAAGTCTTGCTTAATTAAAGCAGCTTATGGACACAAAATCACGTAGAGTACATTCAAACATTGTGCTTCTTGTATACCTTCATCGCCCCTGTGGGCATTACGTAGCCTTTCCTGCTGGTAGTCATGGAAACGCTGAATAACCTGCTGATACCGCCTCCTGTTGGCATATTGCTGAAGTCTATTGGGATGTGGACCATTTGTTTCACTGCAGAGAAAGTTGTGCTTTAAATATTTCATACTGTTTTATGCAATCATTTTCAAAAACATCAGACATAATTATGATGCCTTAAACCAAAAATCGAGCAGTTATTCCTATCAGGATATGAAGATGCTATTGCAGCTCTTGCAATACACTCATGGAATTCCAGCATTAAAACACCATCAAGTATTGAGGTGAACTGGTCAAAAGGCCCCATTCCACACAACGCTTAAGTTCAAGTACCAAAGTTACTTTGGTCTTTGTGCTGAGATCTCATTGTGGAACAGGGCCCTGTATCCCATGTTTGTCTAAAGGACTGGTGATCTGATCATCAAGACATATTTCCAGGCTGACATGAGATAGCTGTGACATTGCTGACTGGAGTATACATCAGTAGCCCAGTCTCCACTCTTACTTGATGTGCAGGACATTGCCTGGTTCCTCCCGGTGAACAGTGGTGTTGTTTGCGATGCCTGTATACAGGTAGTGGCCGAGAGGATCAAACCGAAGCCATCTGCAAACACAGATGTCATTTAATTAGAACGTCAAGAATAACAAAACATGAAATGTTGCAATGTGTAAGCTGATATTTCTATCAACAAGTATTAAGCAGTTTGCTCTAAGTTAAAACAAAACTAAAGTTTTATTTCCTTTGCAAAGATCCATAAGTTCTTCATTGTCAGCTACTTGTATTATTTTGACATTATTCTGAAGTATTCTAATGTTTACAAAGGAGAGCTTGTTCCAACCTAGGACCTCTATCCAGTCTGAGCAGTATTTAGTAACTGTTTTCCTTTTTCGTCTCTTTTTATTTAACTTTTCCCCTGGTTTACAATAATTAGTCAGATTTTGATTTCATTGGAGAGCATTCAAACACCCTACAAACCAGTTACCAGCAGAATAACTATACATTTTATCAAAGCTTATGGTAACTTGACCTGTAGACCTCTAAAGTAAAAGGTGAGGTGAAATTGGGTTTATCGTCGTGCTTGAGAATATTTCACTCATATGACGACGTTCTAAAGTAAAAGAGCCGATCTGGGTGTGTTACATCTCTATCCATCAACTTATAAAGAAAAGTACCTATCATGATCTTATAGTCAAAACAAAAAGCAAAGTGAAGTAAATGAATACTGCATTAACATAGCCTACATTGTACCCACCTTATCCTTTCAAATTCATAGTTTGTCCTGGAGAATGCAAATGGTTCTGGCTGGCTCCAGTCCCAGAAGTACACAGTGTTGCCAGTAGCAAACACCAGCACATGGTCCATGGGGTGGAATGCCAGTGATGCTATCACCCCATTGGTGGGGGAATGCCATACCTCACTGCCCCCTCCCTGAAACACAACACACAATACACTAGCCAACAGGGACATTTGGGAAATTCAAGAGTACATGAGTTTGGTTTCGTGAGTGAGTGAGTGAGTTTAGGTTTTACCCGCTTTCAGCAATATTCCAGCTATATCACGGCGGGGGACACCAGAAATGGGTTTCACATATTGTACCCATGTGGGGAATCAAACACGGGTCTTCGGTGGCGATCGAACAAACACTTTAACCACTCACGCTACCCCACAGCCCCTCAAGTACATGAATAAAAGAAGAAAGTTGACAAACTTGATGGATGACAATTGCTTTATTAAGTGAGTGTGATGTTTCGATACAGATTCACTGCTTGACAATGATACAAGAACCTGTATCGAAATGTTGCACTCACGAAATAAAAGAAGTTGCCATCCATAAAGTTTGTTAAAATTGTACTACCCAACTTCTAAAATGACACTCAAAGAAGTTCAAGATCACCTGATTCTTCCACATTACTGCTAAAACTGTCCTAGACATCTCACTATATTTTCTCATGATCCAAAGAGGTTTCAGAAAGCCCTATGCGACAAAACAGTCACATCTTCCATTATCTCACCTCGCACATAAATGTCGTTTTCTGATTGGCTGAGCCAGTCAATATACCCCGCTTACAAGCAAGTAACATTTTCTATGTTGCCCGCTGGAAATGCCGAACTGTGAAATTCATTTGGTACTTCATGTTAGTAGCCTGAGCCTGAGCCTCGTGACCAGTGAACAACTTATAGTGCCCCTTGTTTCACCTTTATTACATCAGCTACTGGTCTGGAAATATATCCACCCACTGTTTTTCGAAAAAAATAATCAAAATCATTTTGGTTGTTGAATAATATCAAGCTCATAGTACATGTAGTTTTTCAAATCTTCGGCCTTGGTTCGTTATTTGATACTTACATGCAAGTCCCAGATTCGGACCTCTCCCCCAAGACAGCCTGATGCCAGGATCTCATTGGAGGAGGGGTGGAAGGCTACACACCAAGGGGTCCTGGGATGGCCGGTGAGCACGTGTGTACACTTCCCAGATGTGATGTCTGTCACACGCACTGTATGATCACCATGAGTAGAGGCCACTTTTGTGCTGAAACAAACAATATCAGTTAAACACCTGATACTACTGTGAGATATGAGAGATTCAGGGCTACAGATACGGGGTGTACAGGCATAATGTACTTCAAAATCAATTAAGTACGACATAATATAAGATTTCAAAGCGCATCCTGTACGCACATAAATACCTTTGTACGTCCAACATTTAATTTCCGTGCGTTATCGTGCAAATGGAAATCTATTTCGATATACACTTGTCAAGTTTCTTTTCGCGAAACACGATTTGACACATGAGGAAACACTGACAGTAGGAATCCCTTGTGTTGCCATGCAACGATATGCATCACTATTTTTCGATTGGCTAAAAACTACACTGTTCCTATTTATATCCAGTCGGACCTGACATTTCGCGCATCACGGTCGCTCCAGTTATTTCTCACGCTGTCTTCAAATACAAATACATGGTTGGAAATAGTGATGAATGAATCGTCCAGACAAACCACATCACCAACTCGCTCACACAAAAAACATGTCAGTACTCCTTCAAAATTCTCAGTACACCTCCACTTGCAATATGATGTGTAAGTACACTCACACCCCCAAAAGTTAACTGGAGCCCTGAGATTAATGGTGACACTTCCGTGAGCAGCTTTAGTTTTGTAAACAACAACACATTTCTCATTACTTCATTTATTCAGTTGTTTTTCTCTTGTTACTCCACATATGTTTTTGTACTTTTGATTTTTATCCCCTTATTTTAAATATCAAATTTCTTCTTGTTAGTGTGATTATTTTCTCCTAAATTCGATTTTCGGGTTGATATCATGATATGTTATCTTCATCTTCTCTTTCCAAGTGTCATCAAGTGAGTGAGTGAGTTTAGTTTTACACCGCTTTTAGCAATATTCCAGCAATATCACAGCGGGGACACCAGAAATGAGCTTCACACATTGTACCCATGTGGGGAATGGAACCCAGATCTTCGGCGTGATGAGCGAACTCTTTACCCACTAGGCTACCCCACTGCCCCCAAATGTCATCAAGTAATACACATACAAAACAGAAGATGGAATTATGGATTATGCCTCACTTGTGATTGAATGGTAAGGCCCCCAGCCAAAGGCTCAGGATCAACACTATCACTTACGTAAATTACCTAACCTCTCATAACTTGTTGGTTATTCTCTAAGATCACAGTTGTGAGTTTATGTGACATGTTACTTACACATCAACAAATACAATGGTAAGCAGAATTATCCAACAAGGTCTACTCATAGGGGTAATAAGTCTGGGCCAAAGGGAATAAAACTATACTGAATACCAACAGAAATCCATCAAAGTGCAATTTGAATGAAAACTTGTGAATGAAAACTACTCATATGAGCATCTAAAGTCCTATGTTAATAGTAAAAGACAGTCTGTCTCACAGTCCCTGAATCACCTTATTTTCCCTACTGCCTTGCACTCCCTGCAATGCTAAAGCCCAAAATGAAGCAAGTCTAGATTTCATCAGGTTCAGGTTCTCACTGGGGCTCCTTTTCAATTTAAATGGGTTTATTTGTTACTATCAAAATTATATATTCACAAACTAAGCGTTAGTCGAAGTCGAAAACAACTACACTGCATGAAAACACACTGTTAAAAGTTTTAGGGGCTCGCTGCATTAAAGTAACTAACCAGCAGAGATAAGAACCCCTATAATCTTAAACACTGCTTATGTAAGTTCTCCATGTTTCACCTTATGACACCATCAAGTTCACAAACATCGGCCCTCGAGTTCGACAGCTCCTGTTACTTTTGACAAGGTCATGTCAAGTCAAATAAAGATAACAACCCCTGTCCTATTCCTCCTGGCTAAGGGACACAGACAGACTAATTATTCCCATGTCATATTAATGTCTCCTGACTTGAGTTGGATCAACAGGACCCTGCCACCTTTTATCAGAGTGCAACCTGGCCAGCCTACCACTACAACATGTCACCCTGTCAATACTACACCTCAAATCTGTCACTGCACCACAGAAAATAAGAATTAAATACAGAGACCCAAATACTCCCCAGGGTTATTTGGTTATTTGATCAGTTTCACATAATGGTAGAAATGCTGCTTGTCGGGTTTGACCTTCTTGTGATAATATCTTTACATTTTCGGCAAATCAAATATGATGTTACACAGCCATTGATATGCTGAGTTTTCGAGTATAGTGAGTTCGTTGCTTTCCTACAGTGAGTGAGTATGGTTTACACCACTTTTAGCAATATTCTAGCAATATCACTGCAGTTGACACCAGAAATGGGCTTCACACATTGTACCCATGTGGAGAATTGAAGCTGGTTCTTCAGCGTGACACGCCAACACTTTAACCACTAGGCTACCCATCGCCCCTTGCTTTCCTACAAACTGGTATGATAAACAAGTCAACATGACACAATTCTTTACTCTATGATACGTTGCCAGCCCTAGCAAAACCCAGCTGAAGCTGTTACAAAGGAAAACCAAGCTCCTATTCATACAGGTGTGTGACCTGTTACTACAGAGTACACAGAACAATGCCTGGACAGTTTCTCACACCCTGGACATGGTCCCCCATCAAGAGCTTGCCCTGACCTCGGACTGGACAGACATCTGTTGCTAGCCACCCATCAACTTCCTGTTAGAATGAGGTTTACAGTAATCAGGATGGTTTTACACTGCTTTTAGGAACATTCCAGACATGTCTTGCCAAGGGTCACCAAGAATAGGTCTAACATATTGTTGGGAAAGAACTTAGGTCACTGGATCTGCAGCACAACAACATAATCATTGCACTTACCCAATCAGGCCCATGTTAATTTCAATAATTTCAAAACCTATATGTTTGTGCCAAAGTCTAATTAGGTTGACTGTTTTCAATATGGATTTGAGCATACTGAATGTGTACAAAATGAGAATGATGTTAGGAATGAAATATTGCTTGTTTGCTATCCTAAAAGTAAAGAGTATCTTGGTGAATAGCCTGAAAAAACTCGAGGTTGATTATCTATAACATTCATTCATGAGTGAGTGAGTAATGTTTAATGCTGCTGTTAGCAATATTCCTGCACTATCACAGTCGGGGAACACCAGAAATAGGCTTCACACATTGTACCCTACATGGGAATCGAACCGAGATCTTCAGTGTAACGAGCAGATGCTTTAACCATTAGGCTACCCAACCGCCCCCATACATGCAGTGAATTGCAGAGCTACAGATAACTTTTTGGGTCATTGAGTTATGTAACCGCTTGTGTTAATCTCAATTGTGTATCCTAATTTTCCTTTGAGTAACCAAATAAATTGTACCCACCTCACTCAAACTCAATTGGGTATTTTGCCATTTTCCATTAATTGTAAAAATATATTTAAATTTAAATGTTGGTTTACGTGTTTGTTATATATATAGTTGATCTGTAACAAGAGAAACGATGACGAAAGACTGCAAGTTTCCAAGTTCATGTGCTGAAATAGAACCTCTCAATATACCTCAGTTATTTTATCTATCTACCAGTACCCAAGCTAAGATTTCACATTTGTAAATGTACACATGTAAGATCGAATTAATTGAGTATTTACAAAAATTCAAGCGTACTTGTACGCAATAGACTTAATAGGAATTGAGTATTCACTTAAATATTTGCGTAATTTATGCAGATACGCAGCTTATCTGTACCTCTGGGATTGTTATTCAACATTATATAGAATGGCACAGGGACACAGAAGGTATATGGATTGCTACATAATATATACAAGCACAGATACATGGTAGGTGTTAGGATTGCTACACAGTGACTGTACATGGATTGACCCAGGTCAAACAGACATGCGCTGGCAGTTAACCAGGATGCCACATATAAGCATGATAAGTATATTTGTACTTCACAATAGATCACCCTATCTCTGCTGCTATCAATTTATCAATATGGAAGGACAATTGCACTGAAAGTATAGGCCTGGGGCTAGCTGTCGGATGCAAGGTCACTGTGACATAGGTCAAAGACCTGGAATAGCTCAGCTTAGGAAACTTATCTTCTGATATCTTAACTTTCAGATTTGTATAATCACATTACTCTCCATGGCGTTTTTCAAATCTATATATTCAGTAACATGTTTAATATTGATTTCTCTTGATTGGAACTGCAAAACTTATCATAACATAATTCACACTTAACATTTAAAAACACTCTCACTGTGAAATCTTTCTAGCAATGCTGACCTTATGAACACAGTATTATCTTTTCTAAGGTAGATATATGGTCCTTGCAGATGATGTCTTGGTAATATGGCCAAATATCAAAATCATGCTTGTCCAGAACAAGGGATATTTTTCATTTATTTTCTATGAAACATGCTACTGACAATTTTTTCTGCATATACATAGTAACCAATGTGAGTGTGTTTGTGTTAAATTGTTGTTAATGTAAACAAATACCCAGATTATGTATCAGAAGAGGCTAACAGGGCTTTAGGCTTCATTTGATCCATAACCATAAATTTTAAGAATAAATAAAAACCAGGAAAAAGAAACAAATATTATAATTGCTAATTCCATCAGCAAAACCGCAACCATGACAATACCTGATTATATACAATAAATGTCCGATATTAGAATTCCTGCCATACCATGCAATAATGTTCATGACATAGCTCCCAGCTGCATATATTGCCCTGTATCTACTGTAAGCAGAATCAATATGGCTTGTGTCGCTGACCCCGTCACAGATGCTGGCACAGATAAATGTTGGGCAGATTGAGTAGTTATCCACATGGAATCAGTCAGTTTCTCTCTGGATATTCAACATATTCTCATTTCTTTACGCCAATACTTTAATATTTTCAAAGCAATGAGAAGAGATGTAATGGAAATAATTGGACTTATATTGGAGCTTTAAGGGACTTATTTGCCATACACAATGCCATTTTAGAAAGTGGTCAAATGTAACATAAGTTATATTTGGGATTACACTTTCTTAGTAAAGTACCGGTACAGATTCTAGTACTTTTTGGGTTGAGTCCCATCCAGGACCTAGTCATGCACCTAATCGCCAGCACACAAAGTTAGACGCCTAGACCGCTCAGCCACCGTGGCTTTCACAAAAATGGAAGTCGGACAACTGGTAGTCTAGACTGAGGACTTTGTGTACAACCCCTCTGATAAGTGTTAATTGGCACGGCTCCCACAGCCAAAAGCTATGAAATACACAATGCCATTTTAGAAAGTGGTCAAATGTAACATATGTTATATTTGGGATTTCACTTCCTTAGTAAAGTACAGATTCTAGTAAATATTGCAGCAATATCACGGTTGGGGGACACCAGAAATGAGCTTCACACATTGTACCAATGTGGGGAATAGAACCCAGGTCTTCAGGGAGACAAGACAACATTTTAACCACTAGGCTACCCTACTGCCCCTTCTGTACCAATCTTGTCACATGATCATGATCATGAACATTTAATGAACGCAGCTGCTTACTAACCCAGTTGTGCAATTTGTGTATTGTTAGCATTAGCCAAATCACTGACCTAAAAACAATATTATGCACCAGCAACACAGATGTTTGACTCCAAACAATGTCTAGCTGCCATTTTGTTTGTTTGTAACCAATGCTGTGATCCTCACTTTTACCTGACAACAGATACATATCTTGAAGTTGCAATAAGTAAGAAGTGCTCATTTGTGCATTATGTTCATTATGTTTTATGTCCTGCCTTCATCAATCAGTAACGTAATACAACACACGAGTAGAAACAGCCCCACTGGGTAATTACATTGGGTAATTATAATGCTCAAACTATACCACTGTTCTTTCCTTTTTTAAAACCAGTATCTAAGCAACAGGAAAATGAAAATGGGATGTTTTTACTACTTTTGGCATCTAACACAGATACTCAGCTGATAATGACTAAAGATGCACACAGTAGAAGGTTATATTGAAAATTGCCGCCCCTAATAATCAAACATATCTTAATGTGTAAGACAGTGGTCAAGTTCCTTGAGTCTTAATGAAAATAATGGTCTACCATGATCATGAAGATTCCATGCAGCATATACACAAGTTTACAGGGCCCCAGATAACAACATCAGGAGTACGTACTCCTTATTTGTTCAATATTGAGTACTGGAAAACCTTAAGTGTACATTTAGAGTACTGAATGGAAGCTAATGGACTATCAGTAATCTTGTGTTTCGTTTCATATATGCACCACAACATTGCTACTCTTGTGTAAACAGGTCAATAAACAATAAAACAATACTTTTTTTCAGATAAATACATCTGTAAGTGATTCTAAGACCGTACACCATTGCTGTGGTGCGTATCTGCTACGTTTTCTAAATTATTTCCTACCGTATCGTGCATATTTTTTATCCTTACATACGCCGATACGGCCCTTATCTGGAGCCCTGAGTTTAGATGTGAGACCATGATAACTATAGCTAATCGTCACCGCCACTTACTTCTTCCTAATGATACAATGTACCAGTCAACTGTTCTATCTCCATCTAAACTGGGATGCTTGTCAGAGTTTCTCTGGGACTCACTTTCCCCATGCAAAATTACCAAAAGGAAATGGTTCTAACACAGCGTCAAGTACCTTTTGTACTTCAACTCTGAAAGTCTTCACAGTTGCATAAAAAATACTGCAAGTCATATTAACATTAAATCAATTTTTTAAACCAAAAGGTATTTCAAACATGAATATCAATATCATATTTAGTTTCAAATTCAGATTTTTTAATCAGTGTCATTATTTCATATATACTGAACAATAAAAGAAACGCAAGTTTCGAAGAAATTAAATCTCATAAAAGTAAGCGTTCATGTTGATGGAACGTTCATGGTAAAGTGACAAAAAGCCAGACTTGCATTTCTTCTGCTGTTCAGTATATAATATGGTTTCATCTTGTCAGGATGTATCTGAATGATTTCTCTAATATTTGACTCAAATATGGCTCTGTCTTCACCATTAGTGACCACCTACATTTCACCCGAATTCTTTCCCACTGCAGAGAAGTCCTACTATCCGGCTTCACTGCTTGCTGTGCTATCAAAAGGCATTAACCCCAGGCTCCTAATCATCCCAAACTTCTCTTAATTTGTGTAGAGTCTAGACATGAAACAGCGTGACACAGCAGCACCGCCTCAGGCTGGTGACAGCTGACCGTTAGGAGGCTGACCACTGACCATCAGCAAGAGGATTGGCCTTGATCATGAAGTGAATGAGCCACAATAGATTTCAATGAAAACAGGACAGGCACAAGTTCACAGAACCCAATACAATACATGAAAATTTCATTTCCTTTGGGAAAATATCACTATTCATTTTGGAAAGCTTAGTCATGAGATCCGTTGTTAATATACAAATACAAACTAGTTCTGTTATGATTCATTAGCGAATTCAATGAATCAATCCCTGTCCCATCATGAATTCAACTCATATTTATCAATATTTTTAAGAGAGTGTTTATAATTGGAACCAGTAAGTTGTTTATGTAAATGCAGTAGAGTAACTTGTGACATTTTGCCAAGGCCCCTTACAACACTATCATGACTATAGAACAAACTTTATGGATAACAACTTCTTTTTATTCGTGTGAGTGCGACGTTTCGATACAGATATGCTTGACAACGGTACAAGAATCCGTATCGAAACGTCGCACTCACGAATAAAAAGAAGTTGTTATCCATAAAGTTTGTTCTATATTGTACTTCCCAACTTCTAAAATGCCACTCAAAGAAGTTACCCTTACAACACTGTCATTAGGCTTTTAGTGACATTGTTCGCAATGTATCGCTCTTTCTGCTTTACAGAAATTGATATATTTCAACCTAGGTAAATTACATGACATGTTTGTTATTTTTATAACTTCATATTGAACAAAGTATTCATGGACAATTACTTATAATCGTTACTACATATACATAAAAGATATCATATTAACCTCATTATGTATCCGTTCCTATTTCTACATAGATTAGAAACAGCTGTTAACAACAAACAGCATCACAAAAAGAAAGAAAACCAGATTGATATATCATACACATGTATCTTACATCACACTGGAAGTTGCTCATATAATAAATATTCTGATGACTTGATAATGAACAGAACAAGAGAATGTGATACTGTGTGATTCTAATATCATTGGCATATATATATATATCTGTTTCAGGACAGTAAACTTAGCACTACGATCACTTCATGGAACAGAACTCTGGGTTGTTTAATGATTATATAAATCATTATGATGATTATATTTTGATTGGTGAACAAAAGTCAGGGGACTGTGTGACATGGTATACTATCATGCCTTGCCCACCAAACACTATTTCTGAACTTCAAACTATATCACAGAATGGGCTCCACAGTGTCAACAAAATACTATTTCTGCAACCATTAGACGTACTCCTTTGCATTAAATTTTCGGAATGATCAATTTAAAAAACCCAATTCATTCAGCTAGGTATGAACAATATCAAACTTCAACTTTAAGTACTTAGATTAAACAGTTGGCACAGACACCATCAAGGTCTTGTAATAAATATTACTAGAGTGAGTGAGTGAGTTTAGTTTTAGGCCTCACTCAGCAATATTCCAGTTAAATTACTGGGTCTGTAAATAATTGGGTCTGGAACAGACAATTCAGTGATCAACAGCATGAGCATCGATCAATGCAATTGGTATACGGTGACATGTGTCAACCAAGTCAGCAAAGCTGACCACCCGATCCTGTTAGTCAACTCTTACAAGCATGGGTTACTGAAGATTAAATCTTACACGGATCTTCACAGATCCTGGATTACAAGAAGGTCCAAGTAGTAAGACCACACACTGCTATCCCATGTGACCTGGACCCGTTCCACAAAACAATAATAGCACTACAACTGTCACGAGTCTGTGTTAACGCATGGAAGTTACAGCTGTCTTAGCACCATGATCACTTCATGGAACAGAACCCTGGGTTAGACTTGGTCCCCAGCATCCATAACTCCATTAAATACCAGTAAGTTGTCCTGGTTGGACAACCACTGATGTAGGATCATTTGTCCATGTTCTCGGACTCTGGTTTGCATGGGCAAATCATAATGATCAATTCACACATTGTAACCATACAATCCTACTAGTCTGGATTCACACTGAACAGGTCACCAAATTATGTAGGAAGAACAAGAAGAAACCAAAACTTACCCATCCGGACTAAAGTCCATGAGGAAAGTAGCTCGAGGTAATCCTGACAGCTCACAAGCCTGGAAACAAAGAGACAGTTTTAACTGACTTTCTTCATGTTACAAGGTCAAGGCTTCATCTTAAATATCTTAGTACGTAGCTGACATAGGTAAGGCAACATTCTATTTAACAGTATCAGTGTTGTTCTGATGTCAAGGAGCATTTTGAGAGAACTTTGTAAAGTTTGTGGTGCTGAATTCTAAAGGTAGGACCTATAAATAATAAGCAATCTCAATGTTATTAACAACTCAACTAACCACTTGAACACTGAAGTGTAGTCTAGCTAATATTGTATATCTCAGTTTTCACCCTGAAACATTTGAAACAAAGTAAGTGGACGCTTCCACACTTAGCAGTGTCCTTATTACTATTATCAGTCTGACTGTGACTAATGCATGTTTATACTGTCTGATTATGTTTTCAGACATCCTACATTATCAGATGGTGGTGCTTACTCTAGGTATGAAGAGGCAGGTTGCAACACCCTTATACTTTAAGTACTCAGATGATGCAATGTGTTAAGGTCAAATAAAAAACATGTTGTGGTTCCGATTACACCTCTTTAAAATTTTGGGTAGGTTGGATTTTTTTTAACATTATTTTTTTAGAAGTAAAGTACAAACTAATAACACATTTATCAATATGTAATTGTTTATTCAATTAATCTTGTGGCCATCATGTCGACTTTCTCTATCAGAATGACCAATGTCCGTTGGTGATAGGAAAAAAACAATGGTTTCTGAAAGCTTATTTCATTAATACCACTTATAAATAATTAGGGTCGGCAGCAAAATTCAATGGTTGGTTGGGTAATCAGAACCACAAAATATTTTTAGGCCTAAAGATAGAGTTGTCTTTAATCACTTGGCGTTTTACAATTGTTAACAAATGGGCAATATGCACAATACACATTAGACAGACACACAGGCAACACGCTGACAACACACAGACAACAGGTAACATCCTGACAATCACACATGTTACAAATGGGCAATATACACAACACACACGGTAGACAGACACACAGGCAACACACTGACAACAAGCAACACCCTGACAATCACACAGGTAACAAATGGGCAATATGCACAACACACACGGTAGACAGACACACAGGCAACACACTGACAACAAGCAACATCCTGACAATCACACAGGTAACAAATGGGCAATATACACAACACACACGGTAGACAGACACACAGGCAACACACTGACAACAAGCAACATCCTGACAATCACACAGGTAACAAATGGGCAATATACACAACACACACGGTAGACAGACACACAGGCAACACACTGACAACAAGCAACACCCTGACAATCACACAGGTAACAAATGGGCAATATACACAACACACATGGTAGACAGACACACAGGCAACACACTGACAACACACAGGCAACACCCTGACAATCACACAGGTACCAAATGGGCAATATGCACAACACACACGGTAGACAGACACACAGGCAACACGCAGACAACACACAGACAACAGGCAACACCCTGACAATCACACAGGTAACAAATGGGCAATATACACAACACACATTAGACAGACACACAGGCAACATATTGACAACACACAGGCAACACACATTAGACAGACACACAGGCAACATATTGACAACACACAGGCAACAGGCAACACACTGACAACACACAGACAACAGGCAACACCCTGACAATCACACAGGTAACAAATGGGTAACATACACAACACACACGGTAGACAGACACACAGGCAACACACTGACAACACACAGACAACAGGCAACACCCTGACAATCACACAGGTAACAAATGGGCAACAGGCAACAAAGAAATCACACACACTGCCAGGCACACACTGACAACACGAGGACCACATTTGGGTAAAATTGACAGCACACAAGCAACTTACTGACCACACAAAGGCAACACAGACATCACACAGAACAGACTGACATGACACCAGCAACAGATGGGCAATACAAACAGCACACATCAGACACAGGTAACAGACAGGCAACGTTCAGGAAACACACTGACAACACACAGACAATGTATACCTGGTTCTTGGTGAGTGTAGATGTCCGGTCCTCCACCAGCGTCCCCAGGTTTTCACCCCCACTAGCTTTGGACTTCCTCTTGGAACATCCATGCTCACGGCTTTGAAGAAACTGGATGACATTCATGTTTCTGTCACCTGGATCAAAACACCAGATACTGTTACTAGTGTTAGTTTATTCCAGCAATATCTGACTCTACACATTGTACAATGAGGGGAAAAGACTGTTATTCAGACATTGGAAACACTTCTTAAGCCATGATATATTGAACTGATCAGACTGATATCATTCTTATGATACCGATGTCAAACTTCAACATACAGACTGTCACATTAATTTGTTGACAGCACAGCAGTTTTTGATTATAGCCAAACCCTATAAGTGGCTTGTAATATCTCTTCAGAACTAAAATACAATGAAAATAATAGGGGGAAATATGTTGTGTTTGTAGATTCAAAAGTGTTTGGCACAGACTGGTACAGGAAAGGGGTGGGGGGTGGGGGAGAGAGAGAGGAGTTATTGAGATCAGTGCTGGTGTGAATGGTTGTACATTTGGTCAATAATGATGCTACTATTTCCCTATCCCCACAGTAAACATGGTTCAATGTCTTCATGGAATCATATTTATGTCACATCAGCCAATATTACAATAGCTGTTAAAGTGTAAACAGACATCAAACCTAGCTTACCAACATTAATTTAGTTGTGTTTTGTAATTATTTCTCCAAACCAATAAAAATGATTATGTTTCATGTGAGGGCTCCAATTATCACTTGGTCTGATTCTAATTGCAGTTGCTTGATTGGCCCAGTCGCCAAAGGCACTTCAATTAGTTGCACTTCTTAGTCATGACTGAATTTTGCAAGAAATGATCATGGCTTCAACACCAGATCTGCTCAAATTGAGATTCCCGGTATCTTAGCTCAATGATAGTCAAGGAGCTCAGCAAAGCTGTTTGACATTTGAATTGCAACAAATACACAATGAGGTTAATATGATACATTGTAACTAGAGCTGTGTATCGTGGTCTAAGTGGCGAGACGATATATCCCGATACCAGTTTAATTAGGCGAGACGATATATCATGTGAGTATTGGCAAGGAACCTGCGAGACGATTATCATCATGATACAATGGTGGCGATACGATACGTATCCCGATACTTTACAATTTCTAATAGCAGAAGATATATACTGAGTCAAAAAAGAAACTTCACAAAATGTAATTTGAAAAATAATGAATAATTTTTCTCTGATGATACATCTATGTATCCGAAATGGGATCCCTATCTTTCGACTAGAAAAACGTTAGCAAAACCCACTCAAACCCATCCATTCGTCATGCAAATGACGTTAGTGCCAAATCAGGTTTTGCACGTGCAGTCGATCACGTGATCTTCGCATCGAAATTTTCTTCATATGCAAGTGTTTGCATTGGCCTCAAGAATTGAAAAAAACACTTTTAAACCACAGTTCTAACGGTACTTGAAATGCCACGATTGTCAAATGTGCAACGTGAACGTGCCGTTGGCATGTTGCAAGCGGGAAGATCAGTTATTGACGCCGCAAGAGCAATGGGATGCAGCCGTCGTACTGTGTATGACTTGCGAGGTCTACAACAAACTGGCACCACTTCTGATCGCCCAAGGTCGGGTCGTCCACGTGTGACGTCACAAGCAGAAGACCGTCAAATCGTCCTACGTCACCTACGTGACAGATTCCTGCCGGCTACACGAACCAGGGCTGACATGTTTAGAGGTCGACTGTCCTCACAGACCATTCGAAATCGGTTGCGGGCTGCCAATCTCCATTCTCGACGTCCATATCGTGGGCCAATATTGACGCCATTTCATCAATGTCAACGTCTGCTGTGGGCCCAACGTCACCTCCGATGGACCCAGAGAGACTGGAATCGAGTCGTCTTTAGCGATGAATCCACGTTTACCCTCAGATTCGCGGACGGCAGGCATAGAGTCTTGAGACGACGTCGTGAACGGTATGCCCAATGTTGTGTACAGGAAGTCGACAGATTCGGGGCGGAAGTTGCATGGTGTGGGGTGCTTTCTGTGGGAACAACCGTTCCGACTTCTGGTCATCCGTGGAAACCTCACAGCTGCTGCTTACGCGACCAGGTGCTCACCCTGAACTCGTTCCTGTCATGGCGGCTCATGGCCCAGGTCTACAGTTCCAGCATGATAATGCTCGGCCGCATACCGCGATGTTGACCACGAAATTTCCTTCAAAACGCTGGAATAACGTCATGGACTGGCCATCGAGGTCCCCTGACCTTAATCCAATGGAGCACGTTTGGGATGCACTTGGGAGAAGGCTTTGTGGTCTTAGGAACCAACCTCAGAATTTGCAGGAACTTGGCTGCCTTGCAAGAGCAATGGCGCAGAATCCCCAACCACGTGTTCACAAGCATCAGGCAGTCGATGAGGAGACGGTGTTTGGCAGTGGTGAATGCACGGGGCGGCCATACACGATATTAAACAGAGAAATTTCGCATTTTTATTCTTGTGACTTGACATTCTGTATACCCATGTTTTGGAACGGCGGTGTAGCCTAATGGAACTGATTATGGCACTGTCAGTGTATCGAGTACATCACACAGATCTCAGCAATGAAATAATAACAATTTATCCATCTTACCATCTCTTGTTCTTTTATATTGCCCTGAAGAAAGAATGTGAAGTTTCTATGATAGATAAAATGACTGAAACTTTATTTGTTATACAGCTGAACTTGTGTTACATTCACACACACTTAAAAAGCTGTTCATTTAATAAAGTTTCATCATTTAATGCTTTTAAAGTACAGTCAAACATATTCAGTATACTTTGATCTAACATATATAAGTTTGAAACCGAAGTTTCCTTTGGGAAGGTGTGTTTCTGCACCGATGCTTTCACAAACAGTTAAATGTAATTCAGAATCACTAAAAATAACTCTTAAGTATGCTTTCTAAATTTTATATTCTCTTTGTTCTCTTTCTTAACAAAGCTAAGACATCGTTCGTGTATGTTAATAAATGGGGGTATTTGTCAAACAACTAAAACATATTTCAATTACAGTATTCTACAGTTCACAGAGTTTGAAAAATGTTCACACTCTTTCACTTATACACCAACTCCTTTGTCCATGTAACAAAGATAACAGAAACAAACAAATTCCTAAAAGGTTCAATTTGTTTTTAAAATTCAGAAGAATTTTAAAGAGACTCCCTTCCTATTCCTAATGCAATACTCCTTACCACTGTAACTAGTATTGAAGTTGTATCGGGATATATCATCTCTTGTGGCGATACATCGATGTATCGTGGACCCTTGCGATATAAATATCCTGATATATTGCCTGAATGTGTTTTGTATCGATGCACTCGTATCGCGAAGTTGACGATGCAAACATTGATACTATCGATGAATCGTTACATGACTAATTGTAACATCACAAATAGTGGGTAATAAATACAATAAAAAGTCAACTGTTGATGTATTATTCCTTATATTCAGTGAAACAATAAAAACAAGAAAATATTGTGTCCAGCGACACGGATGCCCCCGCTGCTGTAGGAAGAGTTCCCTACACTGAGTGTGCTCTGGTGATTAATTTCTACTAAATAAATATCATGGTTGATTATAAAATAAATACGAACAGGATGAACAAAACCAAATTCAACTAAGTTCAAACATCTGTAGAAGTGACAAAATTAAGAAATTGAATGAACAAGGTATGAGACGCACACCTTTAGAGTCCCAATGAAACACTCGTAGAAGCTCAATCAATTCTGCTGAGCAGTTTTTGTGGAGAAGTGGACAGACTTCATCCCCTATTACACTATCATCATAGAGAAATTCAGCAAAATGTACCTAAGTTCAAATGTCTCTAAACTTACAAAAAACAATAAAATACAAAAACAAAATATGAGATGCACAGTCCCAAGAAAGCCCATGTATAAGTTCATTGAATTCCACAGAGGTTTTTTGTGGAGAAGTGGATAGAGTACATTCCCTGTTTCGTACAGAAGGACGTACGGACGGACATGGAGAGTAACCATATATGCCCCCAGCCATATATGGCGGGGGTCATAAAAATCATTCTTTGACATGTTTTAACCATGTTGACAATGTTTATTTATCCCGCCAATGACCACTGACCACATTACTGTCAAATTAATGATATAATCAGTGCTGACTATTATCCTACCTTGCTTGGATATATCCCATTTAGCATAACTCGCTTTGATTAATAACCCCCAATGTGGAGTGAAACATTCCATTATAAAATGATGAATAATCAATTCCAGTAATTATGAGTAACAATTTCAATTCACAAAGGGATACAGTGTGATTCACCAAATACACATAAGAATCAAAACATAACTAGTCCCGATCCACAGACATCCAGGGTTCCGATGCACATAGTGTTTGTAATGTTACGACCTGTCGTAACTCTATAGTTTATCATTGGCTTACGATTACTGTAGCGCTACGATTGTTTTGTGGATCAGGGTCCAGGGACTTGGTCTTTCCTAGAGCACAGAGTGGACTAGCAATGAAATAAATGAATTACTATTCAAAGTAGTGTCTGCACTCACAGGTACCATAATACTATAATATAATTGAGTTGAGTTGAGTTGAGTTGAGTTGAGCTTTACGTCACATCGGCATTTTTCCAGCCATATAGTGACGAGAACAAGTTTGCATTAGTAAATATTGTAAGTACATACTCGGAATGAGTTTTATTTCAAAGACATTTATTGATTACATTGTCATTCAAAAGTAGAAAAAAAGTCATAGCATCAAATTTAAAAGCAGGCGGATTGTTACATTTCATAGTTACAATTTATGGTTGTTACATTTCACAGTTACAATTTATGATACAGATCAACTTCCCTCAGGTAGTTCAGTATCAGATGGGCGCTCACGCGTGAGAACAGATCTTTTAGGTTTGTTGCATCATAATGTGAGTCCCTTGCAGGCGATAAGTCCACGCATTCAAGCAGGATATGCTTGACGGTGAACACCTCATCGCAAGAGACACACATGGGGGGTCCATCTCCATCCGTTTTCAGCAGATAGTCATGTGTAAATCGACTGTGGCCAATACGACATCGTCGTAAAATTACCTCATCGCGTCTTGACTGACAACCCAAGCTATAATATAATGATAAATATAATAATGTAATTAACATCCCCAATATACATGATCATCAGATGTAACATACCTCACTCCAATTGTGCATATAGACGTAGGAAGGCAGTTCCCGCTGCACCCGATGGTGCAAACAGCGACAGACACAGGAGATTCATGGACAGCCTATGTTCTGTTTTCCAGGCCCACCATCATGTAGACGTGTATATACAGAAATCAATCAGCAATGGTCAACAGAGATCTGATTAATTCCTCATAATGGGCTAACAAGTCCAGGTAATCACATCCACTTTCTGATGACTCATCTCTTCTCTTCTTCCCTAGTCTGTGAAAAGAGTTGGTATAGCTTTAATAATGGATTAGTATCATCAGAGTATCACAGGTACAGCAGCTCACCTTTATTCAAACTTTTATAAAATCAAAGGGTTGAGGAAATGCCAAACAGGTTCCTTTACATAAAAGACCCACAACCATAAACTTGAATCCACTTTGTGCCACCTTGTTTAAGTAACTTCATATTTTGATTTGATATCAATAGGGTTGGCCATCGACATGCTTCATAGTGACTGATAATTGCTAATGGAATATCAATAGATTATCGCTAAATATTGGAGAAATAACTTTGAGCAGGTCTGCGAAAATATCAGAAAGAAATGAACATTTTTCTCATCACTGGTAGTTAGTGACATATTGTGGGTTTGGAGTGCTTACATTTTACAAAACAGCATCCTGAACATAGTATAGAAGCAGTCCATGAATAAAGACCTAATTTTATGTAATGTCTAAGTACATTAAAAGTGTATCTCATTCCAATAGTTAACTTACAATATTATCGATGACAGAATTTTCACATAGATGTCCTATGCTGACATAAGCTACTAAGTATTTACTCCAAAGTTACAATTCCCTGATTTCTCTGATTTAAGTCAACTTCCTCATGTTCATGTACGCAGATATTTATCAACATTAACACTTAAAGTCCAAAAAGTATTGCTTAAGGTATTAGGTACTGCTTAACATTCTTTCACACTAAGCATGTTAAATTGTTACAGGGATTTATAGGACGCGAATTCCTGCGTCCTATATGCATAAAAATTGAGAATGGACGCAACCAGGGACTCAGAAAAAGTCCAAATACCTTTTGTAAAGATTCCAATCAAGTGACAATAAGTAATCACTGAGTTTTCTACTAGCTTAGTTATGGTAGTATTTGCAATTTAATTACTGTAACAATGTGATGATCATGATACACACAATAACAGTATTAATAACAAGCATTGTCACTAAGGTGACATAATCCCCCGCCGCAAATTATCAAATCAAACTTAGAAAGTAATGAAAGTTTAAGAAGAAGTTAATGTCAACAAAAACATTATCTTGCTCTTTAGTTGGTCAAACACACACATATTTTCAAGACTGACTTTGACCTTGACATGAATGTCATAGTGTATGAAATATGCAAAACTATTACTAAAGAAATTGCTTATTGAAAAACAACCAAAGGAGGTCTTGAAAGTCTACGAAGAAAATCCAGTGAACCGATCTTAAAATATCTTGCTGACAATTCAGGTTAACATTCTGAAATCTTCAAAGTGTCTCTGTGACCTTGAAAATTAAGTGAAGGTCACCAAAATCGACTGGGCCCTGCACCTTCCCTGGATGAAGATTGGTGTCAAATATGAAGAAACTCCAGTGAATGGTTCTTGAGGTATCTCGCTGACAAGCATAACATGTGGGTTAATATGATGAAATCTTCAAAGTGTCGCCATGACCTTGAAAATTATGTGAAGGTCACCAAAATCGGTTGGGCCCTGCGCCTTCCCTAGATAAAGCTTGGTATTGAATATGAAGAAAATCCAGTTAACGGTTCTTGAGATAGCTAAACATGCAGGAAAAACGTGAAAGTCCCCTTGTGATCTTGACATGAAGGTCAAGGTCACCAAACCTGATTTGGACCTTTCTTATATTTTGATGAACCTAGGTACCAAATATGAAAAGAATCTAGAGAACGGTTCTTAAGATATTCCAATTCATACGTACGTACGGGACGGACAGAACCTAATATTATATCCCCCGCTTCGCGCTAAACGTGTGGCAGGGGATTATAATATTTAAGTGTCTAAGATCCCCATTTTCTTGTCCAGGACACCTCAAAATTAAGAGTATGAGTCCCAGGGACCCTCAAATACAGGACTCCATGTATATCCCTGTTGTAAATTGTCTGATTATGGTAAAAATGTAATCAACAGCAAAGTCTTAAATAGCCAACCAATGAAAAAAATATCCTTTTGTGCACTATATTACTGAACATGACTATATTCCTATCAGATTTGTTGTAACCTGTTAAAGTGACCTTTCTTAAAATAATATGATTTAACAAATCCTTCAAAATACTGACATCACTTAAACATGATTTCAACTCATGCAATGTCCAGCATTTACGTGTTAAAACCACCAAGTAATAATATTTGGTTCAATTAACACATCAAAATAGTTTTTCTTGAAAACTGTCTATAAGAATAGCATAAGCATGTCCTACTTTATCATACGCATAATTTAATCAACATGTTCACACTGATAATGTTGCATAAACTAACCAGTATACATAAGAAAAGTTGTTTTTCACATGTAGAAGGTGATATTGATGTGTTCAGAGATGTAGGGAAGGAAATAAACTTTATCAGTGCCAACAAGTGGAGGTCCCCAGGTGGACAGACAACAGCTCAAGACCTGTAATCAAGCTCACATTGACAATGTCAAGGACAGCTACAAATACATTGATGTCGAAATTATGTACAATTTTTATATGTCAAATATTAACATATTCAAAATGCCAATGCCTAATTCAGGTTATTAAGCTACGGTTATGACTTTTCTGAAAAAGATGTACAAAAGAAATGTGTACTCAACAATTAATAGCTGAAGCATTGTGGTTAAAGCCACAATGTATAAGTTCAGGATGCTTATTACATACTTAAGAAAGGAAAACTTACTGCACCAGTTTCTGTTGAACATGTTGCAAAAAGCTTTAAAATTGCATGGTATGTTTAGGTTCATCGGGACAGGTAAATTTTTCTACTTATTCCAGTACTGGCCCACATGGTTGATGTTCATGTACATGTTCATTTCTAACACTGCAGGACGTTGTTATCATGGTGACAGGTTAAACCTAAGAGTGTTTCATTAACCTCTTGAGCCTGTACAGTTTTGTTTTGCGTGCATGCTGAGTAACTGATCAGAAGTATGCACTTGGGAGTGTGCCTGCTCAGACACTCCACATGCTACATAGCATAAACATAAAACAAAGCTAAGCACATGAAAATATAACAATATAACCTACCACTCACCACTAAAATATGTTTTGTCTCCTTCACAAGAAAGCAAAATCTATAGTCAACTTGCCCAAACAAATTGTATCAGCTTCAATACAAAATATTGTTACTAATCAGATTGTTATAAGTTGAGTTTACTTCACCAAACAGAATTCTAATACACTCAAGACTTACGACTTGCAGCTAAAGATGCAGATCAAAATCTGTGTTTGAGGTAAATCCCAAATTGTCTACGTAACCCTGGGGCAGTGAGGTAGCTTAATGGTTAAAGCTCATAGTGTCGCCCGTCATGCTACAGACTTGAGTTTGATTCCCCACATGGGTACAATGTTTGAAGCCCATTTCTGGTGTCCCCCGCTGTGATATTGCTGGAATATTGCTAAAAGTGGCGTTAAAACTTAACTCTCTTAGTCACTATGTGACCCTCAAAGATCTAGGTTAGTACTGGTCTTCAGCAACACATACTTCTTGTAAAAGGCGACTAACAGGACCAGGTGGTCAGACTCGATGGTTGATGCGTGTCACCATATTGCAAATGTGTGGATCCACGTTTATAACTGGATTGTCTGTTCCAGACTTGATTAATTACAGACTGCCATCATATAACTGGAACATTGTTGCGTGTATCATTAAACATCAAACAAACAGTGTTTATGTTCATGTAATTTCTATATCTTTTAAGTCTTAAAACGGTTAAAAGGTTACTGACTTCAAAGGTTCCACATCTTGTTACATGGAATTTAACTGCCAATAGTATTTAACTGTCAATTAAACATCATATGTGCATTGGCATGTGACTGCTACTTCACATGCTACATGTGTGTGCATCCCAGCAGAAAGGTTATTGTCAGCATATGTCATGTTCTATCGATTATTCTGACAGTGCTATTACCTCTGCAAAATGTTTATTACTAGTGTTGGGAATTGGTGGAAATCTCATAATTGATGACTGGTTCTTTAAAACTGATCAATCATTGAACATAATTGGTTATGGTCATTTTTCAGATTTTCCTTTTAATGTTGTTATTGTAGATAGAATTAAAGAAAAAACGTGGTTCTCTGTTGCTTTGTTTGCAAATTTCAAATATAACTAAATCTAAATGATCCAGCTTTCTACTTTTAACTGACAACTAAGGTATACATCATAAACAACCTTCCCGGAGTCTTCAAGAAATCTTCAGTCATGACTTGTAAGCATGGTAAGTGAAGTGAGTTTTCTTAGAAATACACATGTTCTCAGGCTCTGACAGCTTCTAAACAGGCCCTTGTAACGTTATCAGTAATTCACAATTTCAGAATGTTACCATGTTAACCATTTAGATGTGATATATAGGTCATGACAGCAGTTGGCAGCAGACAAAACATACCTGGATTTGACAGGATGATCAACAAACCTTGATCAACAAACCCTGATCAACCTGTGATTAACAGCATGACCATCAAACCTGTGACTGACAGCATGATAAACAAATGTGTTTAAGTTTAACACCCTGATCAACCAGAATGTGTTTAACAGCATAATCTTCAAAAATATGTTTGACAGAAAGCACATCAAACCTGTGCTTAACAGCCTGACCAACATACCTGTGATCAAACAGAATGATCAAACAAGGCTGATAAATAGCATGATCAATAAACATGTGTTTGCCTAAAGATAAATCCCTGCACTGTGTCTTACCAAACTAAACTCTAAACAAAGTTATATATGGTGGCTAATGAGTACAGAATCTTCATGCTAATAGGACAAAGAATCAATACTACATACCACAATGGATAATCTATGATGTAGATCCCATTACTGCCATCAGAACAGCAAACATTGTTACTGTCTAACATGGCCAATGGAATAAAGATTGAAGACGGCAATCCAAATAATATTCATCATGAAGAAGCATACGATGATAGTATCAGAGTTCATAAAATGCAGTTCATATAAGAAAAGAAATGTGCATCAATACATGACATTTACTGACAATCAGAACTTCCAGAGACATTTCGATTTTTGTGTAAGAAAGACCTCTATAAAATCACCTTTAACATTAAGTTAACAATGGAAAGAAATGTCACTCATTGTATACATGCTTGTACAGCATTCTTAATCTTAGATGTGTTTTGCCATAGTCTGAACAGGAAGAAGACATTGCAATATACTGCATTTAAATCATCATGTATCTCAACCCATGAAAATTATGGCAATAGGCCTTTTCATTTATTTATAGGGTTTACAATGCATATGATTTTCTCAATTTAGCAAGAAAGAAATGAGGGTACCTCTTTCCTATCAAAGATCTCTTTAGGATCATTAAAGAGTATGTTCAGGCACACCTTTAGATCTAACTAAGGGTTACCATGGTTACCCATGATATACTGTTCGTGAGCAACCTCTTTTATTAGTTTTAACAAATAAACTCATGCAATATGGGGCATCTCTGTCTATTTTTATCAAGTTACAAGTTTCACTAAGTAAATGGCCTCTCCATATGTGCAGAAAGGTAAACAATCACTGATTGTTTGTGATCATACCTGAGGTCCCGCAGAAGGATTGATGTTTGCTAATTAAGCTTACCTTTAGAATTCAGCACCACACATTTACCCTATGACATAATTTGTGAAATACTGGCAAAAAAATGCCTTATGACAAAAGCCTGTTACTGGATCATCAAGTTCGCCTGTGCTCCTCTCAGCATCTCTACATCATCTCTACATGCATTGTCACTGTGTAAGAACTGAGAGTTTCAATATCTGTTTACTAAATATAGAGTATGCTATACATTTTATATCAAGGACTTGTTATGATGGCATTTCATTTTAAATACATTTAATATTTCCGTTTCATCAAACGGGAACTAATATACATGTATCTCTTTTCTGATTCAATAATTTCATTTTTATGCACTATGTACACAGGAATGCAATTTATTCTGTATATGATATTATTAGAGCGGCACACATTCAAACACTGACATTTTTTTCAGTAAATAAGTTCTCTTTATAAACTCTCATTTTGTGATGAAAAATGTGCTGTGGGTTTAAGGTTTTTTGTCCAGTACTGCTTCTAAGTTTCCATTTCAAATGACAGTATTTTCCACACAAAAAGGCTTCAAGAGAAAAGAATGAAACTGTATTGTGTCAAATATTTTGGCTACTTTGCCCAAGCCAATTTCCCCCTTAGAATTGTTCAGCAATAAATTAAAAGCCGACTCACCCTCGTACTGAACCTTCATGGTTCTTTACTCTGATGAACAATATCTTTATTGTATTCTCTACTCTTTTCTGTCACAAAAAAATTCACCTGACAAATTACTGAATGTCATGTCATTTATGCATACCCAGGTATTGGATGCCTGACGCCTGATGTTCACAGCTGTTTTAGGTTTACGCAATCTCATTCCTGACAACTCAGTATCTTGAAGCTAACAGAACGTAACAAAAATGAGCCAAATGGCATTGAGATCTCTTGTAAGTGTATGTAGACTTAAGTCAAACAGTGTATATGTAGCTTAGTTGGTTAGCTATCAGGCTAACCATGCTAACAATCCGAAGGTCATGAGTTCACGTCAATCAAGAATCGCACAAACTGGAAGCTAGTCTTAGTGACATGTGTCCTACAGCAGAGATCCTCATCACGAGAAGTTGTAGCACTGTATTCTAAAGGTGCTCCACCATAGATAACTCATTAAGTCATTAGCCCGGTTTGTCTTCAAGCGGGCAAGGTGATTTTGATCCTCCATGCAGCACTAATTGAAATCCGAACAAATACACCTGATAAATGCAACCACAACCCCATGTATGCGACAGGAAATCAGTAACGTTATGCAGAGCAGCCGTTGTAACTTGCACACAGTATTTTGGCACCAATATTTAATGACATTCATTCTCTCAGTTCCCTCTGAAGATATGATCCAAGATGACAAATGCTTTCACCAACTGATGCCTAATAACATCAGTATGATCGGCATAAATTAAACCCTACATTATTTCCTTCAGATTTCTGTACATGAAGAGCAAATAAACTGACTGACAAATGCACGAAGCATGGTATTTTCCACAGACATCAGTTGATTCACTTTGGTTTCTAGGGTTAACAAATGGTTCAGTTATCAAAATGCACTCCCACTTCTGAGACCAACATAGAGAGAAGAGACATGTATATTCACGTTGAGAACTCACCTGAGTATGTCGCATGATTTCTTAACCGTGCACTTCCTGGATCTGTAGTCGTTCTATCATTAACCAGACAAGATCAACACAGGGCCAAGTCACACTGACTGAGATGAAGCACAGGTCTGCTGGTTCGAGACAGAATATTGCACACAAAATATGTCATTAAGTGCACACACAAAAGTTTAGATTTTTCACTTGTAGCAATGTATGAGTTGTGGTCATTCGATTCCCGTCAAATAATCCGTAGATTAGCAAACATAACTTGAATCATTTCTGATTATATTTCAACGCGATGCAAGGTCTGCACTTTTGACCCCGAGCGCCGCCATTGTGAAAGAACCCGTATGAAGTATGTTCTTCACGACTACTTTATACCACAGTCAACGACCCTAGTTTGGTGTGAGCTGGTGTACGATAGAAAGTATTACGAAATGATGCTGATCAACTGCCGGTGTGTCGTCCTGGTGTCCGTCGACAGGAAATCTCCCAGGACTCACAATTAAAATGGTTCTTATGATCAGCAGTTTTGTGGCCTCTGACAATACTTGTATCAAATAGATTGCTCCAAGACGAACATCTAGTGTCTGAAATGAACATCGTTCACGGGAAAATACAGTTCCTAAATTATCTTTATAAAATATAATAAAGAACCTAGAGACTATCTTCGTTTTCAGAAACTGAAACTGTTGTAATCGTGTATGATCCCAGGCAGTTGAGATTGATAATATGACGTGCCGTTGAGATTGACATCCAGTGATCGTGGGAAAAACAAAGCGCCTTTGAGCAGCTGAGCTATAAAAATGCTAGCATAATAATAATAGTAACTGACATGCTACATGTTCTGGACATGCATGGGCTGTATTGGGTATATTTGTTTCAGGGTCTGTATGAGTATATGTGTTCATCCTTGTGTTGGGAATTGGATAAAATCTCATAATTGATGATTGGTTCATTACAACCGATCAATCATCAAAAATAATTGGTCAGCATCATTTATAAAAAAAATTCTGGTTATGTTTGTTACTGCACAAAAAACAAAGAAAATACATGCAGTTCTTATGAGTCTTTTAGCAAATTCCACAAAATGCATGTGCAAATTTAATATCTTTAAAGGATGACTAGTATGTTAGGAACATAAATTTCCTGGAGTCTTTAAGATAAATTCAATCCTGACTTGGAACAAGCTTGTAATGTTTATGAAATGTTACAGACAAAACCAACATTGTGAAAAATATTGTTAATGCAAACAAGTGTTCCAAAATTGTTTGTGTTCGGTTATGAGAAAACATGATCGATTGCTTGGTCGTTTAGTCATTGCGACCAATCTTCGATTATTTCAATTAATCGGACCACAACTAGTTCATCCCACATGAAATGTCATGTACGTCCACCGTAGCCTTTACCAACCAATACTGGAAACGTTGCTTTCTGTCTTCCAAGACTATTGTCTGTTATTCAGTCTATGGTCCGACGGTCCCTTGAGAATATATGAACTGAATCTAATTAAAGTCTAGATTAAAGGTGCAAGTTATGGATGTCAACCTGTTGAAGGAATAAGAATCAGCTCCGAAACGTCGTGCCCCTCAAGTTACAGAAGCTTACATTCATAATTTTCCCCCTTTGTATGTATCACTTCTAAATGCTGTTTAAAGACTTTAAAGTCTGGTATGATTTAGCAAGTCTACATTGCCTACACTCAGAAATTGTGCATTATGATCTTCTTTCGATATGTAAATTATGTAAAAGATTATGATGTGACCAGAGACCATATAATTATAAATAGATTATTATATGGTATCTGATGTGACTAAACGGGTCAACAGGTCCGTGCTGTAGTGCCGATTTCCAGTGAAAGGTAACAGTGAATATCCTGGTTAGAATTGATCATCAGCTACCCATGTGCATGCTTGTCGTAAGAGGCGATATATATATACATACGGATTTAAACTCAGAGATTAGTGACATGTATCCAACATGCATGCACGTGCCACGTTCCGTGACGTCAGTGGGAACGTCCTTGAGACGTGCAATACGTTGTTGCACGTGCATTACGGGAAAGCGAAACGGAACAAATGAATGCCACACAATACTGTCGCTTTGGAAAGCTCAACCCTTGCGATCGTTCAAAAAATTAAACGGCTATTGAAACGCATAGCATGCCAAGGCTCACGTCTGCACAACGTCATGAAGCCATTGGGATGGTCCGTGGGGGAATGTCTCAACGACAAGTGGTTGCACATTTCCACTGCCACCGAAACACCATTTCTGCACTGGTGAGACGCTACCAGAACACAAATGACGTCATCGATCGGCCACGTTCTGGACGTCCACGTGTAACAACGCCAAGACAGGACAGATGGATAAGGGTGACCCATCTTCGCCACAGGTTTCAGACTGCAGTGATGCCTGCAAAGTCACCGGATCTCTCCCCGATAGAGCATGTTTTGGACGAGATGGATCGACGTCTACGCCGTCTTCCTCATCCGCCAGATAACGTCCTTGACCTTGAAACAGAACTTGAGAGAATCTGGCGTGACATCCCACTAGCCTTCCTTGCACGTTTGATAGGCTCCATGCGTCGTCGATGCACTGCTGTTCTCAATGCCGATGGTGGACATACCCGTTATTGAGCTTTTGACATGGTCGTTTGACCCCTGTCCCGCTTGTGGACTCGTGGCGTCATTGTGATTGACTTTTCAACTGAAATTCTCCCGACTTGTTATGGTCTCATGATCCCTCCATTAAAGTTTATATGTACCTTTGACATTGTTATCGTACTTATCAACTGGGATAATATTTTGACAATGCACAGTTTCTTTATGTGGCTAGTATACTTTTTAAAAATCCCTAATCCTCGCAAAGACACAAGGGCCTGTGCGCACATGCTGTTGATCACTGGATTTTCTGGTCCAGACTCGATTATCTACAGACTGCCGCCATGTAGCTGACATATTGCTGAGTGCGGTGTAAAACTAAACTCACTCACTCACTCCAGTGAAAGGGAAAAGAACACTCCAACTTTGACTTGTTGTCAGACACTGCCATCGTGGCTACGAAACAGAACACAACGGCAACAGTTCGCTTATCAGAAAGGAGAATTATCACTGTGTTTACACTTATGTATGCACCAGTGTTTATTTTGATACATCACAGTTCCCGATAGACTTCCTTCTGATGTTTTCATAACCACATTGCCTCGCCGAAGACACAGGTTACATTCCCAAAATGCGTATACATATATGTATGGCTCAAACCTGTGGCAAGCCTAGATTCCCCGAAGACAAGCCGATGCATGCTTTCAAACTTGGAGTGTTGTCTCCCTTTAAGGCTGAGACGAACAGCAAGCTGCAGCGTGTAAGAAAGTGAGGCATTATAGATTGATTTATACGATTTAAATAGCAGAAAGTACAGAGTAAATTTGAGTAACGTCAAGCATCCTATGATTGTCAATTGACCCAAGTCTATAATTCCTCACTTAATATGAACATTTGTAATGGCATGTTAAAAGCACTAATTATACATTAATCAATGTACCCTACGTCAGAGTCCTTGTACCATATTATATTTCCATCCGCCATTCCGCCAAGTCATTTCTGACTTGAAGCAAGTCTAGACCCTCCGCCCGTTCAACACCACCAAGCTCACTGGGTCTCCTTTTCACTTTAAATGGAGTTCTTTGTTTCTATCAAAATGATACATATTCTGAGAGGATACAGGCCTAAGTCCCACGGCCTTGAACCTTAAACTGACAATCTTACAATGTCAATATAAAGGGTCAGTATACAGAGGAGACAAGACTTTATTGATTACAGGTCGTGACAGAGAGATCACCGTGATTAATTATCTAAAGATAAATGGCATTTTGGACATTGCTCTTGTGATACTGTGTTTTCCTTTTCTCTTTGCATTTTCTTTTATGAAGGCTCCTGATTGCATGTGTTCTGTGCATGTACTGGGATACCCGTTTCTCCAATTGACCACTTTCAGACATTGTATATTCCTAACATTGCTCCATGTTAACTTGGCGGGTTTTATTATATGACACATTACAATAAGTACGTGGCTTCTTTGTCGATTCTGCTCCAAACGTTTTCGAAATTAATATACATAATTTTAAAACATTAACAGAGCACTGACCGTCTCAATAACCGGATCTGATACAGTACAAATATAACTCTCAATTTGGGTACAAAATGTAGATTGTTTTCTTGTTCAAGTCATGAAGTTGGCATGCGTCTTGTCAGTATACGGAGAAAACAACTCCATTTCCTTAGCCCTTGCCCAAATAAAGATAAGATATCGCCAAAACAATTGAACAAGCGAGGAACGATAACTTTGGAAAGAACATACGAGTACTCACACAAAACCCATTGTCTATTGGCATCCTATCACGGTCTGGAATTAAACTGTCTATACTGCCCGTGAGATATTGTCCCTGTAATAAGGCAAAACGGTATTTGCTTTATTGATATAGACAATACAATTTCAGTTGGCAGACAATGGCAGTGGGTTGTGATTGTTGTGAAATATTTGATTCAGCAGCGAGCCTAGTTTTTCTCGGTAAGAATTCTGTCGGCGATTGGGCAACTGAGAAATACCTTCCCTGAAACTCACAAAATTGTAAATAAGTTGCCATTGTTTTTTGTTGGTAGATGCTTTGTGTCGACAGATGCCTGCACAACTATTTTATCAAAGTAATTTGTTGTATGGAAAGTAGTATGTTTGTCAATATGGCGTAAACGTGAACACGTGCGTTTGTTTTGGAACAGTTCATGGGGTGTAAACTACTTTTGGTAAATTCATGTAATTCATTCGTCAATAATGATTAAAGACATAACATTGTACACTTTTCAAACTATAGTAAAGGGTGCCTAACCCTAAACCCTAACGGTTATCGACCTAACGGATTGTTGGAAATTGTACATTTTCAAACTATTACCTGCTAACGACATTTTTGACAGGAGTAGCTATCGCAGGTCATATCCGATATCGGAAACAATCTGTCCCGATATGACAATCTTCACGCTCTGTGTTCTTATATGCACGTGCTGTTTACACAATACATGGCAATATTAGTTCATGATCACATCTTTGTTAAAAATCTAATACTTTAAAAAAATGATGAAAGGTGTCTGATAAAGTTTTTATGTCTGTTATGACCATATCACATTTCTGTGCAATCTGCAATCAGTTTCTAGTTTCTCGTCAAATAGGTAACGTGTTGGGTAGAACTATGTCCAAACCTAATTCATTTCAAAAATATCAGTTACTTTTAGTTGTACATTATTGTATGATATAGCAGATAAAACTACAATTTTGAAAGCAGATACATTTGATTAATTAGTCCATAAGGACATTCCTTACAATTGCTGTATGTACATGCTTAGTGAACATCATTTTGATACACAATGTCATTTAGAAAGTGGTCAAATGTAACACATTATATTTGGAATTACACTTTCTCAGTGGAGTTCAGATTCTAGTACTTTTGTTGGGTTGAGTCCCGTCCGGAATACGAACGTCCACACCCTCAGAGTCAGGCACCAAATCGCCAGCACACAAAGCCGTCTAACCCATTCAGTCATCGCTCAACTGGTAGTCAAGACTAACAGACTTTGTGTATTCCCCTGATAAATGTAAATTGTGCACGGCTCACACGACTGAAAGACATGTCATTTTGATATATTCAGATTCAACCTTCGATTTATAGATGCATGTTCTCATGTTAGAATAAAATCGATAAATCAGGAGTTGTTACAGTTTAACCTAAAATAGCTTAGTGGAGAGATATGAAACAAAGTTATAATTTTGCAGGCAAGATATTGGCTACTAATACAGGTGTCAGGGGTTTCATTGGACATCACAGAAAATACAAAGGGATAATAAGCTGAGCATTCTTCCATGTTGTAAATGTCACCAAGAATAAAAACTATTCCGCAAGCCTTTTTCAAGCATAATACAAGTTTTGTATTCCTATTAAATGCTATTATCATATTCATGATACAGAAACACACAATTGTTATAATGGATGTTCATGACATACCTCTTCTCAATTCTGTAGCTCTAGAAACTGCATATAAAAACAAAGTTTAACTTCAGAACTTCCCTGTTTATAGTATAGCCACACAAAATAAATGGATCTTGAAAATAGTTCCTGCTGAACCTAATTTGTATATTTATCAAATCATGGTACAAAATTTATCAGGATAATTTATCGATAACACTATATATTAGAGAGGCAGTATTTAATAAATAACGATAAATAATAATTTCTGAGGTCATACATGGCTGAATATTTATCAATAACACAAGCCCTAGAGAGGCAATTAACAATAGTAAATACTGAGATCATGCATGGCTGAATATTTCCATATGTCACTGTATCATAACCAGGGATTTATTAATGATTCTAAACTAAATAACCCTGGCAGACCAGATGTGGGAGAAAATGGTTTAGAATGGGTTTACGAATTTTCTGGGTTTTCTAATTTTCTTAAAATCAGTGGTATCTTAACATTAACATTACCTCTGATGGATACATAATGTTGAAGTTCTTGTTTGTATTTTCCTCAGGGAACTTAGGTAATATGACGTAAGGATTACATTGCTGAACAACTGATTGTCATACTCCATACACATGGGCCAGCCCGGTCATTTCAGGGTCCACAATGTTGCCTTGCAGAGTTGCATCCCTTTGGTGTTCCCGAATCTTATGGCTACAGATCCCTGATTCATTATGACATTTAGTTTGTGAGCACCATACCAAGTGGGAACCAACAAAGTGGTTAATATCATAAAACCTGCATCTTTTCTGGCTTTCTTCCCCCATTAAGGTGACAGACCCAATTTCATTTTCACACAGACCAATTAGTCCTGCTGAATATTTAGTGATGGTAGTTGTCCCAATTCTGGCAGTACAATTTCTGTATGTCCCATTTCTGGCAGTGGATTATAACACCTCCCTAATTACGTCATCTGGAGACTGCCGGTTTTGGGATAACACCCAGGAGATGATATGACCAAAATATTTTTCAAATTTGTGTTAAAGCAACTCACAAGTATAAACCCCCAACACACACAGACCCACCAACACCCCAACCAATCGTGTTATTTATGGTTTCTGATGTTTCATTACTGCTGTTCGTCAGTGTAATGTGGGTGGAAAGCGCAAGGTATGCCTACAAGGATGGGTATGGTACTGACAAATCAGTGGGACTGGGATTTGAACCCCCAGTCAAAGGTTTCTAGGGTGCCTAAGGGATGTCAGTCTGCACAACAAATTCTGGTGCCTTTGCCCACTGGGCAATCTAGGCCTAAGAAAAATGTGATTCCGATTACCCGACCGACCCTTGAATTCTGGTGCCTACCCTATTTTTGTAAGCAGTATGAATGAAAAAAGCTTTCAGATACCTTTGTTTTTTCCTGGCACCGACAGACATTGGTCATTCTGATAGAGAAAGTCGACATGATGTCTTATTAGTTTGTACTTTACTTCTAAAAAGATGTTATAAACAAATCCTACCTACCTACCGTGAGATTTTAAAGAGAGGTAATCGGAACCACAATATATTTTTTCATATGACCCTATGTTTTTTTAGAAAACAAAGTCATCATAGGTCAAATGGTTTCAGCCTAACCCTGAACATCCATAATTTGAGGAGCGGATATCACACCATTGAGGCACATTCCACTTCTGATCAATGTGCTGTTTAAATGCTTAAATAGTTATGATATAAGAATGATATAAATTACAACAAGGAGGCCTTGGTCTTACAGATGTTAGATGTGTAACCTCTAGTCATCAGGGGCGGTGGGGTAGCCTAGTGGTTAAAGTGTTGGCTCGTCACTCCGAAGACCCGGGTTCGAATCCCCACATGGGTACAATGTGTAAAGCCCATTTCTGGTGTCCCCCGCTGTGATGTTGCTGGAATATTGCTAAAAGCGGCGTAAAACCAAAACTCAGTCAGTCAGTCAGTCTAGTCATCATGGTGAGTACCGGTAAGATCATATGTATTTTCTGTTGTTCTGACCAGCTAGGGGCAGCTCATGTTTACATATGTATTTTCTGTTGTTCTGACCAGCTAGGAGCAGCTCATGTTTACATATGTAATTTCTGTTGTTCTGACCAGCTAGGAGCAGCTCATGTTTACATATGTATTTTCTGTTGTTCTGACCAGCTAGGAGCAGCTCATGTTTACATATGTATTTTCTGTTGTTCTGACCAGCTAGGAGCAGCTCATGTTTACATATGTATTTTCTGTTGTTCTGACCAGCTAGGAGCAGCTCATGTTTACATATGTATTTTCTGTTGTTCTGACCAGCTAGGAGCAGCTCATGTTTACATATGTATTTTCTGTTGTTCCTGACCTGCTAGGAGCAGCTCATGTTTCATATGTATTTTCTTGCTTGTTCTGACCAGCTAGGAGCAGCCTCATGTTTACATATGTATTTTCTGTTGTTCTGACCAGCTAGGGCTAGGAGCAGCTCATGTTTACATATGTATTTTCTTCTGTTGTTCTGACCAGCTAGGAGCAGCTCATGTTTACATATGTATTTTCAGTTGAGACCTTCACAAAAGTATGAGGATGATGGATGAACAGCCGCCAAGCAAGAGGCGAAAGTTTAACTGTAAATATGATTATTTCTTACAAGTTCTCTAAAATGATAATATTTTCCTGACCCAGTGCAAATCTTGGTTAGAGCGGGTCTTCTAACAACGCATGCTTGTCATTAGAGGCACCTATCAGGTCCCTATTAATTGATGTAGATCCTTGTTAGAAAATTAATGGTTTTCTTTTTTTTCAGTAATTTAAATTTGATTTCTGAATCCCTGTTACAGTCAAAACTAAGCAGCCAGGGGACAGCTCAGTTCAAAGATATACAGTAATTTAATGGGATACAGGTGGAAATTTTACTGAAACAAGACAATCCATTCACTCACCATTCACACAAATACAAGATTATTTTTAATTATCAAACATATTAGTATTATAATTAATTCAGTCGTCTTTGCACAATCCATGATATAAGAGCCATTTCGAATAACATTCAGCGTTTGTTACAAAAAATACATTTTTCAATATTATATCTCAATCTTAACTCACTTCTGAACTGAGTAATATTTGGTAAAACAGAATTGAGCTTGCATTTGTACAAGTAATATTTTCCCAATAATATGAACAAGCCAAAAACAGTCAGACAAATTTTTTTTCTTACAGCCAAACATTATCAGTTCCATAGTGAGATTAAGATCATGGATGTGGTCACAACCTTCTGTTAACCATGATAAAAAGTTTGACCTAAAGGTTTGCACAAATTCCCATTCCCATAACAAGTGACAAATAGATTCCTTTTCTTCATTACAGAATGAACATAAGTCAGAATCTTTTATTTTAATTTTTTAAAGAAATGTATTGGTAGTTAAAATTCTATGGTGTATTCTGTACTGGAACCACCTCAATTTGGTGTGGGGCGTGGGGGTAGCCTAGTGGTTAAAGCGTTGGCTTGTCCAGAGAGGACCGGGTTCGAATCCCCACATGGGTACAATATGTGAAGCCCATTTCTGGTGTCCCCTGCCGTGATGTTGCTGGAATATTGCTAAAAGTGGCGTAAAACTAAACTCAGTCAGTCAGTCAATTTGGTGTCTTAATGGTTGTCAGCAGCCCATGCTTGTCATTAGAGACAGCTAACATAATCGAGTGTTCCAAGGTGGCTGATTTGGTTGACATGCATCATCAAATGCCAGTTGTGTAGATGCTAATGATGTCAATTACTGGATTGCCCATCCCAAACTCCATTATTTGCACACCATCAGTGAGTGAGTGAATGAGTTTAGTTTTAAGCAGCACTCAGCAATTTTCCAGCTATATGGCGGCGGTCTGTAAACAATCAAATCTGGACCAGACAATCCAGTGATCAACAGCGTGAGCATCGATCTGCGCAATTGGGAACCGATGACATGTGTCAACCGAGTCAGCGAGCCTGACCACCCGATCCTGTTAGTCGCCTCTTATGACAAGCATTGGTTACTGAAGATCAATATTCTAACCTGGACCTTCATGGGTTCGCAGACCATCATCATATTTCTGGACTATTGCTGACTGCGGCATGAAACAACAAACATTCATTTCTGGTAACTAGGGAGTGAAAGTGGTGATCACAATTTGCAATGCAGTGTCGTGTGTTAGAAGGATCAGCTAACTTTGTACTCAAGACTGTCTTTGTTAAGATGCAGTATTCAAACTGAAACATATACATCAATGGCTCACATGTTCTTTTTCACTGACAGTTTCAAGTGTCCCGTTCAAAGACAAAGTGAACAATTTGCGAGAAGAACGAAAGAAACTCCCAATCTTTCCTGCACGCTCCCGCCTTGTACAGGAAGTGAGGAAACATGATAGCGTCATTGTTATCGGGGAAACAGGAAGTGGCAAAACAACACAAATACCTCAGGTACTACGTGGTGTTGTAGTGTGTCAGTTAGAGCTGTGTTGGTACGCTTTGTTATCATCATGAACATACCATACATACAGACTGAGATACTGTCACCATACACATCTCAGTAGTTAGGTTACAATCCAATACATAGATCAATAGTAAGGTTCATATCCAATACATATGTTGGTAGTAAGGTTATTATCTAACACATTGTTACAGTCTGATATATATCTCAGTAGTGAGGTTAATATAATACATATCAATAGTAAGGTTCATATCCAATACATATGTTGGTAGTAAGGTTATTATCTAACACATTGTTACAGTCTGATATATATCTCAGTAGTGAGGTTAATATAATACATATCTCAATTAAAAGTTTTCACCGTGATACAAGATACCATATATATAGTATGACCAGAAATTATTGAGAATTTTAGGAATATGGTTAATTGGATTTCTAGTATAAACATCCTTGACCAGCTATTAAGTGCTTGGTTTCATTCAAGAGAGACAACTCCGTTAATCCTTTTTCATTAGTTTGTGAAGAGTTATCCCCTTTGTTTACTTGCTAGCAGACGACATTTTCAGTGATCCTCAGTATGGATGATTTAGAGAAGAGGAAGTTGATTTTAGAGTATTATAACAAGGACATCAGATCAGCTTAAGTGATTTCAAGTAGAACAGGCATCCCTTTGTTCACTGTTTATCGTGTTTTGAAAAATATTGCAAATAGATATGGCATTGAGCACCAGGAAGGCGCAGGTAGGCCCTGAAAATTGACTGTCGGTGACAGGAGGCAGTTTGGTATTCTTGTTTCTAAAAACAAATGAAGGAGTTTAGAAAACTTAAGGCTGGATATGATTGATAGAGGAGCTGTGGCTGTCTGTAAGGAGACAATTAGAACTGAGCTGCATGCAATGGGTTGGCAGAAAAGTCGAGGAATTCCATCACCCATCATGAAACCTGACCAAAAGGAGCGAAGGTTGAACTGGTGCTTACAGCATTGAAATTTTACCTGGGACAATGTGATTTTGTCAGATGAAAGTTCTGTGTGGCTGTATCCTAATACACTGAAATTCTGGACCAAACAAACTGAAAAACCTTTGTATCAGCGCCCAAAGTACAGTCCGAAATTTAACGTGTGGGGTGGCATATCTGTATTAGGGGCAACGCACTTCTCTGTGTATTTGAAGGGAATATGAAAATTGAGCGGTTTACAGATATTCTCGAGGGACATTTACTTCAATCTGCTCACGTGTTCTATGGAAATGTTTTGATTTTCCAGCAGGACAACGACCCAAAACATCATTCAAAGCATTCACAGGCCTGGTTTCGGACCCAAAATATGACACTATTAGATTGGCCAAGCTATAGCCCTGACCTAAATCCAATAGAAAATGTTTGGGGATTTATGAAGGAAAGTGTCAGTTGAAGAAAAATCTGATAAATATTGCTGAAATGAAAGAAGAGGTGGTCCGATAGTGGGACAGCATGGACCCCGACTTTCTAACTTCTTTGATCAGTAGTATGCCCCGCCACATTGAAGCCTGCATTGCTGCCCATGGTGACTGGACAAAATACTATCTGTTCACCTGTCTTTGAATCTGGAGTTATGTTCCGCTAATACTTACATTTAATACGTAAGTAATGAGTGGAAAAAAATATAAAAAATTACAATCATAAATTCTCAATAATTTCTGGTTGTACTGTATATACTGCCATTACTGACTAGTGCTGTAACAATCCACCACATTTTCCAACATTGTGATACACCATGCCACAATAACATTGTACTGAACTGGATATAAAACAATACCATGATATTTCAGGGATATGTACCATGATGTATAACTGTATAAACAGTCATTGTATATGTCATATGCACGATAGTTCTCAAGCAAAACTTTCCTTACTTACCAGTAACCCAAATACTAGTACACATAACTGAGAAATAGTTTTCTTTTCATTCTCTTGTTCATCATATAATGACCCCAAATATGGAGTGTCAAGTTTTTATGTATTGTATATTAACATGTATCACATTCCCACTTTACTATGGAAATGTGTATCATATCATGTACTGCATTGACTATTGAGATATGTAACAAATAGATTCCACATCAAGAGCTTAAAGGTCACATGCGACCAAAAAATCAAACATAATTAAAACACAATTATCACTTCTTCATGACATATAATATGCATTGCTGATTATGAAAAAACAAATAAACAAAATTATAAGCGTATAATCGCAAATCAAAAGTGCAATATTTTGTACTTGGGTTTACCTCCCTCGAAACAAAGCAGCCGGGATACCGAACCCAGTCAGAGCGGGTGGGTGTGCACTCAAGTGTAACGCCTGGTTCATTAGCAGATGCAGCCTTCACGGCTCATTGTGTGTGTATATATATAGAGATGTTGGGTTTTGTAAATACATGCTCAATTTTGTGTATAACATTTTGCAATCAACAGACATCATAACATGTCATGTGTTCAAGTTATCACACCTGCCCGTCTGTGTAATTACATAATGTGACAGAGACCGAACTCGGGCCATAAATCAATGCGTTTTTTTATGGTGTATAGCCTGATTGGTGTTAAGTTCAAATTGCATGTGGTCAGTGATCGCAGTTGTGTATTGAATATTGTCATTAGCAGACAGGCAGGCAGACACACAGGTGTCAATAAAACAAGACATTGAGTTTTGTCTGTGACAGCTTACATATCTATATCACAGTTAGAAATTGTGTCAACGCTAAATAATGACATTTCTTTTAAGCATCGAACTGAGAAAGTGACTCGGTAAGAAGAACGCGGTGGTGAAATAGACAAATGAAATTATATAAACAGTTTATTTACTGTCATAACCTATAAAAGCTCGTACGCCTGTGAGATATCAACAAAACATTATGAAAATAGCTCACACCAAAAGCCTTCACCGAGTATTCACTCAGAAAGCCCGGCCCAAGTTGCGCGTGAACCTATTTCACTGCTTACGACGCTATGAGCGCAGCCCAGCTGTTGAAACCACGTATTCCCCAGAAGAGTCTGGGGAAAATTAGTGAATTGTTTGAACTCCGATTTCGCGCGTTTTTTTTCATCGCCTTATTTTTCAACTTTATAAGTTGAATTTGCATTTTTGACGCTTTGTTTCGGTAAGTCCATACTGAAAGGTATCAGAATCTGCAAAGTTGTGTTTTACGTTGCATGTGACCTTTAACAATTACAATATGGATACTGTGGATGCTGCATTGTCATCTTACTATCGATTTATATATCATATGTATTATACTGGGACCTAACTTGGTAGATATATTTTGTTCGGTGTATTGTATATACCACAGCCACACCATTGAGACATATTTGTTATTTGCAGTATCTCCTCGAGTGTGGTGTACACCATGGCAAACTCATTGCAGTTACTCAGGTAGGTGTTCTGTAGTCAATCAAAACATCCATCTCCAATGGGTTTTCTCGAATAGACTACTGGTCCTGAACAACCAATACCCATAGTGTGGTTCAGGGACTGAGACAACTGGTCCTTCAGCTGTGTGGTCAGACTCAGAGACATGGGTGATAGTGTGTCATCTTTCCCAGTGGTTAAAGCTGTGCTCGTCAGCGACCTGGACCCAGGTTCGAATCTCCACATGATTTGTACAATGTGTGAAGCCCATTTCTGGTGTCCCCGCCAATATTGCTGGAATATTGCTAAAAGCGGTAAAACTAAACTCACTTCACTCACTCTTTCCCAGACTCTGGATTGTTGCTTATGATATCAATCACTGGAATGTCTGGTCCAGACTTGGTTATGTACAGGCACACTTCACACAGCTGGAATATTTCTTTACGCGTGTTGGACATCAGATTCTCAATCCGTGCATATACAGTGCAATGAGGTCTCCTGAAGAGCCCAATATGGATTCTGAAACTGAATAGGTCTCCATTGTGATGTTTCATTAGTCCACCTTTGATTTTCTACTGTTACTTATTGTAAAACAGGCAATACAATACTTGCAATATTCTGACTGACTGAGTTTGGTTTTAGCTTTTGGCAATATTCCAGCAACATCAGCATGGGGACAATCGACAGAATGGGCTTCACATTCCCATATGGGGATCTCGAACCCGGTCTTCGGGCGTGATTTGTTTCCAACGCTTTAACCACTAGGGCTACCCCTAATCACCTATGCAATATTCAATAAAGCCAACTGTGGCCATACTCAGCCATTCACTGAACATGCAAAGGGATTCAATAAACTATGAAGTTAAGCAACATATAGCTACTATTCTCTGTTTTTATCACATTAATGTCGGAACCCATGAAGATCCATGTCAGATTTGGCCTTCAGCAACCCATGCATGTTGTAATTGAGGCAACTGAAAGGATCGGGCGGTCAGGCTCACTGATTTCGTTGACATAGTTTGATTGCGCAGATCGATGCTCATGGTGTTGATCACTGGATTGTCTGGTCCAGACTTGATTATTTACAGACTGCCACCATGTAGCTGGACTATTGCTGAGTATGGTGCAATGCAACAAACAAGCAAAAAACAAATTAATGTCGGAAGAAACCCCTGATTTATGTGGGTTCTGTACCATTACCACTTAGTTGAAACTCGCACATTTCTTGCTGACAAAACAACAAATGGCTCCAGTGAGAAACTGTTTTGACAGATTATACCTATAGGTCACTGTGCCCCATGTTTGTCATAATATGGTGAAGAAATGGAGCCATATAGTTTTCCTCTGTTACTTGTTCTGAACTATTACTTGCTCATTGACTTCAGCCTCGCCGAGTGGCAGCCATCACAGTGTCTCAGAGGGTCGCGGAGGAGAAGAACTGTCAAGTAGGAAAGCTGGTATGTGTCAACTGCAACAGCAGAAAACATCGTCTTGGTGTATGTTGAATATTGAAGTGTGAAGTTCTCTGTCTCAGTGTGTGTTGAATATTGAAGTGTGAAGTTCTCTGTCTCAGTGTATGTTGAATATTGAAGTGTGAAATCCTCTGTCTCAGTGTATGTTGAATATAGAAGTGTGAAGTCCTCTGTCTCAGTGTATGTTGAATGTGGAAGTGTGAAATCCTCTGTCTCAGTGTATGTTGAATATAGAAGTGTGAAGTCCTCTGTCTCAGTGTATGTTGAATGTAGAAGTGTAGAAATCCTCTGTCTCAGTGTATGTTGAATATAGAAGTGTGAAATCCTCTGTCTCAGTGTATGTTGAATATAGAAGTGTGAAGTCCTCTGTCTCAGTGTATGTTGAATATAGAAGTGTGAAATCCTCTGTCTCAGTGTATGTTGAATATAGAAGTGTGAAGTCCTCTGTCTCAGTGTATGTTGAATATAGAAGTGTGAAATCCTCTGTCTCAGTGTATGTTGAATATAGAAGTGTGAAGTCCTCTGTCTCAGTGTATGTTGAATATAGAAGTGTGAAAATCCTCTGTCTCAGTGTATGTTGAATATAGAAGTGTGAGAGTCCTCTGTCTCTAGTGTATGTTGAATGTGGAAGTGTGAAGTCCCTCTGTCTCAGTGTATGTTGAATATAGAAGTGTGAAGTCCCTCTGTCTCAGTGTATATTGAATATAGAAGTGTTGAAGTCCCTCTGTCTCAGTGTATGTTGAATATAGAAGTGTGAAGTCCTCTGTCTCAGTGTATGTTGAATATAGAAGTGTGAAGTCCTCTGTCTCAGTGTATGTTGAATGTGGAAGTGTGAAGTCCTCTGTCTCAGTGTATGTTGAATATAGAAGTGTGAAGTCCTCTGTCTCAGTGTATGTTGAATATAGAAGTGTAGAAGTCCTCTGTCTCAGTGTATGTTGAATATAGAGTGTGAAGTCCTCTGTCTCAGTGTATGTTGAATATAGAAGTGTAGAAGAGTCCTCTGTCTCAGTGTATGTTGAATATAGAAGTGTGAAGTCCTCTGTCTCAGTGTATGTTGAATGTGGAAGTGTGAAGTCCCTCTGTCTCAGTGTATATTGAATATAGAAGTGTGAAGTCCTCTGTCTCAGTGTATGTTGAATGTGGAAGTGTGAAGTCCTCTGTCTCAGTGTATGTTGAATATAGAAGTGAAGTCCCTCTGTCTCAGTGTATGTTGAATGTAGAAGTGTGAAGTCCTCTGTCTCAGTGTATGTTGAATATAGAAGTGTGAAGTCCTCTGTCTCAGTGTATGTTGAATATAGAAGTGTGAAGTCCTCTGTCTCAGTGTATGTTGAATATAGAAGTGTGAAGTCCTCTGTCTCAGTGTATGTTGAATATAGAAGTGTGAAGTCCTCTGTCTCAGTGTATGTTGAATATAGAAGTGTGAAGTCCTCTGTCCCAGTGTATGTTGAATGTGGAAGTGTGAAGTCCCTCTGTCCTTGTGTATATTGAATATAGAAGTGTGAAGTCCTCTGTCTCAATGTATGTTGAATATAGAAGTGTGAAATTCCTCTGTCTCAGTGTATGTTGAATATAGAAGTGTGAAGTCCTCTGTCTCAGTGTATGTTGAATATAGAAGTGTGAAGTCCTCTGTCTCAGTGTATGTTGAATATAGAAGTGTGAAGTCCTCTGTCTCAGTGTATGTTGAATGTAATAATGTATAATGATATTTCTTTCATTTTATGTGTGAAAATTGTAAGTACTGGTAGCTGACTAAAAACATTCAGTGGCAGATTTCTCTCTGTTATAGCTAAAGATGGATATGTCTGCAAAATAACTTCGAAAAATGGATATTAGCCAGCCACATTTTCTAGCCCTTTAGAATATGGTCTATGATATATTTCCCTGGTCTCACACCTACTGTATGCTCATATCTCTGGAGGGCTAGGTGGGGTAGCCTAGTGGTTTCAAAGTTGCGCTCGTCACACCGAAGACCGAGGGTTAGAATCCCCATTTCTGGTGTCCTCCGCTGTGATGTTGCTGGAATATTACTAAAGCTGGTAAAGAACCAAACTCAGTCAGTCCTTATCTCTGGAGACATTTGTCGATCTGTTTCTGACCTACACTGATGTATATCTTCCCTCTGCCCAATAGGTAGGCTACTGTGTCAGGTTTGACGATATGACGACAGATAGCACGAAAATCAAGTACATGACAGATGGTATGCTTCTGAGAGAGGCCATCTTGGATCCACTCATGAACAGGTAACCAGTTTAGAGAAAAACATTTCATCTTAGAAGTTTGTTTATGCATATTTTGAAATGAAACCGGCCCAGTAGGATGTATCTCCTATGTAATGTTCAACTAGATCTCTATCAATTTCTATTTGAGGCGGTGGGTAGCCTGAGTGGTTAAAGCGTTGGCTTGTCACCGAAGACCCGGTTCGAATCCCCACATGGGTACAATGTGTGAAGCCCATTTCTGGTTGTCCCCACATTGATCTTGCTGGAATATTGCTAAAAGTGGCGTGAAACCAAACTCAGTCAGTCAAGTCCTATTTGGAGTGGTGGACTGTGTGAAATGAATGTTAACTGACAACATGTTGTGTCTTTTTGTTGTTATTTATGTACTTCATATCCAAACTGTTTGTTTGTTGCACTAGACATCCAGGGGTTTCATACTGACATACATACAATAGTGTCACTGAATATTTGCATGTAGCATTAATCTGTAGAGGTGGATCCAGGATTTTGTGAGAAGAGGGGTGCACATAAATCATGAAGTCCAAAGGTTAGGGGGAAATGCTCCTCAGGGAAAGTTTTTTTCAAGGGAGAAGGGGAGTGCGCACACCTCCACCTCCATCTGGATCCGCTCCTAGTCTGTTCTCTCCCTGTCTAATATGTATGTGGTTTGATTGGTCAGGTACACTGTTGTGATCCTGGACGAAGCTCATGAGAGAACAATACACACAGATGTATTGTTTGGTGTGGTGAAAGCTGCTCAGAGAGACAGAAAGAAGAAGGGGTTGAAGCCATTGAAGGTAGGTTGTTCAGGGGTGGAAATAACTTTAAGATTGCTAGTGTACTCCAGTACAGTGGCACATGTAAAATCACTTCCCCTGATAATTTTTCCACTATACCGGTCCGTTTTCTTGTTGATTTTTTTAATAAAACAACATAATTAATATTGGAAAGTCAACTGACACACCGTACAGTGTGATATACAAATTTGCTTGCCTGACAGAAAAAAAACACTGGACTCGACGACGCGCCGGGCAATGGGTTATTTCCACCCTGAATGGTTTTAACCATACCTATATTATAGTCATAGTTTGTGAGTGTCTGTGAGTCTTTTTCGTCTTTAGCATTAATACAGTAATGTCCGTTACTTGGGTCACCAAAAAAATTTATCTTTGCACATTGTATCCATGGTCTTCACTCATTGAATCCTTGGTCTTTGATGAAAAAAACAAAACAAACAAACTCTGTTGATCTGAGTAGACTTTTATGTGTTGGGCCCCAGATTTTTCTTCATACAAATTTGTCATAGAGGTAGTCCATTGGTATTCCAGGGTCAGGCAAGTCTCCTAGCTGTCCCTCAGATCTGACTAATGAGGACTGGGCAGTGAGACATGCTGACAGTTTAGATTAGTGGTGTTCCGATTAATTGAAATAATCGAAGATTGGTCGCAGTGACCGAACAACCAAGCAATCGATCACATTTTCTCATAATCAAACACAAACGATTTTGGAACTGCTGTTTTAATCTTTGAAACACTTGACGATGGAACATATCTTCAAAGTTGTTGAGACTGCAAACTTGTTTAATTCTTAGAAAACTCACACTAAAGTCATGACTGAATATTTCTTGAAGACTCTTGGAAGTTTATGTTCATGATATATTAGTCATCACTTTAAAGTAGCAAGTTGCACCATGTTATACATATCTGCAATAACGACCTGGATAGGAAAATCTGAAAAAAGATGCTAACCAATTTTTTTCGATGATTGTTCGTTGGTAATGAAGCAATCATCAATTGTGAGATTTCAACCAATTCCCAACACTAGTTTAGATCACTGCTCATGCTCTCAGTCACATTCTGTTCTCGTACATGTTATTCAGTTATGTAAGGGCGTCTGTGATATTCATGGAATATTTCTGACTGGCGTTAAACAACATTCACTCACTACAGTAGAAGAATGGTTGTATGTGTAACCCTAGATTATATGCAAGTATCTGTAAGTTGACCAAGCAGCTCCATTGATTTTGTTTTCAGATAATTGTGATGTCAGCCACTATGGACGTGGACCACTTCTCTGCTTACTTCAACCAAGCACCTGTTCTGTACCTGGAGGGTCGACAGTTTCCAGTCCAGGTACACATATAGTAACGAGTATCTCAACACATGGTCAAGTGAATGGGCATATTTAGCCAGTACCATCCTTTGTAATTAATGACTGGGTTGCACTGTTCATAAATTGCCTTGAATATAGATTCTACCTTCAAAAGGACTTGGAAGATGGAACATATGTCTAGAAATGTCTTGAACCTTCCTTTATATTTCCCATCAGAATTCCCATCGAAAACTGCTTATGGAGTTTGATTTTGTTATTGTTGAAACTGTTTTCCAAATTTAAAGAAAAAATCTGTGAGTAATCTATGTATAATGAGTAATGAGAGTTATGTCCCTTTGAATGATAGCTTCGGATTTTGGAGTTGAATATACTTCATTCCATAACAAAGCATATATATGTAAATGGTTGGATGTGTTTTGAGCTTTCACAGCTTACTGCACTGAAGAATGATGGGTGTGTTTCAAAGAGAGCCGCTACTTTGGGATACCCCGTTTCTCAATTGGACCACACTTTCAGACATTGTATGTTCCTAACATTGCTCCATGTTAACTTGGCGGGTTTTTATTATATGACACATTACAATAAATTTACGTGGCTTCTTTGTCGATTCTCCTGCTCCAAACGTTTTTCGGGAATTAATATACATAATTTTAAAACATTAACAGAGCACTGACCATCCTCTAATAACCGGATCTGATACAGAACAAAATGTAACTCTCAACTGGGTACAAAATGTGATTGCTTTCTTGTTCAAGTCATGAAGTTGGCATGCGTCTTGTCAGTATACGGAGAAAACAAACTCTATTTCCTTAGCCCTTGGCCCAAATAGAGATAAGATATCGCCAAAACAATTGAACAAACGAAGAACGATAACTTTTGGAAAGAACATACGAGTACTCACACGCCTGTCCCATTTGTCTATTGGCATCCTGTCTACGGTCTGGAAGTAAACTGTCTATATGCTGCCCCGTGAGATATTGTCCCTGTAATTAGGCTAAACGGTATTTTAGCACTTTATTGATATGGGCGTATTCATGATACAATTTTCGGTTGGCAGACAATGGCGGTGGAGTTGTGATTAATTAATGCCGAGAATATTTGATTCAGCAAGCTGAGCCTAGTGTTTCTCAGTACCAAGAATTCTATCGGCGATTGGGCAACTGAGAGCTCACCTTCCCTGGAAACTCACAAAATCGATGATCAATAAGTTGTCATTGTTTTTGTTGGTAGATGCTTTGTGTCGACAGATTTGCCTGCAATAACTATTTTATCAAAGTAATTTTTGTTGGCAATATCGAAAGTAGTGGCGTTTTATCAATATGGCGTAAACGTGAACACGTGCGTTTGTTCTAAGGGAACAGTTCATGGGGTGTAAACTACTTTTGTTGACATGCTTAATTCATTCGTCAATAATGACCAGAGACATAACATGGGAGTACTGCACTTTACCACGCGCACTTTTTCAGATTAATTAGCGCTGCTGGGGTTCCCTAACCTAACCCTTACCCTAACCTAAGGATCGTAAAGGGTACACCTAACCCTAAGGATCGTAAAGGGCCTGCTAACCCCAAGGATAGTAAAGGGTGCCTAACCCTGAATAAGTGGTGCTAACCCTAAGGATCGTAAAGGTGCCTAACCTAAACCCTAATAACCCTAAGGATCGTAAAAGGAAGCAGCGGGCTGCGCCCGGTAAAGATATCATTCTAGCCCATAACATTGTAATACACTTTTCAAACTATTATTACCTGCTAACAGTTGTAGACCCGGCTTGTTGGAAAGACATTTTTTGACAGGAGTAAGCTATCGCAGATCATATCCGATATCGGGAAACACAATCTGTCCCGATATGACAATCTTCACACTCTGTGTTCTTATAATGCTGCGTGCTGTTTGCACACAATACATGGCAATATTAGTTCATGATCACATCTTTGTTAAAAATCTAATGCTTTAAAAAATGATGAAGAAAGGTGTCTGATAAAGAAAGTTTTTACATGTCTGTTACTTGAGCCATATCACATTTCTGTGCAATCTGCAATCAGTTTCTAGTTTCTAAATCAAATAGGTAGCGTGTTGGGTAGAACTATGTCCAAACCTAATTTCATTTCCAAAATATCAGTTACTGTTAGTTGTACATTATTGTATGATATAGCAGATAAAACTACAATTTTGACAGCAGATACATTTGATTAATGAGTAGTCCATAAAAGGACATTCCTTACAATTGCTGTATGTACATGCTTAGTGAACATCATTTTGATACACAATGTCATTTTAAGAAAGTGGTCAAATGTAACGCACATTGCTTATTTTGGAATTACACTTTCTCGTGGGGGATTCAGATTCTAGTACTTTTGTTGGGTTGAGTCCCATCACAGAGTCTCGAACATCCACACCCCACCAGAGTCAGGCGCCAAATGCGCCAAGAAGAGCACACAAGGCGTCTAACTCCATTCCAGTCATGCAGCTCAGCTGGTAGTCAAGACCACGAACAGTATGTATTCCCCTGATAAGTGTGTAACTTATTGCACGCGGCTCACACGACTGAAAGATCGATGTCAGTTTGATATATTCAGAGATTCAACCTTAGATTTATAGATGCATGTTCTCATGTTAAAATAAAATCGGCTAAACTCAGGAAGTTATTTACAGTTTAACCTAAAAATTGTTTAGTGGGGGAATATGAAACAAAATTACAATGTTGCAAGGCAAGATATTGGCTACTAATACGGAGTGTCAGAGTTTCCATTGGACATCACAGAAAATACAAAGGGATAATAAGCTAGCGTGACATTTTTCCATGTTGTGGAAATGTCACTTATCAAGAATAAAAACTATTCCATAGTTTTTCCTTTTCAAGCATAATACAAGTTTTGTATTCCTATTAAATGCTATTATCATATTCATGATACAGAAACACACACATTGTGATAATGGATGTTCATGACATACCTCTTCTACCTCCAGTTCTGTAGCCTCTTAGAAACTGCATCTTAAAACAAAGTTTAACTTCAGAACTTACCCTGTTTATAGTATGATAATACGCATGAATAAATGGATCTTGAAAATAGTTCACTGCTGAACCTAGTTTTGTATATATATCAAATCATGAAGAACGAGGTACATCAGGAAGATTGCTTCGATAACACAGAGGCGCAGTGTTTAATAATAACAATAATAATAATTTCTGAGGTCATACATGGCTTGAATGTTATCAATAGCACAAGCCCCTAGGAGAGGCAATTGTCAATAATATAAATGCGGAAATCATACAATGTACTGAATATTTTCATATGTCGCAAATATCAACCAGGGTGTTATTAATGATTCTGAACTAAATAACCCTTGGCAGACCAGATGTGGGAGTAAATGGTTTTAGAAATGGGTTTACTTATTTTTCTGGGTTTTCTAATTTTCTTAAAATCAGTGGTATCTTTACATTAACATTACCTCACCTGGATACATAATGTTGAAGTTCTTGTTTGGCCTTGTATATTCCTCAGGGAACTTGGAAGTAATATGACGTAATAAGGATTACATTGCTGAACAACTGGTTGTCATGCACCATACGCATGGGCCAGCTCCAGTCATTTCAGGGTCCCACAATGTTGCCTTGCAGAGTTGCATCCCTTTAGTGTTCCTGAATCTTATGGCTACAGATCCCCTGATTCATTAAGTGACATTTAGTTTGTGAGCACCATACCAAGTGGGGAACCAACAAAGTGGTTAATATCATAAAAAACCTGCATCTTTTTCTGGCTTTCTTCCCCCATTAAGGTGACAGACCCAATTTCATTTTCACACAGACCAATTAGTCCTGGGTTGAATATTTGTAGTGATGGTAGTTGTCCCAAGTTCTGGCAGTGCACAATTTCTGTATGTCCCATTTCTGGCAGTGAATTAATTATAACACCTCCTTAATTACGTCATCTGAGACTGCCAGTTTTGGGATAACACCCAGAGATGATATGACCCAAAATATTTTTCAAATTTGTGTTAAAGCAACTCACAAGTATAAAACCCCCCAACACACACACAGACCCACCAACACTCCCAACTCCAATCATGTTAATTATGGTTTCAAGTTGTTTCCCATTGCTGTTCATCAGTGTAATGTATGCGGAGAGCCCAAGGTATGTCTACAAGGATGGGTAATGGTACTGACAAATCAGTGGACTGGGATTTTAAACCCCAGTCAAAGGTTTCTAGGGTGCTTAAGGGATGTCAGTCTGCTCAACAAATTCTGGTGCCTTTGCCCACACTGGGCAATCTGAGCCCTAAGAAAAAAATGTGATTCCGATTGCCCAACCGAATTCTTTGAATTCTGGTGCCTACCCTATTTTTAAGCAGTGTGGAATGAAAGAAGCTTTCAGATACCATTGTTTTTCCCTGGCACTGACAGACATTGGTCATTCTGATAGAGAAAGTCGCATACATGATGTCTTATTAGTTTGTACTTTTACTTCTAAAAAGATGTTATACCAGTAAACAAATCCTACCTACCTACCGTAGAGTTTAAAGAGAGGTAATCGAACCACAATATATATTTTTTTCATATGACCTCATGTTTTTTAGAAAACAAAGTCATCATAGATCAAATGGTTCAGCCTAACCGCGAAGATCCATAATTTGAGGAGCCGGATATCACACACCATTGAGGCAATACTTCATTTCACTCTTGATCAATGTGCTGTTTAAAATTCTTAAATAGTTATGATATAAGAATGATATAAATTACACAATAAGGAGGCCTTGGTCTTACAGATGTTAGATGTGTAACCTCTCAGTCATCAGGGTGTGGGGTAGCCTAGTGGTTAAAGTGTTGGCCTCGTCAATCAAGACCCAGGTTCGAATCCCCACATGGGTACAATGTAAAAGCCCATTTCTTGTGTCCCCTCGCCGTGATGTTGCTGGAATATTGCTAAGTTTACATAAAACCAAAACTTAGTCAGTCAGTCTAGGCGATCATGGTAAGTAAGATCATATGTATTTTCTGTTGTTCTTGACCAGCTAGGAGCAG